TTTTATGTAACAAGCAGAATTTATCTCACATTGCTTTATTTCTGTATTATTTCCACAAGTTCTCCAGTGGCAGAAGCAGTTACCCAGGCTCAGAGCAGTCAGCTACAACTCTTTCTGCCAAGAGATGCTGCATTTAAGGGGGGAAAAAGCCCCAAACTTTTTATTTACTATTGTGGCTTACTTGATGTTTGTCATCCTAATCCAATTGTGTTCTATGAGAAGAAAATACGTTGAATGATCAGAAGTAGGTCATCCTGGATGCCTGGGAAGGGCAGGCTGTAAATAGCTGCCATCTCGAGGAGGTTGCTGAGAGTCCAGCTTCTGTTCCCTGTTGTATCTCCTCCCCTCTAAGGACTGTCCTGGGCTACCTGCTCCCGCGTGCTGCTTGCTGGGCGCTGAAGTTGCACGTTTTGAGTGCCAGAAGAAATTCAGAGGTGCTTTCTGCCTTTCCCTTTTGATATGGCCTGGTGCTTCTGCCGGCTCGTCGGGAAGCCCTGGCTGGCTGCCTGTGCTAGCTCAGATGCTGCTTCTCAGCTGAGATGTGTTTTCTGGAATCTTCACTGAACTGCTTTCTCCCACCCCCCCTTAATTTTAATTTCTTTTTATCAGCAGTCCCTTACAGGAAGTAACAGCTGTCTCTCTTGATGGATGCATTTCATGTCCAGACTTTCTCTCTGTATTTTGACTGCAACACGTCTGCTACATGTGTATAGCCTTTAACTTCAACAGCTTGTGTCCTAGCACTCTGTTTCTTAATGCTTTTGTACATAATACATTGACCAGACAGGGCTGCATTTAGAGTGGTCTGACTGATCAATAAATCATAGCATCCTGGTTGCAGTCCTCACCTTCTCATCTAAATGGGTTGCTCAGGTGTGTCATGTTGTCTTGTTTTCGATTGAATAAGTGTAAAATTAGATCCAGATCTTGGGGGTGTGTGTGACTTGTCAGAATTTCACAGCTTTCTAGCAGATTACACTGGGTTAGTATTAAATGTCAGTTTTGCAAAGGCTGCTGTCAGCTCAGTAGTTTAAAAACAAAGAACAAATTAAAAAAATCCAGCAACAACAAACGTAAACTGCTGGTCCAGCACTTTTGGAGAACTGTACTTTGAAAGCTAGGCATGTTTGATTGCAATTGCTACTGCCCCTATTAAGAGTGAGGGGCAGATTGCAAGCCTCTAGGGTGTTGCATTTTTGGAGGGGTCACACTGGTACAGCCTCCAGTTGAAGAGCTTAGGTGGTGTTATATTCTAATGTATTTTTAGTTGCAGTCACATTGTATATCTCCTCATAAACACTTTATTATAGTGAACCTTTTATTAAAGATGCAGCACCATCTCTGACCCAAGAAAGGAGTCCAGATTTGCTTTGACTTCTCTAGAGTGTCATAAAGCATCAAATACTTATAAATATATATGTGTCCATGTATACATCTGTCTTATAAAGAAGACTTCTTTTTTAGAACTTAAAAGAGGCTTCTGCTGGATGCTTGTAAACTTTAAGAAATTCCTTTTCAGTGGATAGAAGCCTCTCATGGCTCTTTCTGGATTTATATTGAAGCGGTTTTGCTAGTCAACTTAGCTGGTTTTGAGAGATCAGAATGACTTCTTTTTTTTCTTTGATTAGTTTTTAAAATTTACTCTCTGCATGTAAAAGAAACTTGAAGCCTACATTTTTAACTTAAACTCATTCAGTGTTGTGGACAGCAATGGCAATATTTCCTGGTTTTCATGAAATTTGCTTTTAAGCCCAAAGATCTGGTAATTTTTTTTAACTCCTTAACTTCTGACATCCCTTACATTTTTCTGCTGACAGCATCTAGGGAGGCTGTGGCCTGGAGGAGCAAAGGGAGCTGCTCCAACCCCAACCCTGCACCATTTTGTGAGTTCAGATGCACCAATAAGGCCGGATGATGAACCTAGTGACAAGGGTTTGCTCTGTGAGCAGGAGCCCTCCTGGCAGCCTATGTTACGCTTTGCTCACTGGGAGCGAGCGATCAAGCGTATGTGTATGGAGGGTGAGGGGCCTGAAAAGGACCGAACACTTATTTGTTGCAATATATTGTATAAGAGGAGGAGTGGGTTATCTCATCTCGTGTAGGTTTGTGCTTCTCTGGCATGGTAGAGCTAAAACTCGAGAATCCTTTTACGTGTTGGACAGTAAACGTGCAGAGGATTTCCAGGAGTAAATTAATCCCTGTCCTGCGGGGTGACAACATTGTGGCAGGGATGGACAAGGCAGTTGTGGCTGTGAATAGAGGCATATGAAAAAAATAGATGTTAAGTTAGAGATGAGAATTGCTGAATGCTGCAACCAAAGCATTAATTTCCAAGGCTCCAGAGGCGCTCATGTGTTGCGACAGGGTCCACTCAAAGCCATGAGCAGGTGAGGAGAGGAACTGAAGGCAGCAGATCAAGCGTGCGTGAAACGCACTACAAAACCCAGGCATGAGCTAGAGGCAGGGCAGAAAGTTGGGGTTTCATCCCAGGGTTCCCCTTCCAGAGCGACTTGTCACATTTCTGAATACAGCCTCACTAAGCTGCACCAAATCAGGTAAGAATAATTTCAATTAGCTTGTTAAGTCTTGAAACTTCCTGCAGCAGAGCTCCTGTTCCCTGCAAACCTGAGTGCTGTCTCTCATGGCTGTATAACCCCCGAAGCTGGAGTTAAATCAGTTTTTGCAAGGCCATCTGTCAGCTAGTTTGAGATGAGCACAGCCGAGTGCAATGCACTGAGTAGCCAGTGGAAGGGTTTTTTATTTTCTGCCTAGACAAGTTGAATTTATAAAGCTGATTTTTTTTTTTTTTTTTTTTTTTTTCCTCGGGATGGGTAGGGAGGTTTTGCTGGTGATGCACTTGTCCACCTGAAGCATCCTTTCTTCTGGGGATCCTCAGTTCCTCTCCTGGTGCCTTTCCTTCACACAGGCAGTTGGTGGTGATCCCGCATTTGGTGCGCGTACAGCAGCAGACACTTAAAAGTTGTGAATGAAAGTGACTTGTGGTAATTATCACAAAATTAAAAATAATCTCCTGCTCTGGAATTGTGACAAAGTGCAGAAAAGAGATTAGTGCAGTAGGGGAGCAGTTGTGGCCATGGCAGGGAGAAGGAAGTCTCCCTGGCCTGGGGCTCTCTTGGCCGCATTGTCTTCCCAGCGATTTCCAGTGCTCAGCCTGGAGCAGCATTTACCCCCTTGTTCCTCCGTGGTCTTGAGTTGCTACTCCAGCTTGTGCCCTGAAAGTCTGTCAGCCTGATGCTCGCTTGGCACCGTATCTCCTGCTTCACTGGTAGTTGCGGGGCTTTTTGTTGAACGATCATAAAATTGTGTTGTCTTAGTGTCCTGGTTTGGGCTGGAATAGAGTTATTCCTTTTCAGGGACTAGATGGGTGCTGTGTTTTGGATTTAGCTTTGGGTTTGGTATGGGAAGAATGCTGACAGCACACTGATGTTTCCAGCTGCTGCCGAGACTCCAAGGACTCTCCGACTCCCCGTGTCCTGCCCGTGCGCAAGGGCACAGGGAGCAGGGGGGGAGCACGGCCACAGCACCTGACCCGAACTGGCCACTGAAATATTCCATATCATGGCACGTCATGCTCACTGTGTAGAGGAGGGGGGGTCGGGAAGGGGCTCACTCTCTCTCTCACTTCTGGGATTGCGATTGCGGGATCTCGGTATCTCGGGGTCGCTGGCCGGGAACGGGCTGGGGATTGGTTAGCGGGTGGGGAGCAATTACGTTGTGCATTGCCTGTTTATATATTTCTTTTTTTTCTATCATCATCATTGTTCTCGTTTTATTGCCATTATTAAACTGTTCCTACCTCAGCCCCCCCCCCAGCCTGAGTGCAGGTAGGCATCCCTCCACTCGGAGGACTTGCATGCTGGCAGGCAGTTGTGTGATCCACCCATTGCCCTCAAGTGGGGGAAAAGTTGGAGGGTTGAAAGAGCCTTTCTTCTTCACAGCCAAACTCTCAAGCTCTGCTGGGTGGTCTCTTGTGAAATTAAGCCGTTTTTAAAGGATTGTGGGTTGTTTCACAATGTGTGCTTGTAGGAATGCTTCAGACGGGAGCAGGGAGTGGCAGACTCGTACCTGGAGACAGGTGGCCTTGAATCTGTGGCTTGGGTTTGCGTTCTGTGAAAGCAGTCTTCCCTCTTCGTACCTGGGCTCTGCATGCAGAGGTGGTCGGGGAGGCTGGGGATCTGCCTTGGCAGGTGGGGTGGGGAGCTCTGCTCAAGCAGTTCTCGATCCCTGCTCGTGGGGGCCCTCCGGAGCCTGCTGGGCTGGAGCTCGTGGTCCCACTCGTGAGGCTCGCTGCAGGTCAGCAAACACCTCACAGGGCCGGTGGCACCCCAGCCTCTTCTCACTGTTGCCTAAAATTAAGGAGCTCCTTGCAAACTTGGGCTCGTGCTAGGAATTGGAAAGATGTCCTCGTGTTAGAGGAGGGTTTGGGCCCATGTTTCTAACTGTGATTATGTATCTAAAAGCTTTAGGCAAAATCTGAATTTCTCACCGTTCACTGTAGCAGAGTAATGGTGGCTTCTCCCAAAGGCAGTGGTAAAGAGAAATGCATCCATTTTTGTGATACATTTGGACATCGGATTCTATAAATAGATTCAATTATCAATACAGTTTGTCAAGTGCCTTCTCAGTGGCTGGAAAGCAGCTTAAGTGTGTCTCTGGGCTTCTCTATATAACCGGCTCTGCAGTGCAGTGTGGACTATTGCTTACGGTGCAGCAGGGATTTACAAGAACTCTCTCTACTGAAGCCTCTAGGAAAAATAGCACATCTTTGTGCTTCTGCATATGAAATTGTTTGGGTGACCCCTGTAACTTCAGCCTGCACTAGTGAAACTGAAAACTGAGCAAAACCAGCTGCTCTAAAGTCTTTCCAACCTGCTTGAAAGAGCAAAGCATTAGGCTGTTTTCTCAGTGTTTTGTTTTGTTTTGGTTTTTTTCCCCCTGATGTCCCTACTTTTACTGATGCTTTTTCCTTTTCTCCTCAGGTCTAGCACCAAAGAAGGCAGCCATCACTGAGGTGAGATATGTAAAGCTGGCCTTGAAAAATCCCGTGCTGAGAAATGAGAACACACAGCTCCAGAAAACATGTCTGCCTGACTTTTTTGAGCAAAGCTGGATTTCAAAATACATTTAAGATTACTGAAAATTTGATACCTGTTTTCTGAAAGAACATTGGTGGCACGTCTCTGGAGTGCCCATGTTGGCATCACCACAACCACAGAGGGGATGTGAAGGGGCTGTGCCCACCGCGTTGCCAATTTTAGCTGCATGATCCATGATGTCTGTAAGTGATTTGAGGGCACCTCTTCCACACCAGAACCTGAAGGTGATAAATGGAGAATCTGTGTATTAGACACCTCCAGGGCTCTGTGTTGGGTCTCACTTGCTCCTGGGAGCAGGTCAAGGAGGCTGTAATTTGTGATGCCATAAAATGGGGGAACATCTTGAGGGACTGATCTTCTCCCACATATAATCCAGGTCACTGTTACCTTCTGGGGCAAAACTCTTCACAGTTGGCAACGGGGAATCTAGTAGGAGGATCTGTGCCTGAAAGCTGTTCCCTGAAGCCCACACTCTTGGTTTAGGGCATAATATTCAAAACACTCTTGTTTGATCTAATTTTCTGACGTACCCCTTTACATTGCTCACCTGGGATGATGAGCATTTGTATACACGAATAGCAAAATTTTCCCAGAAAACTGCCAGGAATGTGATACTTGATTCTTTTTTTGCTTCCCCTGAAACAAGCATGGTATGAAGCTCAACTTCTGTGAAAGTTGAGTGCTTTGTTCAATGCACAAATAACCCCACTTTTTCTTGTCCTGGAAACACAGTCACAGGTAGAGCAAGAGACTGTGGAAGAGCCTTTTGTTACTGCATTTCATATGATGGCAATCTCTTAACCAATACCTGTGTCTGTTAATTTCTTTGAGAAGATGATGATGATGAGCCATGTGGTGTGAGGCAGGACAACAGAGCTTGAGCTTGTGTGTTTTATCTAGCTTGTTGGTCAGAAGCTGCCAGGAAAGGATAAGCTGTACTGCTAATCACAACTGCTTGGAGGAGTACTCCAGAGCACGCCTGGTTGTGCTAAATGTTTAAAACAGAGTAGAAAATAAATTTTTTCAAGGAGAAATCAGACTGTCTCTTAATACGAGACGTACAAAGTGGTTTGACCAGAAATAGCTGCAAGCTCTTGATTAAAAGCTAAAACACAAAGAACTTCTGTAGTCTGAACAAAATTATACATTGTCTGCTGTAGACATCGGTTCTGGGAGATGGGTCTGGGCAGCACTTGAGAGAGTGAGTGATATAATGATGTCTCTTGAGAAATGACCCTGGATCTTTCTGCGTGCTGTTTAAAGGGACATTCAAAGCCTGGCTGTTCTTCAGTGTAACAAACCCCTAAATGCTGCTGGTGGCTCTCCGGTAGTTTTAGCTGTCTGCTGGGCTCCGCAATCCACTGAGGTGGCAGGAGAGCTGGGGCGTAGGCGAGATGTTGCCCTGTGGCAGGGTACAGAGGCCCTATGCCTGGGGTTCCACAAGGGGCTGTACTGAACTTCACAAAACGTGTTTCCCTTGGCTTGTTAAAGGGTGCGGCCACGGTCTGCTCCCACCTGGCTTGGCAAAAAAAGGCCCAGGCAGGCTCGGAGGTAGAAGAGGAGGAGAATGGGGTAGGAGTAGGTTTGTTCTCATGCTGAAGTGCTGGCAGTCCTATAGTGTTTCTGTAAACTCTTTGCAAAACTGCAGAAAGCTCTGTTACTGCAGTTCACCGCATGCAGGCTCATCCTTTCAATTGTAAACAAATGAGATCTCGCTTAAATGGATTATCTCCACGTGAACACACGAGTGGGGTTGTGTTGTCCCTGTTATCTGTCTCTCATTGCTCCAGTGAAGCGCGCGGTATTGGCATGGCACCTGAGGGCGTGGGATTTTTAAGAATAAACTTGTCTCACTGTTTGCTTTAATACATCACTATTTTAAATCAGTGAGAAACCAGCCGGGCACTGGGGGAATCTTTGCAGCTGGGAAGCAAGCAGATTGTTGCTGAGGGCTCTGCCCAGTCAGGGCTGAGGGTATCAGATGGAGTGGCTGGGTATGCTAACGCTTGTCTTGAGGGGTGGATTCAAACAGACTTGTTTAAAGCTCGCCAATGCCAATTACACTTGTTTGTACTCTGCAGATTTTTCTCCAGCAATAGAGAGCAATCCCTCTGTCCTGTACAGCTGTGATCATGTGGTTGTACTGTGCTGCTCTGCTTGTTCTTGTCAGCCAGGTCAGCTCCTGTTCTGGGCTTTAGCTGTGCTCTTTCATTGCAGGGACCATCGCTACCAGGACAGCCTGGGCAAGGAAAGAAGATAGGTCATCGAGGTGTTGATGCTTCTGGTGAAACCACCTACAAAAAGGTTTGGTTTTGGGGAGCGGGGAGTGGCAGCTTATATGTAGGTGACAGGCTGAGAAGTTGGTGGAAAATAGCTACCAACCTGATTTAGATTTTATGCAGCACCCTTGTAGTGCACAGTCTCGCAAATGGCGAACCTGGACGCCCTGATCCATCTCTTTGGCAGCTGGTTGAACTTGTTCAGCAGTATGTAGTGCCTGAGATGAGCCCTCAGAACTCATAGGTATGGCTGTGTTGTAGTACAGGGGATGTTGCTGTGATAATCTGCTGTGAAATGCTCACTGACTGCTTTCTTCTTTCTGCCAGACCACATCATCCACTCTTAAGGGGGCCATCCAGCTGGGGATCGGATACACTGTCGGCAATCTGAGCTCCAAGCCAGAGAGGGATGTCCTCATGCAGGACTTCTATGTGGTGGAGAGCATTTTTTTCCCAAGGTAAAGGAGACAGGGGAAACAAAACGAATGGATGAGTTACTTCTTTTCCCCTCACTGATTTTGCAAGAGAGCTTCCATCTGTCTTTAGATCAGAGTTGGATGCTCTGAATGTTTTAAATATGCATCCGCTGCATGCAAACGTAACAGTGGGAAGTGTTAGATTCTGCAGTACACTGACTTGCAAGGAAGTACAATGTAAGATGCAGTACTATATGCTTGAGTTTTTTAGCCTCCTACGTGCTGTTCTTTCTACCTGTCCATCTAGAATTTCTTCCACAAAATATACCACGTTTGAGGTGGAAGAAAGTAATTCTGGGAGCTCTGTGACTCTGAATAAACAAAGCTCATAAAAGCTATATGCTCTGCATAAATATATTCTGCTTGGCAAGTGGCTGTTCCTTGCACGCTCTGGAAATAGATTCTGGCAGATAATTTTAAACCTATTTTCCTGTTGTCCTAACACAGAAGAAATATATTTTGTTGTTGTTCCTAAGATGCCTTTTTGCAAGCGTCAATTAATCTTAAATGTACGGGAGCCTTGATGTGACTGTACGTATCTGGTGAATGGTAATAGAGGCCCTGCTAATGTTCTGTTCTGTGCAGCGAAGGAAGTAATCTCACCCCGGCTCACCATTACGCCGACTTCAGGTTCAAGACCTATGCACCAGTGGCTTTTCGGTACTTCCGAGAACTCTTTGGCATTCGTCCAGACGATTATTTGGTATGGATATATTTTGGGATTTCTCTTTTTCCTCCTTTATTTGAGACAATCGAGAGGAACACAAGAGATTTGCCCCTAAATCAAGGCTGTCAGCAATTCTTGCCTAAAAGGGACAGAAGAGACTTGAGGAATTGTTACGATCCCAGCAAGGAGTGGGAACAGGCTGTGGATTTAGGGACTCTGTTCAGTTTTGGAGGAGACTTGGTGACAGTCCCAGCAAGACCAGCGCCACTCAGCCCAAATCTTATTTTACTAAGAGGTAGCTGCAAGCTTACACTGGAGGGAGAGGAAATAATTTGCATACAGTGTCTGCCGTGTAACCTGTGCAGTGGGGTTCCCTCCCTGTTGCTTGTGGTGACAATAACTTACTGTGTTTACAAGCAAAGGGAGTTGTGTTCTGTTGGGTGCAAATCTGTAATGTCCCCTGGGGCTCTGAGGACAAAGATGGGAATTTTTCCTTGTGTACTCACTCGAGAGCTATGCGAGTGTAGTTATTTTAATCATCTTACAAAGACAGAATAAAATACATCTTGTTCTTGTGCTCAGAAACCTCCTCAGAGCTGGAAAGGCTGGTTTCAAAACACCTAGTAGTACAAAGTGCTGGGGCTTGGAGTACACGGAGGTTGAATTTGGTCCCTTGCATGTATGTGACATCCTGCTCTTCGGAAAAGGACATTTGTTGGACTGGGGAAGGGACCAGCACATCCAAATAAGCGCATGCCCTCCCCCTTTTTTTAATAGCCCTTTTTTTCTGACTTCAGCTGTAGACAGGGGTAACTGTAGCTGAACACCTCAAGTAGAAACAAATCTGTGCCATTGCACAGTCTGACAATAACAGTGGTCCCCCTCTGTGCCATCCAAGATAATGCTGGCCAATTTGGTGAGTGGTTCAGAACTAGGGTGAGGCAGAGAGCCTGCCTCAGTTGCAAAGGTCACAGCTCTGATTTGTTGCTTCTGCTTCCCCTGATTCTCTCTTGCCTGCTACAGCAGCAAATGTCTTTAATTATGCATCAGATAATTAACTTGATCAAGTCTTGGATCATTAATCTGTGCGGGGCTGAAAGCTGTTTTCAGTATGTAATGATGAGCATTTAATTTATTGCTCTGATGATGTCCCTTTACACACCTTGCCTCCCTCTCCCCATCTTACCTCTTGCTGTGCCCGCTCTGACGTGATACTGTCCTGAACCCGCTCGACCTACGCAGTTGCCTTGGGGTTGGTACCTGGCTGCAAAGTGCACGTGCATGCTTGTGCTTTCTTCCCTTTTTTCCTGCTGCTAAGCGTGTCCTCATTTGAGGACCGGCTGTTTACATACTGATGTCTAGGAATGTCCTCCCGGTTCAATTCCCGAGGCAGTACCCCTTGCTGTGCTTACACAGCACTGATCCCTCTTGTTTGAACACCCAGGCTAATACTTTTCATGTGTTTCTGGCAGGATTGAGGGGGTGAGATGTGGCTGTAAATATCCTCTGTAGCAGGGCAGCACAAGGTCAGAGGAGGCTGCTGAGACCAGCCAGTGCATTGTGTTCCCTCCAGCATGGTGATACGTGGTACCCTGAGCAGACTGTCAAGTCTCTTAAAATCCTCTCTTTCCATCTGCACTTGCAGTAATGTGCTGAAAGAAGCCTAAATGTGATACACACATACATGCACAATGGGAAAAGATAAGAAGTCATTATGGAGCCTGGATGTTACTGAAAGCAGATGATTAGCTTGATTCTGAGAAGTTGGGACGCCCTGAACTGTAATCTTGGTCTCTAACTATAAATTGTCCATCAGCTTTGCTACTTAGACCTAACCTGGTACGAAAATAGCTATCACTTAGGCTTTGCAACCCCGTAATCTCACAGGGAGACAGCATGCTGGGGAAAGCCCTCAAGGGCGTAGAACTCAATGTGCAATGAGTGGGGGCTAAAAACATCTTTTTCTTTTCCTTCCTAGTATTCATTGTGTAATGAGCCTCTGATAGAGCTGTCGAACCCTGGTGCCAGCGGCTCCCTCTTCTATGTCACCAGCGATGATGAATTTATCATAAAAACTGTGATGCACAAGGAAGCTGAATTCCTACAGAAGCTCCTTCCTGGCTACTACATGGTGTGTATCACCCAGCACCTTGGACCCAACTGGGGTTTGTTGTGGCAGCTTTTCTGTCCAAAGCATCACACAGGGCATGTCTTCCACCTGGGTTTCTTGTGGCCTGCTTGCCCTGTGCCAGTGACAGTGTTAACAGTGTGTGATGAAGCCAGTCCCAGAAGCACAAATCTTGCCAATTATTTGCAAACTCCATGGGTAAACTCGAGGCAGATAATTGTGCTATGGCTTGTAGGCACGTTCTGGCCTGAAAATGGCTTCCCAGATTCTGGGTGTCCTTTTCCCAGCACTAGTTCATTCCTCCTCTCTTGGCACCATGCATCTGCCTCAGCCTGTCTGTGGAGGATGGCTGTTGATTGCAAGAACACAACCACCTTGGCTTTGTGGGGAAACCACTGCTGTCCCTGGATATCTCCCATATCTGCTGTTCAACAGAATTACTCTGAAAACAGTTGCTGGTTGTCCTGGCTCCCACTGGCTGCAGTACCAAGCTGAAGGCTCCCTCAGTACAAGCCAGCTTTGCACATCCAATCTGCTACAGGTAGTTGTTGCCTAGATTTCAAGGCTAGCAAGGCAATATATTGAGACCCAGAGGACTTTCATGTGGTGACAAGCAGTAAATCAGAACCAAACGTGATGGTTTTGTGTGTAAATGAGGAGCTGTCTCCCTGCATAACTGTGGTGAAGGGTCCAGCTCTATAGGTGAGGGCACTGGAGTTCAGTTAGAACCACCCACGGTTTTGTTTGCTGTGCAGGTGCTGAGGAGAAGGTGATGGCAAGCGATGTTAATGCTGCCCCATCTGTGTGCATGTTGCAGTGGATTTGATTTATGTGATCATATGCTGCTTTGATGAAAGTACTTGCCTTGCTCAGTATTAACTGGGGAAAATTTGCCAAAGTGAGACGGGGTCTTGGGTATCTGTGTATACCTGACAGCCAGTTACTTCCTTTTGCAAGTGACAGTCAAGTTCCTGGACAGGATGAACTTTATTGGAAAGTGTTGCCTGTTACTCAATATATGTAGTAAATCAGGTGGAGGGTTTTGATTGGGAATGGAGTCGCACTGTTCTGAATTCTGCAGTTGTCCTGGCTAGCAATCAGTGCATCGACTTAAACTGAACTTACCTGCCTGGTGCCCAGTTTACGTGCTCCTTGCAGCATCCCAGCGTCAGTGGGTTGCTGTGGTGCTAACACATGATCTCTCTGTTCCTGGGAAACCACCCAGTGTAAAAGCAGCAGAGTGGTTTCATCCTGAGTTAAAGCTGGGCAGGTGCTGTTTGCATTTAGTCTTGCCTGCCTCTCTTGTGCTTTTAGCTTGCACCGAGTTGAACAGCGCGCTCAGAGGGCGCTCACTTAGGTGAGGTGAGGAGGTACATGAAATTTTAATACAGTTGTGCTTCTGCCATCTGTCAGAATCTGTCAGGTCTGTCCTTTCTCTCATAGCATGCAGAGATATTCTGTTTCCTTCCCAAACTTTCCCAAAGCTGAACAAGCAAATCATGCCTGTCATGTCATTCCTAATAATACCGCTGTCTGAAAAAAGGACATGATAGCAGAGCAGGATATCCGTGCTCTCTGGCCAACTGTGTTTTATAAAGCAACTCTGCAAAAAGAGGAAAAAATATATGTTTTTTTTTTTTTTTTTTTTAAACAAAACAAAAGTACCCTGTCCCTGGTTTATTCTAGGCCAGAGAACGGCTCTTGAGTTCTGACACTTCTGAAGAGATGAAGATAGCTGTTATTTTTAAACCTGAAGTTCCCACTTATTGTGTTTATTTCTCTTCCAATTTGGTTTCCCTTTTTTAGCTGCTGTTGATGGGGAAAGTGGGGAATTTCCGGACTTGGTTATTTGCCCAGAGACTGCTGAACATCTCATTGCCTGTATTCAAGGCATAGTCGTATTTCCAGGTCCTAAAGCCACTGAAATTCAAGAGTTTGTCAAATGTGTACAGTAAGCTTTCATGTGAAGTTCAGAAAATTTCCAGGTGAAGGATCACAGGTCTGACTGCTTCAAGATCTGTTTGCCTGCTTTGTGTTGAACACAACAGGACTCTTCTGCCAAAATGACCTTTCCCCATACTTTTTTCCAACCCCACTGCAGAATCTGAACCAGAACCCACGGACACTGCTGCCGAAGTTTTATGGACTGTACTGTGTGCAATCAGGGGGCAAAAACATCCGTGTGGTTGTGATGAACAACATTCTGCCTCGCGTGGTGAAAATGCACCTGAAATTTGACCTGAAAGGCTCAACCTATAAACGCCGGGCATCAAAGAAGGAAAAAGAAAAGTCCAGCCCTACGTATAAGGATCTAGACTTCATACAAGACATGCCCGAGGGCCTGATGTTGGATGCAGACACCTTCAGTGCATTGGTGAAAACGTTGCAACGAGACTGTCTGGTAAGGAGGAGGCCAGCCTGGGGAGGAGGTTAACGAAGTTCTGTGGCTCTTGAGCATGAGGAGGAGCAAATGATTGAGAGTGCTGATCTGGTAACCCCAAAGCAGGATAAATCCATTCTACTGTCCTTTTCCCTGAAAGCAGAGCAGTGGAGTTGGATCTCGTGACAGCCCCTGAGCGCAAAGGCCGAGTTCCTTTGCCTGGTGTGTCAAATCGTGGCAGCCTGCTCCACTTGTAGCTGGCATATTGGGACTAAATACATTTTTCCTATACAGTGTGCAGCAGATACATGGTGCAGCTATGTTATTTGCAAGCCTTCAGCCCTTTGGGTTGACTGTGGGATGGCCAAGCCACACGGTTAAGTCCAGAGATGACTGCTGGTTCAGAAACATTCAAGCTCTGATGGAGTTAGTGGGAATGTGGACAGGCTGTTCTATGCTTTGGGATCTGTGCTGTATTTGAGCTGCTAGCCTGATGCTATGTCTTTGTTCTTAAACTCAATGCTAACCTGTAGGTGTTGGAAAGTTTTAAAATCATGGACTACAGCCTCCTGCTGGGGGTTCATAACATAGACCAGCAAGAACGGGAGCGGCAGTCTGAGGGAGCCCACAGCACGTCGGATGAGAAGCGTCCTGTGGGGCAGAAGGCACTTTACTCCACAGCCATGGAGTCCATCCAGGGTGGGGCTGCCCGGGGGGAGTCCATAGACACAGATGACACGTAGGTGAAAACCTGGTTTGCTTGAGCTGCTGGGGCGGGGGGCGGTGGAGACTGGAGTAATAAATCCCCACTGAGGCTCATATGGCTGGTTTAGGGTGAGCATCTCTCCTGGGGATTGCGGTGCTGGGGCCAGTAGAGCAGTGTGCTGTGAAAGGGGGAAGCTGGGGTGGGAAATACTTCTGTAGGACTCCAGCCTCAGTGATCTTGCTTTGTAGGCCAGTCTGTAGGTTGTCAGCTCCTTTAACAGCCTCTAAACATCCACCTGTGCTCTGGGGAGGAGAAGCTAGCTCAGTTCTAGCTCAGCATCCAAGTACTGGAGTGGAAGCAGGGGTCAGCCTGTCCCCAGGAGGTTGGTGTTTGTTCTCCATCACTCCATCTTTGGAATCCCTGACAGTACCCTGAGGCCACCCCGGTGTGGCTAGCAAACAGCAACCTAGCCGAGTGCTGGAGTGACTGGTAGAGCTGTGGGCTGGGGAGAGGTTGCCCAAACCTGTCCTGTGCTGTGCCCAGTCTGGCTCTTGGGCTGCAGGTGGCTCTTGTGACTCTCACTCTGGCTCTGTGGACCAAGCTCACTAACAGATGGTGGAGTTAGTTGTTTGCTGTCTGAAACCAGCTGCTCCGGTTTTGATGAAGGATCAGTCACGGTGGAGCCAGGATAATACTTTGGTGTTTCCATTCTTTCAAGTAGCATCATTAATTGCAGTGGCCTGCCTGATACCTGCATGCTTTTGTTGTGTCCTGGTGCTAGTGGTTGCTGCACCCTTGGCAGGACTGATACTAGTGTGGATGTGACTGGAAATACCCTCATCCTTAAAGGCATCAATAATTAAATACCCTCATCCCTGATAGGCAGACAGCTCACACTGACGTGATAAATAATCTGATCCCCAGAATGAAGTGTCCTATAGAAAACATGATGTGGTGTTTTCTGGCCCAGGGAGAGCTGTTGGCATGCGACAGGGGTCCTGTCCTGATAGCTGGTGTTTGGTGATCCAGACAGGCAGTAACCCCCGGGGCACCTTGTGTGAGATGGCCTGGGTCAGTAGGTGACTTCCCATGGCTGTGCACAAAGCGACTTTGCAGGTTTTGTGTTGTGTCTGACCGCCACATCAGAGCCCTCTTTTCAGTGCTGCTGTCCACCCTGCCGCAGGTCTTGGGGGTATTACAGCTGCTCTCTTTGAGGCTGCATTCGCTGAGGTTTTGTTTTACCTGCAGGATGGGAGGAATCCCAGCAGTGAACGGCAAAGGAGAGCGTCTCCTGCTACATGTAGGAATAATAGATATCCTTCAGTCATACAGGTAGGTAACTTGCAGTTGTCTGTCCTTCACGTGTGTTAAGATCTATTTTAATACTGAATGAAAGCAGGAAGATTTTCCTCTCTTGAAGAATTTGGTAATGAGTAGGCAGGCTGCCTAAAGCTGTCTGCTGATGCACGTCGGGGGCTGTGGGTTTTTATCCTGTCACTAGAACAGCTGGTGACACAGAGCCATTTTTCTAAGATTCAGTGAGTTGCTCACGAAGAAGCTTCCTGTCTCTGTGCCTAGGATGGGTTGCATATCTCCGAGGTTGGCAGGTGATTTCTGCCCCTCTTCCAGCCCAGCTCCTCCGTCCCTGTAGGGTTCCCAGGCAGTCCTGACCAGACTGCAGAGGTGCTGGTGTGCTCAGCTGACCCCTCTTGCCTGGAGGAAGGCTACGCTCCGGATGGAGGAGGAGGAATCCTTAGCAGCTCAGTGATCTCTCCTGTGTGGGGTATGAAAGGTGGCTTAGATACAGAGTACGTGCCTGAATTGGTCTCTCTCTTTTTTTTTCTCCACTTCCCACCTGGAATTAGGTTCATCAAGAAGCTAGAACATACCTGGAAGGCCCTTGTCCATGATGGGGTGAGTGCCTGTACAGAGGCAGGAATTGTCCAGGCCTCAGCAGGATTACCTGCCTTGGCTTCATTTATGCTAGTTGGTACTGATTACCTTGCTATTTATAGTGCCTGAACTGGCACAGCTGAAGGTGATGAAAGGAATAGTTCTTGCCTCTTAGGCCGCTACAGCAGCGTGTTGCCGCTGGTTCCCAATCAGGTTCCCTTGCTCACTCCACCTCCTCCCATGTTTAGCTGCCGTGTTACCAGCTTTCCTCCTCTGCTTCCATCTGTCATATTCCTCCTCCCCCTGATACCAGGAGCTGTACACACAAAGTGTGTACATTCATGTATGTGTCAAGGAGCCCTGGTTTGCTCTCTTCGGTGGTTGTTTCCACATCAGTACCCTGTCTTTTAATAAACCCCTTTCAGTGTTTCCCTGCTGTCTTGTCTCCTGCATTAGGCAGGTGCATGTTTACAAAAAAGCAACTTTGGATGTGGAAACTATTTTTCAGCATTGCGTATTCTAGCTTCCCTTAACTAATAATGCAAAGGAAATGTATAGATACAGTCATGATAGCACAGTCAAACATCATAAGCAGAGACAGCTTCAGTTGTACTATTTTAAACAAAAAGTTCAAAACATTTGAAATGTATGGAGAGCTTTAGCTGAATTTTGTTGTCTCTGCTGTATGCAAAGGTATCCAGGTGTGCTTTGAATGTCATCCAGCAAAGCCAGGAGAAATTTCATGTATGTAATCAGGCCAATATTTGAAAAATGCAGAAAGTCTACAATGGAATAAAATCACCCAAATCCATTATAAAATTATAGCAAGAATATAATCAAATGCAATCAAATCAAAGGCAATGCTTCAGGCTTATTTATAGCATTAATCAGATCATGTCAGTTAAGCCTTTCCATTTTAAGTCTCTATCAGTGCTAAATGTTGGAATAAAAAAATCTGTATTGGTTATTATAGAAATTCTGCCTTGAGGGTTATTTTATAATTAAACAATTGCTTCTTGCCTTTGTAGGACACAGTGTCAGTACATAGACCCAGCTTTTATGCAGAGAGATTCTTCAAATTCATGACCAACACAGTGTTTCGAAAGAATTCCTGTAAGTACCTGGTCCGAGAGCTTTTGCCCTTGGGATATGGGGCAGGCCTCATCTCAGTCCTGCTGCTTCAGTCCACACGGAGAGTTTCTGGGCTGGGATCTGAGCAGGCTTTTCCACTGTAATCTAGAGCAAAGCTGGGGAACCACAAAGCCCTCAGGTTGGTCTGCTCAGGCTCCCACCCAGGAGCTCTCCCCGCCGGCTCAGCCCTTTGGAGATGGCGCTTGCAGAGCTCGTGTGTGTGTGTGAGCAGTCAGAGGCCTCTCCCCACGAAGGGAGCAGTGCCTTTGGTTCGACAGTAGTTGGTGGTGGTAATTTCACCTTCTCTTTCACTCTTCTCATCCAGCTCTGAAGTCATCTCCCTCCAAGAAAGGGCGCAGTGCCTTGCTAGCTGTCAAGACGGCTGGTCCGACAGCTGCGTTTTCCGCTAGCCAGCTTCCTTCTGAAAAGGATGAAACACAGTATGATCTTCGTGCGGCCAGGAGTTACCCCACACTTGATGATGAAGGTAATGGTCTCGTCTGGCGGCTGAGGGCTGTGTGATTACACTCTCTCTTCTAGCAGTTCCACAAGACCCTCCCCTGTTCTCGTCAAGTTCCCCACTGTGCACCAACCGCATGTCTTCCTTGATGTGTAGCTCTTCATTGCATGTCTTCCTGTGCTTTGCAGGTGCTAAACTTAACCAGGACAGGGAAGAAGGTAAGAGTATATTGCTTTGTCACAGCACCAGCAGTTAGTTGATTGGAGAAGCAATGCCTCTGCATTGAAGAAGATTGAATCCCTTCTTTGCAGCACTGTATGATTCTGCAGTAAAAATGGTTGCTTGCGTCACTGCTGCAAGGCAGCCGCTGCCAACTGGCACCAACAGTCGTAGCCCAAAAGTAATCAGAAAGTTGAATTTTCCACCCTTTAAAAAAAGTGGGGGGAGGAGAGGCAGAAGTGGGAACTGCAGGACTCTAATGACAGTGTTTGGACAGTTATAAAGAGCAAGAGCTTGATATTGAAAAAAAAAGACAAATGTCCTGGTTCTGTGCTGCTTTTTCATCACTTCCATCTGGGCTGGATTTACAGATGCGTGGTGAAGGACAGGCTCCTCGAGTGCATAGGTGTTAGATTTCTACCTGTGCAAAGCAGTGAGCACTCGGTTCATCTCTCGGATTCACTTGGATATTTATCTCGGGTGACCCAAGCCTTTAATCCAGCTTTGGTTCCCAGTGAAACGTCTTCGTTGGCATTACACTGCCTGTAGTGTGTGTCTGTCTGTCATGCTGGAAATGGTGCTTCCTGGCTCTCTCTAGAGGATGCCTCGGGAGAAGCTGTTGCATTCATGGACACAGCTAAACGTCTTGCCTGTTTGTGGTTTTAAGTGGCCGGTTCCAGTGAGGGGTGTGGGGGTTGATGGTGGAACAGCCTCCCGCAGGGCTGGTGTGGGTAAGGTGTTGGTGTTCGACCTACTCATCTTGTTCTTCCTGCATTTCTCCTGCCCTCCGCTCTGGGCCAGCAGGCAGGCCAGACCTGCTACCCTGCACACCTCCTTCCTTCGAAGAAGCTACCACGGCCTCCATAGCCACAACACTGTCTTCAACATCTCTCTCCGTTCCTGAGCGATCCCCTTCGGAGACCTCTGAGCAGCCCCGGTACAGGTGAGGGCAGCCCTTGTCCCCTGCTCCCACTGGAACCAAGTGGCTGCCATTCCTCTTCGTGCTGCAGATCTCAGCGGGCTGCCTTCTGCTCTGGAATGCTAATGACCGATTTTAATTAAATCTCTCCTGGGAGCAAGCAGACATAGCTTTGATGGGATTAATTATTGCTGGAAGAAGTGTCAGCTGTTAAGTAGAACATCTCCCTCATGGGGTGGGGAGTTAGATTTGGGAGCAGTGTAGGGTATTTGTCTTAAATCGCTCCTCAGACTCTTCTGGTTTCTTTCTGCAGGAGGCGCACACACTCCTCAGGGCAGGATGGCAGGTGAGAGAAGTGTTGCATCTCTTCTGCTGCTGCACAGAGACCTCACGTTTGTCCCTATGCAAAGCTCTCTGAGGGCTGCCCCAAGATTTTGGTAGCATCCTCTGGAGGACGAACTTCTTCCTGTAGTCAAATGATCACCACTTCTTACACAGAATTTTTCTTATAAGCACATCTCTCGGTGCTTTGTAAGGAATCTTAAATATTACCTTTGTTACCGGATGGGAAAGGGGACAACTGAGTTGGCCAGATTTATTCACCCAGTCAGCACCAGAATCAAGGAAGGTTGTTTATGTCCCCCTCTGGGTAAGCGAGCCTGAACAGCAGCAACATTCCTCCTCTGTGTATCTGCCTGCCGCCTGCGTGCAGTGGGTGTCAGTGTGGGAAAGGGCTTTGACTTTGTGAGGCACTGAGCACCCCTGGTCCCCAGAGAAGTAGCTGCCAATGTTTTCAGAAACTCGGATGCTTGGAGGGTTTTTTTTTTTCCCTCCTGTGGTGATAGGTGGCTCAGAGCCAAGGGCAAGGCAGGACAAAAATCCCCTACTGTATAGGGCTGTCTGGATTTAGAGGCTCATATCATATAATTATCTTGCATATTTTTGCACCGGTAAAAATGACCCCGTTGCCTATGTCAGCAGGATCCACATGAGGACCCTGCGTTTGCTGCTGACTCTGCCCTAGCTTTCCAGGACATCTTGTAAGTGCTGGAGGTGCAGACTTTGAAGTGCATGTCAGAGACTCAGTCTTGGGATATGGCACAGCCAGGGGAGCTGCTGCACAGGCTGACACCCTCGCTCCCTGCAGTCAGTGCCTGGTGTTTCAGAGCGAGGCAAGGACTTCAGAAGATGAGAGTTTGCACCATTTTACAGATTTCTCCCTTCGCTCCAAGCTTTTAGTGATTTGCTGAGCTTCAGACCACATATACTGTGAAAAAAATCCCTTTCTGTGGTATTTCTTAATGAAAATACCTCTGGATGCTGCATGTCACTGAATCTTGGTAAATTCCTGTCACTGGAGGATGAGGACCTGCTTGCCATTGGTTTGCAGCAGCTGTTGAAGTGTAAGGGAGCTGAAAAGCACCTCACCTTCTGCAAAATCCAGTGTCTGAAATGGCTGAAAATTGAAGACTTAAACTCGTGCATCAGTGGTGGGACTTGTTAGACAAAATGCAGTGACTTCACCCGAGTTACTCCGGGCTCCCTTGGTACCTAACGGAGGGAGCTGCTGTGGGGTGTGACCACTCGTCCAGCAGCAGGTCAGGTGAATTGAAGTGGCTGTCCCTCGGCCGTCCCGGGAGCTTAGCATCTTGGTCAAAAGTAGATGTGCCTGTCACAGATTTGCCACAGCTACAATCACCCCATGCAAACATGGTCGTCTTTGCTATTTTTTGCCAAGTTTCTCCATTTCTGGTGCTGGTGTCTCAGCACCCCCCTTTCTCGGGGAGCAGGGACCTGTGTATTTGTAGAGCACTCTGTGATCCCCCGGTGAAAGCCAGCACAAGAACAAAGTTATTAAAGTGTGAGTTTACATTCCTGAGCTGAAATGAAAAAGACCTTACCCAATTTGCTCAAGAACATGTCACACCCCTGATTATTCTGATCCGCTGGGGAATTCCCTCCGGGTTTCTGAGATCCACCCCGGTGAGGAGCAAGTTCCCGGCTCCAAGCTGGGCAGGAGTGCCGCCCGCTGGCTCGGGCTCCCAGCCAGGCCAGCCCAGAGCAGGACGGTGCTGCCCGTCAGCCCGGAGCTCGGCCCTTCCCCGAGACTCAGCCCTCGGCTTGGCCAGCACCCGCTCCTCCTTCCCACGAGGACTGCGGAGCCAGCCCCACCACCCCGGGCAGTTACTGTAATAGCATGAGATATTAAATTGAAGACTGTCACAAACTGCTCCTCGGCGTGCAGATGAATCTGGTGTTAACCCTGGACTGCGTGAGCAGCTTTGGTGCTCCGGGAGTCTCAGAAGAGGTTGGAGGCTTTGGCCCTTGTGCAGTTGATAGATAATGCCGGGCAGACTCTGCACGCAGGTTTTCCCCAGAGGCCAATTCTCTTTCATCCCGTACTCCATTTGACAGTGCCCGTCTTTTTTGCAGCATTGGCTAATTAATCCCTTTCCTCTTGTCCTCTTTTCCCCCCTTGTTAGTGTCGAGCGCTGCAATCTGACAGGATTGACCCTTGCCTGGGAGTTTTGCTTATCCACATCCTCAACCCTGGGAGGTCTGATGGTTCCCTCTGAGCCGAAGTCAACAGCTTGCTCTGTGCCGGGAGCTCGGTGCCGCGAGTGGCTGGCAGCCGGCAGCCACAGGCCAGGGCTGACCAGTGCAGCTTGCTCCTGCGAGAGGGGCTGGGCTGACTCAGGACTGGTGCAGGCTGACTGAAAATTGAGGACTGTGCATAACTACTGCCCAACTGAGCCTCTGAGCCTGTCTCTTCGGTTTCCAGGTCACACGAGGAGGTGCGGGTTGAGGAGGAGCTTCAGCAGATCAGTGTGGAGCTGGAGCCCAAGTGTGATGTTGAGATCGTAGCTCCTGAAGAAGGTGACAAAGAGTGAGTGTTTCGGAGTGTTGGGCAGCTTAGCAGAGCCCTACCCAGTGTTACTTGGTCTGTGGCAGCTTGTGCTAAAGGCTGGCTTTGTAGGACACCAGCTTCCCTGGAGAGAGGTCCTTCCCCTGACAGTTCAGTGAAACTGGGGGCAGCTACCTCTGACCTGATCTTTCTGGCTGTGACAGTGGAGCATCTTGAGCTCCTCTGTAATAAATCATAAAGTCTTGCTTGCTCCTGTTCCGACTGCAGTGACTAGACTCTGCCATTTCTTCCCTTTCCAGAGAGGCGGCTTCTTCAGCCTGTGCCATTGTAACGTCCACAGCTACAATAGAGGTGGAGACAGCCAGCCAGGCCTCAGAACCAGCCAGCCAGGCCTCGGATGAAGATGACGTGCCAGTCACAGACATATACTTTGTAAGGCAACTTTTCTGCATGGCCCCTTAGCGGTGTGATGGGAAGGGTTGGACGAGGCTGTAACAGTCTCTATTTCAGGCAGCGGGGTGCAGGGCGGCGTCTGCCCCACGTTATCTTCATGTTGAGCACCTTGAGCTCTTAATGCTGGAAGCGTTTTTGAATGCAGGGAACTGGATTAACCCTGGGACAACTCAAAACAGCATCTAGTGGGGCTCAAATGGGTGGCACTGCTGCTGTGGATGTAGCCATAGGTGTGCTGCTCTGCTTCAAAGCACAAGCACTGAAAGGCTCGTTGAGGGCAGCGTGTTGACTCCTGGGTCAAGCCAAGGTGAACGTAGGTGCAACTGAGAGGTTCCTTCCTCGGCCTGAGAGCCCGCCTGCTTTCCTGAACACAAGTGTGCTGCAGTGGCCTAGAGCCAGAAGGAGGTGGCTGCAGTGGGGCTGACCTCAGGCCCTGGTGAACTTTGGCTTTTCCTTTCCCTGCAGGCAGATGCGTTAGGTGATGCAGTGGAAATCTAGTGCTGAGACAGGGAGTAAGTGAGGTGGTTGCTGGTTGGCAGCAGAGTGCTGTGGAGCCTGGTGCTGTGTTCCTCAGTCAGCTCTTGCAATGTCTGAGCAGCTTCTGCAGACCGGAGGAGAGTTTTTAGCAACACGTGCCTGTCTGTGCCCCGTGGATTCCCAGAGCAGAGCTGAGGGTCTGACCCGTGAGAGCTCTCCCCCATGCCTGGGCACTAGAACCTGATGAAAAGAGGTGCCTAGCTCCTCTCTGCTCTGGCTTGTTGCTGTCTGTTACATGACGGTGGAGATGAGCTGAGCCTTTGTGATAAGCTCCTGCAGGCTAACCTAAAAATGGCAACATTTGCCTTTCCCTGTGCTTGTGTGACTCTGCTGCAGAGCTGCTCACTCATTGCCGAGTCATTCCAAGGCTCGTGGGATCTGTGGAAGGAATCAGCTCCATTTTAAAAGCTTGTCTGTTTGGGTTTTTATGCATGCTGTTCAAAACGCAAACAGCTCCCTTTAACACTGGCTGCTCTTTCTTTGCCTGTGGATGGCAGCTGTGTGCAAGCTGCCTGCAGTTACTGCCTGCTCCACTGGCAAGTGTCTTTTAGCAAGGGTCAGCTCCTCTTCCTCCCTGTCCCCGGGCATATGGACTCCCCCAACTTGAGGGGCATCTCTCTATCTGGAGGAAACCATCTGTGTACAGTACGTACTCACAGCGTGACTGGCTGCTCGTCAGCATTTCATACTGTGTCTAAGTCCTTGAGTTTTGCATTAAACGTGTGTCGTGTGCTGTGGAGTGTTTGTCACTGCTGGGATGAAGGGAGAAGCTGATTTGGGCTCCCACGGGCATTCTCCTTGGGAAACCACTTGAGTTGGAGCTCAAGTGAGGCTGCACCAGAGTGCAGCAGGGCCACAGCTGCACTAGTGCTCCAGGGGCAATGGTCGGTGAAGCAGTGCTGTGTGCAGAGGATGATTTGTCAAGTCCCAGGGGACCATGATCTGATCTTTGGAAGTCTGCTCCTGGAAGGAGAGCACTTTATCCTCCTGTTCACCCACAGGGCAATGAAAGTGCAGAGATTGTGGCAGGGCATGGGCACCGCTCTTCCCACGCACGGCTTTCCTGCCTGCTGATCCGTTAAGGCCTGGAGTTGCCCAACCCCTTGTGTTTTGCTTTCTCTTCCATCCTCTTTTTCACATCATCCTTTTTTCCTCTGTTTCCTTTCTCACTTCACTTGCCCCGGGGCCATCCAGTTCACAGATGGGAGGTACTGGATTTACTCTCCCGGTCCACGCAGACTCCGAACCACCTCGCTTTCCTCTGGGATTGTAAGTGAACATGCTAGCATGTAGGGGAGCAGAGCTCCAGCTCTGAAACACTGGGGCCAGCACTCCATTTCCCTTGGATGCTGTGACTCTGTATTGTGTGGCCATTAGAAACCAGCCCAGCAGAAACTAGGGAAGCATACCAAATCCACACGAGTGGATGTCCCTGTAGGATCTTGCAGAAACGCGTGCTCTGCTGTGCTTTTCTGCAGGCTGGCGACACAGCCCCTGGGATGGGCTGCAGCATTATGGACAAACTTACAAGCACCAGACCTGGCCAGGGAGGCACCTGAAGCTTTGTAGGTAGTGTTAGGCTCGGCTCCCTGGGCCCAGGGAGCCAGACAGATTTCCAAAGAGACCATTAAGATGTTTTGAAGCTGCTAAAAACCCAGTTGCAAATATAACTTTTTAGGCTTGTGGCTGGGAAGGTAAGCAGCTCATAAAGCCAAGTGAGTTAGGAGTTACTGCTGGGTTAGGAATGATCTCTGCTGTCTAGTCCTTCTCAGCCTCACTGGTGTGCTCCCTCCTCACTGCAGGTTTTCTGTGAGCGGTGAGGATTTTCTTTTCCAAAAGCTGCAGGGAGGCAGATGAGCATTTAGAGGATGAATCCAGAGCTCAAGACTGCACTGGGTTTTAGTATGTCCCTCCTCAGGCTTTGGGAGAGCTGATGTCCACAGAGGGTAATGGCAATGCTGTCAAGAGCCTCGGCACAAGGATTTGTACAGCGTGGTCCTCCCAGCTCCTGCCTCTGGTACCAGGCAGGCGAGCAGTGGAGAGGGCACCAGGCAGGGTGCGTGGGGAAGCACGGGCAGTAATGTGCTTGTGGCCTTGGCTGATGGCACGAGGGAGGTGCTGCACCTACGTGGGCAAACGGGCAACAGCTCCCAGCAGCTCCTCCTGCTCCTTCGGCTGTCTTTGGCTGCACCAGCACCAGGAGGGTTAATACCAAGTTCCAGATGCTGCTTTATCTCCCCGCTGGGTTTACAGCTCCCTGCATGCATCTGAGATCCTAAAAGGCTCTGAAAGAGGCAGGCTGGAGCATGTGGTTCAGTCAGGATGGATGAAAAACAGGATGTGGGGCAGGCTTTACGCAGTGCTGAGCTTTCCTGCATGTCTAGCAGAGCCCTGTAAGAAGCTCCAGGCAAGGGTTTCTCTTCCCTCCTTCCTCCCAGCGGTGTCTGCTAATGTAGCTGCAGTTATTGATGGGGTTCAGCATGCGGAGCCCAGTGCTTCAAAGCTCCTCTGGCTTCTTGTAGTTTCTTGTACATCATAGACTGTTACACTTGGTTCCCAGGCTGGGAACCCCCCCCCAGGCTTCTTCTAAGTAGCCAGTTCCATTTCTCCTCCTTTGCCAAACCCCAGACTGAGACAAAGGGGGCAGTTTCCTCTCCCTGGAAGCACCTCTGGAGCCAAAAGAGCCTGTTTGCAGAGGAAGTGGGTCCCCCCTGGGAACACTGGAAGCAGAGACCAGCCCTTGAATCTGCCTGTAGATTCAGAAGCGTGTTTTGTCACACTGATGCCCACTGCTGTGATAACGGGCTCCCTCGACACACGTCCCCTTCCCCCTCATTCTTTCCAAGATCCAGTTGTGTTTTGCCTCCTTTGTCGTACTTGTTCCCATCACCCTGCTGTCTCCAAGACTCTCAGTGATAACTGTTTGTCTCTGTGGCCACCATCCACCATGGTCTACCCCACCCATCTGCTGCCTCGCTTGGCCTGCAGGGAAGGGGTGGAAGGCACAGCAAACCAGACCAGGGTTCACTGTAAAAGCCCTCCTGGACAGCAGGGATGCCAGCCTGTAGCATGCACGGGGCTCAGGAAGCGGGAAGCTGAGAGCTGGGAGTGGGTAGCAGGAGCAGGGAGTTCTGTCACTGCCCTTAGGTAAGTCACTTCGCACGTACCTCCTTTTCTCTGGAGCTGGTGTGATGCTATGGCGGGGAGCTGAGGTTTCCCTGGCATCTCAAAAGCTCTGAAAATCTGTTCCTGCAAGAGGAGAGGTGGTGCCATCCCTGCTGCAGCTGGAGCAGGGTCCAAGGTCAGCTGCTGGTGGGCTGTCCCATGTCCCAGCTGGTAGGGAGCAGTTGTGTACTGAGGAAGAGGAAGGCTCCTCTGCTGAGAGCTGGCAGCGAGCTCAGTTCTCTCCCTCCAGGTGGACAGCTGTTCTTACTGTATTGTTTCCTACTCTTTTTATTTTCTCCTTTTATTTTCTCCTCTTCTCTCCTTTGCTCCCTGCTCTGCTGCTGCTCTCCTTGCATTCTCCCCGCCGTCTCTGGCCACTCTGGCAGCCGACAGACGAGAGGAGTTGGGTTTACTCCCCGCTCCACTATAGCGCTCAGCTCCACTCTGTCTCCGATGAGGAGAGCGATACAGTAAGTGAACAAGAAACGTGTGCCGGGTGCCTGGTGGGTCGAGGTCGGAGCTTGTGCTCCCTCTGCAAGGTCAGCTTGCAGAGGGAGCCTCTGTGCAGCATGGGGCTCTTGCATGGCTGCGGCAGAGCCCTGCTGCATCTCGGATCAGCTCTGTGGCAGCAGGTGAGATCTCCTGCACTGGCAGAGACCCATTCTGCTCAGCAAGGGTTGTGGCTTGTTCCAAATTGTTTGGTGCCGTGAAACTTCTGGGAGCTGAAGTTCTCCAGTCGTGGTGTTGTTACTGGAGGATGCGAAACAGCCTTCTCTCTTCTTGCTTGTTTTGATTCTGGGGAGTTGGCTGGGCTCAGACCTAACTGGATGCGGGGTGGATGCTGGGGTGATGACTCTCTGTTCTCTGCCTCTTGCAGTAATCTCTATGCAGACACAGAAGCCCCAGAGAGCAGCGATTCCCTCTGCAGGTCGATGTGTTTCCTTTTCGTTGATGCAGCCGTTCCAGTGGGATGGGGAAGAGCTTGCTGACACCAGTATTGCTGCACTGCAGGATCCCGGGCACTGCATTTCAGAATGGAGCAAAACTATAACCGTGTATTTCTACTTATCCCAGATGTGGGCAGCAAAGAAACCACCCACTCACCCGCAGCTCCCAACGGAGACACCCAGCTGGGTGTAAAGAATCCTGGGTAGTAACACAGTGTTTTCCAGACGTGCACTATCGTAGCTACCTATCCATGTGTGATACTGTGAACCTTTTTAATTTTTTAATCATGTATTTATTTCTTTTATCTTTGCACAGAGACAGCACAAATGTGCTTTTTTAAACATTTAGTTTACTGCACTTTTTTTTTTTTTTTTTGTTGTCATATATTTGTGCATCAGAAAGGAGTGTGAGACCTCACTGGAGAATTGGTAGGAGCACGTTGCTGGGGAGGGCAGGGACCGGAGTGGCTTCATTTGGGGCAGCAGCGTGGTCTAACCAACTGATGGAGTCAGGAGGTTTAAGGCTGTCCAGACTCTGCCACGGTTTTGCTGAGTGACCTAAAGCAAGTCACTTAACCACTCTGTGCCTCGGTTTCCCCTGTGCTAATGGGTGTATAGTACCCACTTCCGTTAAAGCACTTAAACCCTGGGATGAAAGGTGCTATGTAAATGCAATGTATTAAAGGCCATTGAGTAGAATTGCTCCCATGTTACCGTAGTCCAAAGTAGCCATGCCAATTTCCTTGGATGCAGAAATCGCTAGTGACTTCTCTTGATGTGTAACACTGTGCGGGGGAAGCGAACGATTCCTGGCGACAGTGACGTGGCCACCGTGGCTCTCCTCCGGACGTGGCGAGGGGTTCTGCCTTCACCGCGTGCTGCACCGCTGCGTCACCCCATCCCTCTGTGCTTGGAGTCCACGCTTCGTCCTGCCGGCTGCTGCACCGCCGCCCGCTCCAGACACACAGGCATGGACAGATGAGAACTGCGCACCTCCAGGGACCAGCCGCGCTGGAGTGCGAGTTCCCTGGTCCGCCGGCCCCAGGTGGGGCTTGTCAGGACACCGCATCCCCCTGCAGCCCCTCAGCACCTCGCATGCTCGTGGGTGTATCCGACTGTCCCGTACTGGGGGGTCACGAACACTGGGTCCACGTGTGCCTCGGGGCAGGCGGGGAGGCACACGCACGTACACACACTCTGGAGGCAGACACAGAAGCCTGGCTCTGCCACCTGCTCGTGCCAGGCGGTGTTGTGTTCATGGACTCTGTTGGACAAAAAGCTCCGTGATGGGGGTGTTGCCGGTGGTAACATCTGCTGTTGGAAATGGCTGCTTTGGCTATCTGAGATAGTTTGCTTTTCGAGGGCTGCCGGCTTTAGGTGAGGTGATTTGGTGTCACTGGGTGGTGTTCGGAGGAGGCTCATCCATCTGTCAGCAGGATATACACCATAGCACTGTCTTGAACTCTAGCAATCCCACCCTTATCTCCCAGAGAGAAGAAAGGAAATCCTTTAGATAAGAGGGAGCCAGGTCTTATTCATGTTCTTTACAAGCCTCACTTGAGAAAGAGGGTCATAATCTCTTCATTCTCATTGCAATCTTCAGACTGTCCTTGGAATTCCTTGTAGGAGGAGCAGGGAAGCAGGACTCTTGGGGCTCAGTCTCCCCGGTCTGTCTTCACAGCAGCACTCGGGATGGGTTAATTCTGGTCCCAGAAGGTAACTGGGCTGGTGGGAAGCTCTTCCACTCTGCTAGGTGCTGAACTTGGTGAGAATCTTCATGAATTGACATTTTCTTGCCTCGAAGTATGGGGCCCAGACTTCCACCTTGCCTTGCCTACAGATGCTGAAGGCTGTAAGGTGTGCTTCTCTCAAGAGCGTAGGCTGAGGATCTTGCAAGCTGCTGCCATTAGATATATTCATGTATTTACCAAATAATCTATCAAAAGTCTTTCAAGAAATTCTCCCCTTTCAGTTACTACTTGACAGCTCCTTCACCCAGCTAGTGAGCATTGCTCCAGGACAGCCCCTGCAGTGGGCTGGGAAGGGGCTCTGCGCCACCCCCAGCTCCTCGGGCCAGTCCCACCCGGGCTCTGGGGGCTGTTGGCAATGCCGTAGGGGGCTCAGTAGTTGGCGGAGGGGAGACGGGAGGAGTGCAATACCTACAGACTAACCTGCCTCTGGGCTGAAAGCAAGAGGCTTCAAAATGCTAAAAATTCACTTTCACTTTTTTTTTCTTTTTTTTTTTTTCCTCCAGAAGCATGATACCATGCATAGAGAGGCCAGAGGGAGCCACGTCCCTTCTGCATCTTCAGATGTTGCTCTTGGGTGCTGCGCTGGAGGAGTGTAGCCCTGGGGAGGAACGTGGGAGGTTAGGCTCAGGCTACCTGTGCTGGTACCACCTTGTTCATGGGCTGGTGGGTTTTCCTGTTGGGATTTTCCAGCCAACTGGAATCAGTCATCTTGTTTAAGATGGTTTAGGCATCACTGATGGAGACTTCATTCCTTCCCCTCGTTTCAGGGGTCTCTAAGGCCGCTTAAGCTCTGTGCAGGAAACATCTGAGCCTTGCCTTCGTGGAGTATCTCAGTGAATGAACACTGCAAGCTGGATTTGTGCTTGGTCCCAAGAGATGTGGGAAAACCCAGACCTTTTGCAGCATGTTCATTCCAAGCATCATCTTTCCTCAAGCTTTTGGGCTTTTTGAGACAATCCTTGTGCAGTTCTGTAACACTGAACCTTTTGGAGCAAGCAGGTCTGGACACGGAGGGTTGGTCCTGTGAGAGGACACACAAAGGGCTTAGAGCAACTTTGTCCCTGTGAGGGGACAGGAGGAACCTTCCTTTGGGGAGATGTTGATCTGAAACAGAAACTGCCCTTTTCCAGGCTTGTGCATGCTCCTGCTGCGTGTCACCTGCTGTCCAGTTCGCTCGGTGCTGGAGAACTGCTCAGCTTCCACTTGCCACAGAGGCTCAAAGGACCTCGGAGTTTAAAGCTCGCTCTTCGTCCGCCTCTGCACCGTGCTGCAGCACGAGAGCGGTGGGGAGCGCTGGAGCGTTTCCCAGGCGCTGTCAGTGCTGCCTTTGCAGGACGCACAGGGGCAGAGGAGGGCAGGACTAGGTCTTGCCCACAGGAAGAAGCATTGGCCCTTTTTGGGGGAAGAGAACCGACACCCATCCTTGGTCTGAATGTCCCTCTAGCTCTCCTTCCAGCTCATTGGGAACAGAAGTTGCCTGTACTTTCTCTGTCAGGGCTTTCTGTAGTGACCTAGCAGCTTGCTGGCAGGTGCTGTCCCTGCTGTAACCCCTCTGCTCTCTCCATCATTAAAAGGAGGCACCACGTTTTTTTTTTTTTTACTTTGAGATTGGAGCAGAGCAGCCCTGTGAGACAGCGGGGTCCCGCGTAGCTCTGTTTGCCACCACTCTCCGTCCCCATCATCCCAGCTGGGACTCTCGGCTCTGCGGGACGTGCCCTGAACAGTGCCTGGTGCCGAGGCTGCTGGTGAGCTTTCGGCTCAGGCTTTTGCCAAACTGCAGGTGGCTGCTGCCTGCCCGGGATGGGTTTGGCAAGAGAAAACCAGAATCTCTCCCTGTGCCTGCCGTCAGGCTCGGGTACCAGCTCAGCCCCTTGGCAGGCTGATGCAGAGCGGGGGCGCGGGGCGAACCAAGCATCCGGCTCTTGGCTGCCGTCACCTCTGCCGCCAGCGGCCCGGCCACACGTGCCGAAATCGTGCTTCGGGGAGTTTTCTAGCGAAGCCGGGGCCGGCGTGGGCACAGCGGCTCCGTCCCGTGGGGTGGTCGCGGGGCTCCCCGCGCGCGGCCCGGCCCCCACCTCGCTCCGGCCCCTTCCCAGAGGGACAAGGCAGAGGCCGTGCCTCAGGCGTACCGGATGGTGTCTGATTTTTCTTTCTGTTGATGTCTACATTAGACCCGGGTTTGTTCTATTGGATGTTCATATTCCCACTCATTTTCCGTGTCCGCTCTGTGCGTGCACCGTGTAACGAATGTATGTAAGTAGGGGGGGGGGCGGGGGTGATGCCAACCCGTGGGTGTTGTCATGTTTCTCTTATTTTTTTTTGGGGGGGGGGGGGTTAAGTCATGAGCGCTTTTTTTATCTTTCTTGGTTTGAGGTTTTTTTTCTTTCCCCCTCCCTCTTCGGGGAGACCTTTTTTTTCCAGAGAACTGTAAATGGATGCTATCTGTCCTCGGCTCTGTGATAAAGCATACTGTAGTCTGTGCTGTGCTCACTCCAGCCGGCTCTGCCTCCTCTCTCCTGCGCTCGCGGCCGGGCCCGACCGCCCTTTTTGGGGGTAAAACGGGACTAAAAAGGGACGGGGGGGGGGAGGGCCTAGCGGCACCGCCTCCCGCCGGGGCCTCGCCGCGGGGCTGCCCCGGCGCCGCCGGTCGCGGGGAGGGCGGGCGGGCAGGCGAACGCGGCGGGCGGCCCCGGCGCTGCCGAGGACCCCGAGGCGGAGCCGCAGCCGGTGCCCATGGGCGCGGGGTCGCGCAGCCCGGCCCGGCGGCGGGACCGGGACCGGGACCGGGAGAGGGACCGGGAGAGGGAGAGGGAGAGGGACCGGGAGCGCTCCAGCAGCCGGGAGAAGCGTCGGCGGCGGCGCAGCCAGAGCGGAGAGCGGCGGCGGCGGGAGCCGAGCTCGGCGTGAGCAGGGACCGGGCCTGGTCTTAGGGGAGCGGGAAGCCGGGCCTCGGTGTGCCGGGGGGGAGGGGGGCGACCGGCCCCGGTGTGGCCAAACCAGGCGGCTCCCCCCGCCCCCGGTGCCCGGCTGGGGTGAAGATGCCGGCGGGGCGGTTGCGGGCCGGGGCCGGGGCCCGGGCCGATGCGTGCTTTGAAAAGTGTTGTCCGTGACCCAAAGCTCCGTTTGGGGGTTCGCTGGGGACACGGGGGTGGTACCGGAGAGCAGGCACCGCCGGAAAAGCGCGTTTGAGCTCAGCCGGTGGCTCGGGCTGCGGCTCGGCCCGGGTCTCGCAGGGAGCTGCGTTCTCCGCTCCCGAGTGGCCGTTGCCCAACACGCAGCCAGGAGCCACCTCCCAGCTGAAACACAACTTCCCCCCCTCCAGCTCCGACTCTGGCGATGACAGACAGAAATGGAAGAAGAAGAAGAGCAAAAGCAGGGACCAGCACCATAAAAGCCAGAAGAAACGCCGCTCAAGGTCTCGGGGTCGCTCCTCCGACTCGAGCTCGGAGCGCGAGCGAGACAAGAGGAGAGCCCGGAGCAGAGAGCGGCGGAGGAAGAGAGATGGCTCCAAGTCCTCCGTGTCCTCTGTCAGCTCTGCCTCCTTGCCGCGCTCCCGAGGCAGGGAGGAGACGGGACAGCAGCTGAGCCTCCAGGAGCGCTTGAGGCTGAAGGAGGAGAAGAAGAAGCAGGCTGCGCTCATGAAAGCCTTGGAGACTCCTGAGGAGAAACGGGCTCGCCGGCTGGCCAAGAAGGAGGCCAAGGAGAGGAAGAAGCGGGAGAAGATGGGGTGGGGAGAGGAGTACATGGGTTACACCAACACTGACAATCCCTTTGGGGACAACAACCTGTTGGGCACCTTCATCTGGAGCAAGGTGAGCCCTCTCTCCTCCACGCCCGCATGTTGCAGGAGGCTGGTCGAAGGAGATTGTGCCCCTGTAGCGGCCACGGAACAGGCCAGAGGAGCAGTGGGGCACGGCGGGGGGACCTTTGCTTGAGGTGGGAGCCTCTGTAATACTAAAAGAAGCCACGTGAAAGCAAAGTGCTCATCTGGGGCAGGAGCTGGGTGTTTCTGAAGAGCTCAGTGGGGATTTGCCCCCTTTCTCCTGAAGACCAAGGTCTGTAGCCAGGGGTGTGGGATGAGGAGGTAGGTCAGGGTGCAGGAGAGGGACCCAGACCTGCTGGAAGCTACAAGCTGAGTGCTGGGCAGTGTCTGCTGGTGTGTTAGTGCTCGCCAGGACAGGTGGCATCCCTGGGCTAAGCCTGGGTTTTGCTGAGGTGCTTCAGGAGTAGGATTTGAGTGATTTGGGGACCTTGGACAGGATCAGAACTCTCTGGAGCAGCAGGTGGATGTGGTGGTATATGCTGGCTGGTGAGGGGCTGTAGAGGTCACTGGGTTTCATGGTTTCCCTTGGCCTCTATTTCAGGCACTGGAAAAGAAAGGGATCAGCCACCTGGATGAGAAGGACCTGAAGGAGAGGAACAAGCGAATCCAGGAGGACAACCGCTTGGAGCTGCAGAAGGTGGGGTCAGAGGTCCCCTCCCTCCCACTGTCAGACCTGTCCGACCCTGTGGACAGCCCAGTTCTCCCAGTCTCTCACCTAGGAGTCCCTTTGTTCTTCTCACTGGGGATGCCCATAGGCTGTAGGATCTGGGGGCCACGTTATACTGACTTCTGCTATTCCAGGTGGAAAAGGCTCTTGTCTTGGCATTGAGTCCAGCTCGGGAGGTGCTGAGGAGGATAAGTGGCAGGTCAGGGCACCGAGACATTCAGTTGCGCCTGTGTTCCCTGTCCTCCAAAGGGCTGGCAGCGAGCAGCAAGCAGCCCAGCCCCAGTGGCGCACACAGGCTCTTCTTCCACATGGCTCCTGGCTCCCCTCGAGTCTTGGGCTGATTGCAGGAGCCGAGGCAGCTCAGGGAGCAGGGATACAGCTCTGTCCTCGAACGGGTGTCCTGCCTAGGTGCCCCATCTGCAGCAGCCTCACGTCTCCCTCCACCCCGGGCAGGTGAAGCAGCTGCGCCTGGAGCGGGAGCGGGAGAAGGCAATGCGTGAGCAGGAGCTGGAGATGCTGCAGCGGGAGAAGGAGGCAGAGCACTTCAAAACCTGGGAGGAGCAGGAGGACAACTTCCACCTGCAGCAGGCCAAGCTGCGGTAGGGGTGCGAGTTCACAGGGACGGGCCTGCCGGGAGCAGGGGCTGGCAGGCACTGCTCACTGTCCCTCTGCTCTCACCCAGGTCAAAGATCCGGATTCGGGACGGGAGGGCGAAACCTATTGACCTTCTGGCCAAGTACATCAGCGCGGAGGATGACGACCTGGCTGTGGAGATGCACGAGCCCTACACCTTCCTGAACGGCCTGACTGTCTCCGACATGGAGGATCTGGTGGAGGACATCCAGGTGCTAGCTCTGCTGTCTCTGTGCCAGGGCTGGGTGAGGGGCAGCAGCCTGTGGCTTCCCCCCCTCAGCTCTGCTTCCCTGCCCGTGGTGCAGAGCAGGTGCCTGATGTCCTGCTTGTCTCCTGCCTGCAGGTTTACATGGAGCTGGAGCAAGGGAAGAACGTGGACTTCTGGAGGGACATGACCATCATCACAGAGGATGAGATAGCCAAGCTCCGCAAACTGGAGGCCTCTGGGAAAGGGGGACCAGGTAAGCAGGAGGGCAGAGGCTGGTGTGGGTGTCAAGGGGAGCGTGAGGAGTGAGCAAAGCGGGCTGTAGGATCTGACACACATGCTCAGGCTCAGAGGGGTTCTCTGGGATCTGCTGGACGGAGGCTGTGGATCTGGCAGCCATCCCCTGCTAGCCTTTCACTGCCGGGTGCAGCCCGGGAGGGCCTGGGTGAAGGCAGGCCGAGTGCTTGGAGACTGACTGGCCGCCCTTGTCTGTCTGTTCAGGGGAGCGTCGGGACGGCGTCAACGCCTCTGTCAGCTCAGACGTGCAGTCTGTGTTCAAGGGGAAGACGTACAACCAGCTGCAAGTGCTGTACCAGGGCATTGAGAGCAAGATCCGGGCAGGAGGACCCAACCTTGACATTGGGTACTGGGAGAGCCTGCTGCAGCAGCTGAAGGCTTACATGGCTCGGGCCAGGTGAGAGCAGGGACCAGGCCTGTGGAAAGAGGTAGCTCAGACCCCGCTGTGAGCAGAGTTGGGGAGGCACAAACCCAAAGTCAGGGGTGGAGGGGTTTTCTACCTTTCCCCAAGAGGGGAGGAGGGCTGGACACTCGGTCCTGTCTCCAGCAGTGATGTTTACAGTGAGGTATCCAAGAGGGAACTGAACTGGAGGGTTATTCAGTCCAAAACCATACAGAATCCAGCAGATTTCTACGTGGCGTGGTGGGTGTCACAGCTCTGGGCAGTGTGGGCATGAGGTGCTTCTGCTGGGTGAGACCTGACAGCTCGTCTTCTCTTGGCAGACTGCGGGAGCGGCACCAGGATGTGCTGCGCCAGAAGCTGTACAAACTGAAGCAGGAACAGGGTGTGGAGAGCGAACCGCTCTTCCCCATCATCAAGCGGGAGCCGGCCTCCCCCAGCGACAGGTACGCAGCCACCCGGGGGAGAGAAGGCAGCCTTGTTCCCCCATCCTTCCACAGACAGGCCTCAGCTGAGCAGAGAACGAGGGCACCAGCCCCGTCCCAGTTCTCTCTTCTCTCTTCCTTGCAGGCTGGATCCAGAGGAAAGCATCGTGGTGCAGCCAGGGCCGTCCTTGGAGCCGGAGGCCGAGCAAGACACAGAGGCCAAAGGAGAGGCAGAGGGAGAAGCCGTGCTGATGGAGGAGGACCTGATCCAGCAAAGCCTGGATGACTACGATGCGGGGAAGTACAGCCCCCGGCTGCTGGGCACCAACGAGCTGCCCTTCGATGCCCATGTGCTGGAGGCCGAGGAGGATACGCATCGGCTGCTGCTTCTGCGTCAGCAGCTCCAGGTGACAGGTAGGAGCCCCCCGGGCCGGCCCTGCGCCCGCCGGCCTCGCGGCTTGCCTCCTGGCACGGAGGCTGTGCGTGTGCTTTGCAGCGCGGGGCTGGAGGGAGGAAGGGGGAGCAAGAGCTGGATCCGGAGCAGGCAGCCAGAGCTGGGCTGGGGCAGGGATGCCCCCAGGCAGCGAAGGACGCTGTGGCCCAGGGGAGAGCAGGGAGACGGAGCTCGGATCGCTGGGTCCTTCCCCACTTCCAGCCACACCAGCCGGCTGTTTGGGCCACGGACAAGTGGGAAGAGTGTTTTGGATGAGTTTTCCAGAACGGCTCGGCCCGCTGCCCACCAGGGTCTGCAGGGCAGCATGCACATCTCTGTGTCCAGCTCCGCATCCCCCGCCCGCCATGCGCTGCTCCCCTCCCCTCAGCGTGCTCGGGGGCAGAGGCCCCACAGCCCCGGGCCTGGCTGGCGCTGCAGGGCTGGACGCCAGCACCTCTCCTCCCTGCAGGTGACGCCACCGAGAGCGCCGACGACATCTTCTTCCGTAAGGCCAAGGAGGGCATGGGCGCGGACGAGGCGCAGTTCAGCGTGGAAATGCCCCTCACGGGCAAGGCCTATCTCTGGGCGGACAAGTACCGGCCCCGCAAGCCCCGCTTCTTCAACCGGGTGCACACGGGCTTCGAGTGGAACAAGTACAACCAGACCCACTACGACTTCGACAACCCACCCCCCAAGATTGTGCAGGGCTACAAGTTCAACATCTTCTACCCCGACCTCATCGACAAGCGCTCCACGCCCGAGTACTTCCTGGAGGCCTGCCAGGACAACAAGGACTTTGCCATCCTGCGCTTCCACGCCGGGCCGCCCTACGAGGACATCGCCTTCAAGATCGTCAACCGTGAGTGGGAGTATTCCCACCGCCACGGCTTCCGCTGCCAGTTCGCCAACGGGATCTTCCAGCTCTGGTTCCACTTCAAGCGTTACCGTTACCGCAGATGAGGGGCTGCTCAACCCCGGGCGTGAGGTGGGCTGGGGGGGGCTCGGCCCCTGTCCCAGGCACTGCCCCATGGACGTCCCCAAGACCTGGCCCAGCGTGGGGCCTATTCCTGAGGATTTTCCCTGTCCTTGCTTTTATCCTGACGGACCCTGAGACTTTGGTACAAATAAATAGGGGTTGTTTAAACAGTGGGATCCTGGGCATGGGCACCCCAAGCTGCTCAGTACCATGCGGCTCCTGCATGTCGTCACCAGCCAGTACCTCGCTGGGCCAGCACTGGGAGCTCCTCTGGGGGCTGGGTGGGGTGGTGCTCGGCCGGGCGTCCTCAGCCCCATGCCTCTGGGGTCTGTCACCTCATCCCCCCCCATGCTGTCAGTCCTGTGTGCTCCCCTTGCCCACGCCAGCCCCTTCCCAGCACCACATGTTCCCATCGCTGGTGCCAGAGCTGTCCAGCCCAGACGCTCCCCAGCTGGAGCCTCAGTGCCCTTTGCTCCACCAGCACAGCCTTGCCCCGCTGCTCCTGCTGCCACAGACCTTCCTGGGCCCACTCCCCTCCTGACCGGCCCCATTTCTGGCACGTTTTCCCCTGGGATCTGGCTTCCTCGGCCTGGGAGCATCATCACCTCCCTCAACCCTGGCCGCAGGCTGAAAGGGTTCAATGGCTGCAGGGCGTCTGCCTCAGGAGGAGGAGAGGGGTGCGAGATGGGATAACTCCTTACAGGGGAAAATCCGGTTTCCATGTCCTGCAGTCCCTCCCACGAAGTGCCTGAGTGACACTTGCTGCCCTGGGCCAGGGACAGCCATGTTCCCCGGACCCGTATTGCTGAGGTGGGGGTCCCCAAAAGGGCCTCGAGCAATGCTTAGCGGCTTTCGGGCCCCTTGGGGGGTGTTTCAGGGCTGACGGACTGGCATCCGTCCCCTTGGGTGATGGCCGTGGGGCACGGCCCCACGCTGGCATCGCCCCACGTGGCCCCACCAGATCCTGAGCTGTCGGGCTGCCGCCGCTCTGGGCTGGAGCAGGGCAGGAGAGGATGTCGGTGCGTGAGTAATGCCCGGTGGCGCAGCCCCTGGGAAACCTCTGTCCTGGCCCTGAACTATTGCAGCAAGGTTGTTTCCTCCCTGCGGGCCCTGCTGCATCCTGTCCCCGGGTACAGCCGCGCAGCGGAGGGGCTTGGCGGGGGCTGCCCAGGTCGCCCAGCCCGGCTGTATGGGGGCTCCCCGGCCTTGGGGGCTGCCCCATGGCAATCGGTTCCCCATAACTCGGGAGAGTTGCCCCCTCCCTCTGTCCTCAGCACCGCTGGCCGGATCCAGCCCCGCAAACACCGTGGGAGCTCGTGCTCGGGAGGCTCCCACGGCTGCCACAGCCACCCACGTGTGTGGGGGAGGGAGGAGACCCTGACCATCCTGGCCCCGCAGTGGGTGCCCCCCTCCCCGTCCTGCCGGACACCCCCGGGCCAGCGGCTGGCAGGACACGGCCCCCGGCATCCCCTTCCTGCGGGTTATTTAAAGCTGTTGAGCAGCTGCTCGGCGCAGGGGGGTTTCGGGGCTTGGGCGCAGCACAGGAAGCCTGTGAAGGCCCCGCCAGGCATGGTTTGGGAGGAAACGGGTTAAAAAAAAAAAAAAACAAAACCAAAACAAACCTCAAACCCAGTGGTTGAATCACCTCCCTGCTTAACTGCTTGGCAGAGCCCCCTGCCCAAAGACCCTCTCCCTCCTGGGCACATACACAAGTGGGAGGACTCCCCAGAAACGCCCCGCTGTGTCCCCAGCCCGGGCAGGGTCCTGTCCCCTCCCAGGCGCGGCCCTTTCCCCGCAGCCCTGGCTTTGGGCCCCGGACAGAGCCGCTCACCGGGCGGGGGAGCCTGAACCTGCCGCTGCACCCAGGCACCCGCCGCTGCCGGCCCAGGGGCTGGATCCAGCTGGAGCCCAGAGGGGGGTTTCCCCAGCCTTGGCTGCTCTTGGTGCTCTTCACATCTCCCCTGTGTCTCGGGGGGAGCCAGTTACGTTCCTCGGCCTTGTGGTTTGCCACGGTGCAGCCCTGGGCTGGGTTTGAGTGGCCCAGCTCTTCTCCGCTCCCGCAGACAGCGGCAGCGGCTCGGCCAGGTTCATACCGGGGGGTGCTGGGTTCATACCGGGGGGTGCTGGGGGGTGCTGGGTTCATACCGGGGGGTGCTGGGTTCATACCGGGGGGTGCTGGGGGGTGCTGGGTTCATACCAGGGGGTGCCGGGTTCATACCGGGGGGTGCTGGGGGGTGCTGGGTTCATACCGGGGGGTGCTGGGTTCATACTGGGGGGTGCCGGGTTCATACCGGGGGTGGTGCTGGGTTCATACCGGGGGTGCTGGATTCATATCGGGGGGTGCTGGGTTCATACCGGGGGGTGCTGGGGGGTGCTGGGTTCATACCGGGGGGGTGCCGGGTTCATACTGGGGGGTGCTGGGTTCATACCGGGGGGTGCTGGGGGGGTGCTGGGTTCATACTGGGGGGTGCCGGGTTGATGTGGAGCTGCCTTCAGCCCCCGCCGTGCCCCCATCCTCTGTGAGTGCAGCTGCAGCCTGTGCCAGGACGGCGGGAGGGTCGGCACACCCGAGCAGCCCCCGGGCATGGCAGCCGGCTGCTGAGCTGTTCTGCTCGCGGTGGGGCCAGCCCTGCTCCCGGCACACCCCCCCGGCCAGGCCCCGCCGCGTTTCAGCTCCAGCTGTCACCTTCCTCCTGGGCGTCTGACGGGACAGTCTTTGCTCTGCACTGAGGGAGCAAGGGACGGGGTCTGCAGCCCGGCAGGGCCAAGGTGGTGGTAGGAAAAGCTCCTGCTCAGGACTCCGAGCATCACCCGGCCATCTGCACGCCCCAGCCTCGCCCGCCTGGGAGGGATGCTGGGTGCGCTGGGTGCCCCCCCCGTCACCTGTGGGTGCAAACACTCCCAGTGCTTCGGAGGCGGGTGGAGCCGCCGGTGCCAGGGATGGGCTCTGGCCCCCCCAGCAGAGCACAAAGAGCAGCAGTGCCCCTCATGTCCCCTCCTCACACCTCAGCAGGACGGTGCGTGGGGCCGTGCCACCCCAGCCAGCCTGGCTGCCCGGGGCTTCGGGCAGCGCCGTGACCCACCGTGCTCAGAGCAGTTGGGCTGGGAAAACCCCCACGTGTGAAAACCCCCGCGCTGCACCCAGCCGCATCCCCAGGGCTGTGGGGGACCCCGGGGGACGCTGCTGGGGGGCACCCACTCACCCCCCACTCTCCTTCCTCAGGGCCCGCTGCGGGGGCGGGGGGGGGACATCCCCCTCCCAGGCTGGAGGAGGAGGTTCCGCTGTGGTGCCAGCCCGACAGAGCCGTGCCCACGCGGGTCCCACTGGGACGGCGGCGGCGGCACGACAGGACTGACCCCCCCCCCCCCCCCCTCCAGACGCAGGAATCCGGCTCGGGTAAACAAATGAGTAACCCGGATAAGAGCCCGGCCCCGCTAAAGATAGCCGGGACAGCGCGGGGTCGGGGTGTCTCCGCCAGCCCGTTCTCGGAGCCCAGCGGGGACAGGTGAGCCCGGGGGCCGCGGCCCCTCGTCCCACCCGTGGGCGCTGGCGCCTTCGAGGCCGCCCCGGGGCCGGCGGGGCTCTGGGTACCGGCACGGGGAGCTCAGCGCCGGGGGATGCTGCCGGGGGTTTGGGGGCGCAGCCCGGTGCGGACGGACCCAGGCGGGAAGGGTGGGCCCTGGGGGGGGGGGGGGGTGTCGGGGCGCGCACCCCACCGGGGAGCCCCGTCCCCAGCGAGGGAGGGGATGGGCGCGGGGCCGCAGCCGGACCCTGTTCCGGGGGGCGCGGGGCGGGGCCGGGGGGTGCTGAGAGCCCGGCCCTTCCCCCGCGCCCTCCCGCGGGGCCGGGCTGAGCCGGGCCGGGCTGAGCTGAGCTGAGCTGAGCTGAGCCGGGCCGGGCTGAGCCGAGCCGGGCTGAGCTGAGCCGAGCCGAGCCGGGCCGGGCTGAGCCGCGCCGGGTGGGGTCCCGCTGGCAGCGAGGTAGGGCCCGGGTCGGCGGGGGAGGGGGTTGGGGGGAGGGAGGCGCTGATGGAGGGGCCGGGGGGGGCGCTGAGGAGGACAAAGAGTCCACAGGGCGGGGAGGGAGGGATGGACGGACGGACGGACGGAGGGGGATGTATGGACGGACAGACAAACCGCGGCGCTGGGGTGGACGGAGAGAAAGACTGAGGTGGGCGGATGGAGGGGCTGGGATGGACGGACAGAGCGCGGGGCTGGGACGGGCGGACGGACAAACTGCAGGGCCGGGCCGGACGGACAGAGCGCGGGGCCGGGACGGACGGACAGAGCGCGGGGCGGCAGGGCTGGGCCGCGGCGATAAGGGCTGGCTCAGCCGCCCGGTTTGCACAGAACCGCGAAGCGCTGGTGCGTTTCGGGGGGGTGGGGGGGGGAGAAGCAGCAGTGACCCCCCCCCCCCGGTGCGGGGCGGACGGGGACGTGGTGCTCCCGCTCCGCACCCCCCCGCGGCTGCCGGCCCCCGGGACTGGGTGTCGGGTGTTCGGGGCTGGCACGTCCCAGGCTCCCCCTCCTCGCCGCCGGGATTTGCTTTCCGTGCTCCCCCCTCGCCCGGGGCGGATCTTGCCCCTCCGCGGGGATTTCCCGGCGCAGCCCCCGCCCGCTGCCCGCCCGGCGAAGTTTGCCGCCGGCTCCCCGGAGCCGCTGGGAAGGGCCGGGAAAAGACCGGGAAAGGGCCGGGGAAGGGCCGGGGAAGGGCCGGGGAAGGGCCGGGGAAGGGGCTGTTTTGAGCGGCCCAGCAGCAGCTTGGAAACCCTCGAGGTGCCGCGATGCTGTGGCCGGGGGCAGCCGAGGCGCGGGGGGGGCCCTGGCTGCTGCCCCCGCTTCGGGTTCTTGCCTCCAAGGGTGCCCAGGGCGATCCCCCCCCCAGCCACCACCCCCGACCAGGCCCCAGAGGCCCTGGGGACAGGTTGGGACGAGGTGGGACAGGAACGGTGCTGATTGTCCCCCAGCCAGCCCAGAGGGTGAGCGGGTTGGGGACATCTGCCATGGGCCACAGCAGGGACAGGCGAGGGCAGCCACCATCCCCGGCAGGTGCGTCAGCGCTTCCCATGAAGGTCCCTTGTCCTGGGTGTCCCAGGGATGTCCTCGCTCCAGGCCAGCCCAGCCCCCCCCCCCCCACCCCCCCGGCCCGGCAGCAGGTCCCTTTGATGTTTGTGGATCCAGGGAGGGATGCTGGAGCCCCGCCAGGTCCCTGTCCCCATGGCGTGGCTGTTGCCTTTCCCATCACAGCTGATGACCTTGAGCTGACCTGCTGCCCCAGCCGGGGGGGGGGGCAGATGGCAGTGGGACCACGTCCATCCCCGGCAGGGACGGCTGTGCCCGGCAGCATCCCGTGGGACCACCCGCACAACGGACATCAGGCAGGAGAGGCAGAAGTGACACTGCAGAGAAAGCCCTCGTCCTTCCAGGACAAGGTGGGATGGAGCTGTCCCTGGAGAGGTGCATCAGGCAGGGAGAAGGGACTGGACACGAGGGACAAATGCAAACACCCTGCGGCAGAGCACCCCGTCCCGGGTGGCAGAGCCCAGGCCGGGGGGACCTGTGGGGTGTGAGGAGAGTCGCTGCTGCCTGCTTTGGGGTCCTGTTGCAGGCGTGTGGTGCCCTGCTGCCCAGCAAACCGCCCTCCCCAGCCCCATCCAGCCTGATCCTGCCAGCCCCACGCCCAGCCTGGCCTGAGGAAGCTCGGGGAAGCAACGGGCCGGGACAGGAGCTGCGCTGATAAGGAGCAGCCTCCCATGCTCCCCCCATTAGCCTCTTGCCTTTCCCTCGCTAACCTCGGATGTGGCCAGGGCAGGAAGCGGCGCCCGGCGGAGGCAGGGCAGCCTGCGGTGCCTCTGCGGCGTAACGCCGACCCACAGACTTGCGCAGCGCCAGGAACCCCATTAGCTCCCTCACGGGCCCCCGCCGCTGCTGCCAGCGCCTCTCTGCCTCCAGCAGCCCATTTCAGAGACGGCTCCTCTCCGCCAGGATTTTGCCCCAGCACCCTTTGCCTTTACTCACTGCCAAACCTGGGGGAATCTCCCTGGGAGAGGGGTTTGCCTGATCAGGAACCCCAAACCCAGGCGTGGGGGTCAATGGGGGAAGGCACTGGGCTCGGGGTTTCTCCTCTGCAGGACCTGCTGTCCCCCCACGCATCCTCCTGCAGTGGCCACCCACGATGGGGGGGGGAGATGGTGAGTGAGGAGCCCCTGGCCCCCACATGAACCCCTTCCCATAAGTGCCTCTGCTTTGCTCTGGCACAGGCGGGGTTCGCCTCGCTCCCAGCTGTGCTGGCACTAAGTGGCCCCTCTTTAATATTTGATTCCCTCTAAGTGCTGCGTGGTCCCAGGCTGAGGCAGCGCTGCGCAGGGCAGCACCCGGCTGCTCAGCCCCTGAGCCTGCCCCAGCACTGTGGCCAGTCCTGGGGCAGAGCCCCCAGTGTCCCCAGTCCTGCTGGCAGCCGGCGGCGGGTGAGGGTTGGGGTCCTGATTGTGCCGGGGCAGGAGGGGAGGGGAGGACAGGGAGGGACCGTGGGTGATGGTGGGGTTTGGGGTGTGCAGCGTGGGGCTGCCGGGGCTGGTACATCCTTGCCCGGCCATGCCCGTGCCTCCTCCCCTTGCCCCTGCGGGGAGATTCCCCACCCGGACACTGTGGGGAGAGGGGTCAGATCCTGCCAAGAGCATCCCACGGCTGTGAGTCCCCGGGTGATGGGGGCATCAGCCCATGGGCTCCTGATCCCCAGCCACACCAGAGCAAGGGCAGGGAACACGCTGGGACAGGGGACGAACACACACGCTTGGGGACAGCGCCCCGAGAACGTGAGCAGGCACATGGCAAGGGACAGACGGAGTGGGACGTCTGAGCCTTGGCACCCACGTGGCATCACCGTGGGGTGGGGGCGGAATCTGCTGCTTCCCAGGGACAGGAGCCCCGGGGGACACGGGAAAGGCTGGTGGTTTCTAGGGGACCTGGAACCATCACACCAAGGCCTGACCGCGTGTCTCAAGGGGACTGACGCCTCTGGGGCCGCCGCTGCCGTCCCTCAGGGACTGAAGAAAACAAATAGCAGCAAGTTTTTGCTCTTGTCTCATGGAAAAAGCTGGGGCTGTCCTCGCGCTGCGGCAGTGAATCACCACCTCGCTCTGCCAGCCGCCTGCACCAGGACAGGACGGGGATGTGCCCCCCCCACCCCCCTGGCCCCTTCCCCGCTCCCCAGTGGGCACCGGGCTGGCAGAGCAGCCAGTGACGGGGGCAAGGGCAGGGGTGCTGCCACGGCAGATGGGTGCCAGCACCCTCAGCCCTGCAGCCTGCCTGGCTGTGGCCCCCCCAGGAGGAGGATGTTGCAATGCCTGGCCCCAGCCCAGCCCCGGGCCAGGCTGCGGGATCCGCGCGTGCCTTGGGTGTGCACGGCAGCGCCCAGCCCCGTGGCTGCCCTCACGCTGGGGGCCGGGAAGGGGGTGGTAAGTGTGGGGTGCCAGGCTGCGAGACAGGGCACAGGGCTCGGCCGCCACACGGGGATGCAGAACAGGGCCGGGTGCAGGACCGGGTGCTGGGGCTGGTGCCAGTCAGGGCTGGCTTGAGGTTTGACTTGGGGACAGGGGGCAGGTGGCAGTGGCACCTTGCACAGGGGTTCTGGGACCCCCACAGCGGGTTGGGATACATCTGGGCATCCCACGGGGACCACCGGGCCAGGGAGAGTGTCAGCCAGTGTGTGGGGACAGGGCAGATGGGGCAGCAAGGACATCCAAAGCCAGGGGAAACGGGCCCCAGGAGACGAGGAGGGGTCTGGTCCCTGGGGGGCGGGAATCTGGTCCCAGTGTTGCCATGCCTCTGCCCCGTCCCGCATCACCCTGTTTGCCGCCTGGACTAATTAGTGGTGGAGGCAGCAGCCCTGGGGCTTCCTGGATGCCGGACACTCCCCGGCTCCCGGTCACTGCCCAGCGAGCCAGCGCGGCGCTGACCGGGCTGCCCGTGACCGCAGCCGTCCTCGTGCACCCTGCCACAGCCACCGGCCCAACATCCCGGTCACAAACCCTTGACTCGAGCTGCAGTGGGGCTGCGGGAGGGCTGGGGGGGGGGGGGTGTTGGGGAACAGGGATGTCGCACGTGCCAGCTGGCTGCGTGTCATGCTGCTGCGGGTTGGCCGCAGCGCTGGCGCCGGGGGGGGGGGGGGGGGCTGTCCCATCCTGTGCCTCAGTTTCCCCACCACACTGCAGGAGCAAGGCCGCCCCCCGTTGAGCTGGGGGTGTGGATGGGAAGGTGCAGGAATAATGGGGGTGGGGGTTGTCAGGCTCAGGCCCTGGTGCAGCTTGCCCCATCCTTCAGAGCCACCCCCCCCCCCCCCCCCCCCCAAACAGCGGGGGCAGATGTCCCTCGGGGTGTCTGGCCATGTCCCCCCTGGGATAGGAGGGAGCCAGTGCTGTCAGAGCCAAACTACCAGTGCCACGCTTCCTCAGACACCCACCGTGCCAGATTACAGCCTCGTGGCAACAGCCCCACGTGGCTCGCGGCCGGGGACGGTTAATCCCATCCAGCTGTGGGGCTGGGGCCCTCCCCACGCGCTGCTGCTGCTGCTGCACCTGGAGCGGTGCCACCCAGGCACAGGCGGTGGTCCTGGCACCGTGTCCCCCCTCCACAGCCCATGGAGGGGTCCCACATTTGCGGGCTCAGGGAGGGCGATGGGTGGGCTTGGCCCTAAACCCCCCTCCTTGTCCCTGCAGGGCACAGCAGGATCGGTGCCGGCACCGGCGGGGGGCACGGGCCATGGAGCTGAGTCTGGAGGGGGCCTGAAGCTGCCAGAAAGAGGGGGATGGGGTGGGGAGAGATGGACCCCCCCAATGGCAGCGCAGCCGGCCGGTCAGACGTGTGCTTCGGGGTGTTCAACGCCAGCGATGGTCGCAGCAGTGTGCAGAACAGCATCACCTCGCCCTGGTTCTCCACCGCCTTTGGCCTCATCGGCCTCTGCTCCAACCTCTTCGCCCTCTGCGTCCTGCTCAGCTCCTCTCGCAAGCTCTCCAGCCAGGCACGCTCCTCCTTCCTCGTCTTCCTCTGCGGGCTGGTGGTCACGGACTTCACGGGGCTGCTGGTGACGGCCTCGGTCATCATCCCTTACCACTTCATCAAGTTCACCTGGGCCAAGGTGGACCCCAGCTGCCACCTCTGCAACTTCCTCGGCTTCTCCATGGTCTTCTTCGGGCAGTGCCCGCTGCTGCTGGGGGCCACCATGGCCGGCGAGAGGTTCTTTGGCATCAACCACCCCTTCTCCCGCTCAACCAGCATCTCCAAGCGCCGCGCCTGGTCCATCGTGGGGATGGTGTGGGGCTTCTCCTGCCTGCTGGGGCTGCTGCCGGTGCTGGGGCTGGGGCGGTACACGCTGCAGTACCCTGGCTCCTGGTGCTTCCTCACCCTCCTGCCCGACACCGGGGATGTCATCTTCTGCCTGCTCTTCGCCCTGCTGGGTATCTTCTCCGTCCTGCTCTCCTTCATCTTCAACACAGTCAGCGTGGTGACGCTCTGCCGCGTCTACCACGACCGGGAGTCGGTGCAGCGGCGCCGGGACAGCGAGGTGGAGATGATGGTGCAGCTCGTGGGCATCATGATCATCGCCACCATCTGCTGGATGCCCCTCCTGGTGAGGACCTGGCTCTTGGCGCGTGCCCCCCGCTCCTGGTGAGGCCCCCGGGTCTCAGTGTTCCCCTCAGCCCCGGTGTCCCTCATGGGTCTTGGGGTCCCCCCCCCCCATGCTCCTCCTGGTGAGGCCCCAGGTCTCGGTGTTCCCCGCACCGTGTCCCTGCTGGGGAGGCCCCGGGTGGGGAGGGGTCTGTCCTGGTGAGGCCCCTGGGTCTTGGTGTGCCCCCGCCCCCGCTCTGCACCCTGGACCTTGGGCTCTGGGGCTCAGCACCGCTCGCAGGCAGAGTGAGTGCTCCCAGGTAGTGGCTGCCCCAAACCAGCCTGGGACCCCTCTTCAGCCGGCTCAACACCCAGCCTGGACCCCCATCATCCCCCCCCACCCCTGGGCAGCTCAGGGCCTCTGCATGGACCCCCCACACACACACACACTGACACCTTGTCCCTTCGCCCCCCTCCCAGATCTTCATCGTCCAGACCGTCCTGCAGCAGCTCCCAGCCAACGGCCGGATCCAGACGCTGCCCACAGAGACGCAGAAGATGCTGCTCATCTACATCCGCATGGTCACCTGGAACCAGATCCTGGACCCCTGGGTCTACATCCTCTTCCGCCGGGCCGTGCTGCAGCGCATCTACCCCAGCCTGCGCCCCCGGCCCTCCATCCTCTCCCTCTACCCCGTCCTCAACCCCTCCCTGCGCCGCAAGCTCACCTCCGACTCCGTCCTGCAGTAGCGGCCCCCAGGGACGGGCACCAAGGTGGGGGGACAGGCCATCCCCCCATCCCACACACTCCCCGTCCCACCCCGCCCCGTGGTTAATTAACTGTCCCCATCACTTGCTCCTAGGGGCTCCCCTGTCCCCATCCGAGCAACCCACCCCCCCACCCCCCCCCCCAATAAAACAGCTTGTGCAGCTCTCCGTGCCCGCCGGGGGTGAACACCTGGGGGGATGGCGGGGGACGCCCAGCCCCATTGCTGGCACGAACAACAGCCCTTGTCCTTCAGCCTCTGCTTTAATGAGCCGTGGCCCCTTCCCGCCGCATTTCGGGGGTGGGTGAGAGGGGTCCTCGGGGGAGGGGGGGGCACTGGGTGCCCTGCCACCCTCCCCCTCCCCCCCAAAGCCCGGGGACACACCTGAGTGCGGCTCAGGAGGGTGCAGGATGGGGACCCTCCACCGGCACCGCCAGCCCCAGGTGGGGTGGGGACATGGGGAGGGGTGAGGTGAGGGGACATGGGTGAGGGGTGCTGTCACACCACCCACCCCCCCCCAGCTACTCCTGCCCCCCTTTGGGGTGGCAGACGGCTGCCCACACCTCGGCCACGAACTCCGGGGGGAAGGCGAACTCTCCCAGCACCGTGTCCAAGCCGCGGGCAAGCTGGGCCACGCCAGGGCTCTCCTTCGCCGCCTCCACCATCGTCGAGGCTGGGCAGGAGGAGAGGCAGGGTCAGCGGGGGGAAGGGGTCTGGGGTGGGCACCCCCTGCCCCCCCCGCCCGCTCACCCAGCTCGCTGTCGCGGATGCCCATGTAGCTCTCCAGCAGATCGTCCACCCGGCGAGCGGCTTCTTCCTCAAAGGGGCTGGGCTGGGGGCAAGGGGCCCAGGAGGTGGGTGCCAGGGAGTGAGGGACCCCCAGGGACCCCCCCCCCCCCCCCAACTCCCACAGAGCCATGCCCGGGGGTGCTGCATGTGTGGGTACCCAGCAATGCGCCTGATAGAGGTGCAGGGTTTACGCAGGGGCATGGGGGTGCTCATCCCCACCCCAGGCACGGTGTGAGCGTCCATGGGCTCGGGGGGGGGGGGGTGTGGGGTGTGGGGGGCTGTCTCTGGGTGCACCTTACCCCCTCCTCCAGCGTGGCCGGGCCCTGTGTCCGCAGCCGCAGGGTTTCCTTGCCGCTGGTCACTCTGCCCTCGACCGGGGACTTGCTGCTCCGCGTCCTCTGCCCGATCATGTCTGCACCCCGGGGCGGGGGGGTGAGGGCACAGGCAGGGTCTGGCACTGCCTGCCCCAGCCATCACCCAGCCCACGCATGTCCCAGCCACACCGGGACGGGTGGGGTGGGGGGGTGAACTGCAGGGGATGCTCATGGGCACAAAGGACACCCACGGGTGCAGGGTGGGGATGGGCACGGTTACAGGGCGCTCAGGATAGTGCACACAGAGGAGTGGGGATACCCACGGGGGGCACAAGCAGGTATTGGGATCCCCCCCCCCCCCTCAAGGGGGATGCCCACAGGGACACCCCCTGCCTCGGGGCCGCAGGGTACACACAGGATGGGTGGCGGACCCCGGGGGGGCACCCAGGCCCTGGGGAGGGGGCTGCAGGGCAGGAGGGGCCACGGGGGATCGACCTTCCCGTGCTCCTCCCAGGAGTCTCCCCAGTCCCAGGGCAAGAGCCCCCCCCCCTCCCCCCCCTCACCAAAGGCCTTTTTGGGCTGCACGAGGCGGAGGGTGAAGGGCTGAGCCCGCGGCAGCTCCCGCAGCATCCGAGCCACCTCGTAGTGCCGGCAGCCCACGATGGTCTGGTCGTTGATGGCCTCGATGCTGTCGCCCACGCACACCGTCTGGATGCGGTTGATGATGCTCCCCTCCTTGATTCTCTGGGGACCACGGGAGGGGGCACACGACCAGGTGGCACCCCAGGAAGGGCAGACAGATGTAGCCCCCACCCCGCCCCGCACAGACGCACCTCCACGGTCCCATGTCCCGGGGGGGGGGGGGGGGTGCCCCCCCAAACTGCACCACAGTGGGGGAGACCCCCAGGACCAGGGTGGATTCAGGGGAAGACTGATGAGGCGGGGGGGGGGGGGGGAGTAAAGGAGCACAGTCCCAGGGGTAGGTTGCCATCAGGGGATGTGACCCCACGGGGCCCCAGCCCCCACGGCTGCCCCAGCCCCAGCCCAGCCCCACGGGGGGGGTGGTGGTGTCACCTTGATGAAAGCGTAGCCAGCCCCGTTGTCTGTGATGGTGAGGCCGAGCGCGTCCTCTGTCTTGGTCACCTCCACCTCCTTCGTCTCGCCTCGGACGTGGGCGAAGATGAAGTCCTCCAGGCCAATCTGTCCCCCCAGCAGCTTCTGCATGTCTACTTTGTGCGTGTTGAGCGTGCAGAAGAGGATCTGCCCCGGAGGACCCCGTCATCAAGGGCCAGGGACCCCCCGGCCACGTGCGGGGGCACCAGGGGTGCCCGGGCAGGAGCCAGCCAAGGGCAGAGCTGGGCACTGCTGGAGCAGAGGGGGCTGGGGACACCCAGCCCTCCCCGGCCCTCTGAGCCCTCCCCGCCGCTCCGGGCTGCGCAGCAGCTGGCATCAGCCATGGAACAGGCAGGCCCGACCCCCTGCCCCTGGGCCGGGGGGGAAACTGAGGCACAGAGCCACCCTACCACTGCCCAGGGATTAAAATGCTTTCCCGGGTCATTTTAGGGGCTGCATTTGCAAGCAGCTGGAAGCCTGCCGGAGGGCTGGCCACAGACTGTGCCATGGGGTTGGCGTTCCCCCCCACCCACATTTTGGGTGCAAAGCCCCCTCCCCTCCCCCTGGCAGCCACAGCCCCCTCACCTCGGTGGGCGAGATGCCGAAGACCTCAGCAATTTTGGCGTAGAGCTCCTTGACGTTGGTGAAGCCCTCGATGCGCCCCGTGGGGCTACCGTGGGCCAGCTGCGCGTGAAACACCAGCCTGGGGCGGGCACGGGGGGGCCGGGGGGCCGGGGTGCCCTCGGCAGCGGGCGGCTCAGGGGTCCCCGGCTCCTGCCCCATGCCGTTCTCCATAGGGCTGCCCTCCTGGGCCTGCCTGCCGCGCCTGCCCGCCCGCCGCATCCCGCTGCCACCACTGCTGAATTATAGATGGGTGCTGGCTCCCGGCTCGGCCGTAAGGTGATCCCCGGGCCTGGGAACCCGATCCAGCAGCGCAGGTAACCCGCCTGGGATCGGGTGAGCTCTGCCACGTAGGAAGGGCCCCAGCCAGGCTGGAGGAGGTGGGAGAGCAGCTGCGACAGAGCCGGCTCCCTTGCACCCTCCCCAGCCAGGGCTTGGGGCCGCAGGGATGAGCTCAGGGCTGTCACCCTTGCTGCACGCCCCAAACCCCTGGGAGGAGGGCTGGGAGCAGCTCCAAAGCTGCCTCTGAGGATGAGCACACAGAATCCAGGCTGGTTGTTTCTCCCACATTTATTTGCTCCCATCTCCATCCCAAGCCAAGCGGCCACCAGGAGATGGCAACCAGGAGCCTCATCTACAGAGCACGGACCTCACAGGCGAGAGACGAGCGGTCACACACCAGCCCTGGGTTAAAACCCGGGGCCAGATCAACATAGTGCTAGTAAGAAAATAAGACACTCTCTAATTACACAGTCTGAGATTAGTGACAGGCAGCCCCGGGGACGGCTGCCCCCAGCACGGCGCAGCCCAGCCAGGACACGGCTGCTGGCACGGTGGTCCCACGACGCAGGACGGGCTCGGGCAGGGAGGCAGGAGCTGAACACCCGTGCACTGCCCCCCAGGCCCCCTGCCCTGGGGAAGAAGGGGTCAGGCCCGGCTCCACCTCCAGCATGAAGATTTTTTTTTTTTTTTTTTAACCTTCACACTGCCTGGTCCCAGAGGTATGGGGGAAGGAGAGGTGACAGGCAGGGTGACATAGGCAGAGGGCTAGAGGCACCCATCGGGGAGCAACAAGGGGAAGCAGGAAGATTAAATAAACCAAGAGGTGGGTGGAAGGAAGCCTGCCACCTCACCCGCTGCAGGACAGGGGACCAAGAGGCTCCCCGGGGGGATCTAGGGACCAGGAGGCAGCACTGAGCCCCAGGGGCTCCCAGTTGCCCCCCTGCCATCACAGCCCAGTTAACAGCAGCCCCCACATCACCCTGGAAGAGGCCGCTTCACTCCAGGCCAGTAATCCCTCCTGGACAGCCTTTGGTTTAGCAAGGCAGAGCTGCAGGAGCTGGGGAGCTCACAGGAGAGCGGGGGGGATGCTCACGCCACCCACCTCACCCAGCACTGCGCCTGCTGGGGGCTCAGCCCTGCCACCATTTGGTCCCCAAAAGCTCAAGGTCCTCAGAGACAGTTGCAGCCACGGGGCCCAGCCGCACCGGGGCTGGGGGGGGCCCAGCTCACTTCTCCAGCGAGGCGCGTGGGGTGGAGGGGGAAGCAGCCGGACCACCAGCAGAGACTGTCCCTTGCGTGAGCTCCAAGGGACAGCGCCGTGGTCCGGCCAGCCCCGGGCTGCGGGAGGGACCGGTCCTCTTCACAAGTGTTCGCTGAAGAGGGAGGAAAGCGACGCTGAATTACAGGGGGTCGGCTTCTCTCTCCCCCAGCTGCCTGAAGCAGCTCCAAGCCCCTCTTGGCTCCCATCACCCACCCTGCCCCGGGCTGACCCGGCGGTCCCAGTGCTCACCAGGGCCCTGCCCAGCTCACCTGGCTATCCGGGACAGGATCTCCTTGATGCGCACCACCAGTTTCTCATGCTGCAGGGGGTTGCTCTCAATGGCGCTGTGCAGTTTGGCCATGTAGAAGTCCAGAGTGCTCAGTGTGGGGGTTTCCCCAGTGCCTGTGAGGCGGCAGCCCAGTTAGCAGGGCTAGCACGTCCCCATCCAGTCCTACCCATCGTGCTGGTGTCTGGGGAAGAGACCCTGAGCACGAGGTGCTACCTCCAGCAGCAGCAGAGAGCCTGCACCGACACAAGCCCCGGAACAAAAGGATTTGGGCCGATCTCTTCCTTGCACGTGCAGCTTGCGACTACAGCTTGGGAGGAGAGTTCCCAGCCCGCCCTACCCCGGTATAGGGGAGCCAACTGGCTGCCACACCCCCGGGCTCCCCGCAGAGCCCCCCCAAAGTGCTCCTGGATCCCGCCCCATCAGCAGAGGAGCATCCACCCCCCCACCACCCCCCGGTCGCCACTTGCAGAGCCCCACCGACGCCCCTGGGTGTGACCACCAGGTCCCAGCAGCAGGCGGGTCCCCACAGCTGCCCCGAACTCACCGGGGATGGGGAGGGAGGCGAAGCTGGCAGTGAGGGCCTGCCGCACAGACTGGAGCTGCTGCTGCAAGGCCAGGGTCTGCCTCTCCTCCTGGGCCAGCTCCTGCTCCAGCTTCTCCTTGGCACAGTTCATGCTCTCCGTGTGCTTCTGCAGGATGGCGTTCTGCTCCTCAAACTCCGTGTTCATCTTCCGCAGGCGCCGCAGCTCGGCCTCCCGGGCTGCCAGGACCCGGCGATGTCAGCAGGGCTGGCCTCTCCGACTCTCATCCCAAAGGCAATCCCATCCCCAGCTACGAGTCTGTCACCAACCCCCAGGCTCCAGTCCCTCTGGCCAACCTCACCAGGTCAGGCCTCACCCCCAATTCCACGATCCCAGCCGTGGTCCTGCCGCGCAGGCTGCAGGCTGCTCCAGCAGCAGCGTTGCTTGCTGCAGCTCTCCCCCAGGCAAGGTGCCGCAGCACCGGCAGCCCCTGCTCTACAGCCCAGCCCCTCACCTTTGTTTTGGTCCAGGAACTCCTCCGTGAAGATGGGCACGTCGAAGGTGGAGAAGGTGTCGCTGCACTCGCCAGCCTGGGGGACGGAAGGGGAAAGCTCAGCCGGAGCCGAGCTCAAAGGGGGACCCCGTCTCCTTGGGGCTGGGCAGGAAGGAGGCACCGAGACGGGGCAAGCGGTGGCCCTGCCTGGGCAGGCAGGGAGGACGGGCAGAGGAAGGCTACACTCTGCCTCCTGCCACCCCAGGCTCCGCTTCAACAGGAAGCTGGCGGCTTGGAGCACAACCCCCAGGTCTCCTCCTACCCAAACCTGCAGCCAGCCTGGTTCCCGTGGGCCAAACCCAGCAGTGCCACGGGCCTCAGTTTCCCCACACAGGCACAGACCTGCCGGGGCCTTACCTTGTGCGGGTGCCCGTTCAGCAGGGTGTTCACTGCCGCAGAGCCCGCGTCCTCTGGAAGTGAGGAAGGTGTTACCCCTAGGAGCCAGCCCAGCATCCCTCGAGAGGTTCTGGCAGCACTGCTGGAAGCCATTGCTCCCACAACACACCTTTTTTGATCTTTTTCTCCTGGATCTTCTCCGTGCACATCTTGTAGGCCTCCGACTGCTGGTATTCCCGCAGCTCCTTCATGTACTGCTGCTTCTCCCGCTCCGCTTCATCCAGGTACCGCTACGGTCACAGAGGTTCCTCAGCCTGGCCCAGCCTCAGGCTCCCTGGGGGGCTGCTGTCCCCTCCCCACCACTCAAGGCTCAGCTCCTGCTCTCCAGCCCACCAGTACTGGGACAAGCTCCCTTTGTGGAGCTGCAGCCAGGCAGCAAGCAAAGGGGTTTGGGGTGCAGGCTCTGGAGGGTGCTGCCCAGCCCTGGGGGGTTCTCTCCTGGAGGCTGGTACCTGCTTCTCCGAAAGCTGCAGCTTGCTCCACTCAGCCCCCAGCATCTTGGTGATCTCCGGGAAGGGCAGGTCTGGATGCTGCGTGCGGATCTGCTCGCGTCGCTCGTTCAGGAAACGCACGTAGCCCGTCACAGGGGCTTTGGGGCCGTTGGGAAGGATCTTCTTCCTCTTCTTGCCCTTAGGCCAGCCCCTCTTCTTCACCGGCTGGCACCCAGCGAAGGGGAAGGGACAGCCCGTCATGGATCAGAGAGCACAATGCCATCGCACCGGCAGGACACAGGAGCAGCCTGCAAGGCCACCTGTGCCTCCCGCCCCTCAAAGAAAGGTCTGGGCCTTTCCCTGTGCCATGGCCACAGCCGAAGGCTTGCCCAGCGGCGCCTGGGCTGCCGAAGGGTGAGCGGAGGGACAATCCCCAGGCTGGGTAACACAGACCCCGCTTGCAGGGACCGTGCGGGGAGGGATGCGGGCACCAGAGCTCACCTCCTCCTCACCGTGCGGCTTCTCGCCACTCGTCCGCGCCGACTCCCCCTTCTCCTGCTTGATGGCCACCAGGAAGTTTCCATGCTGAGCTTTGCCCGTGGCATGCCTGCAGCCAGAGAGCACCTGTCAGAGAGGGCTGGGAAACTGCCGGGACCGATGGCGACACATCCCTCGGAAGTGCAGCCTCACGCTTGCCAGACCCTCCCAGCTCCTGCCCACCCAAACAGCCCCCGCCACCTGCTCCCAGCCCTGGAGCCCCTGCTCCCATGAGGAGAAGCCCGCAGAAGCTGCCCCAGGTTCCAGAGATGACCCCGGGATCTTTCAGTGACATTTGGAAGGAGGCCAGGAGCCACCAGCGCCGCCTTTGGGGGCGGGTAACAGTGACCATACATCCCTGCGTGCCCCCAGGGCTGGGGCGCACACCTCGGCAGAGAGTCCCAAGCAGCACGAACCAGCTGATCCTCCTCTGCAAGGGAGGAGGAGTCGCAGGGCTTTGGATCCCGGCACCGCCTGGAAGCATCACCCCCACCCGCGGACAAGTGCTGCCAGGAATAAGGAGAACCCTCGAGGCGTTGGGCGAGGGCAGGGTGCCGGCGCTGGCTCGACCCGCTCCAGCCACAACCTCTCCATCAGGTTCCTGCCGCCTGCGCTGCCACCGAGATGTGCCGAGCGGCTCTACGGCAGGGCCGGCAGCCCCGACTCCCACTCTCCCATTTGCTGCCCCCTCTTTACAGTCCAGCATCTGCCTTCAGCGAAGGACACGGGTCCAGCACTCGGGTCGGCAGAGCCTCCCTGCCCCAGCCGAGCACACCCAGCCCCACCGCAGCATCGCGCTGGGGGTCCCCAAGCCTCCTCAGCCCCTTCTCCAGCCGGCTCCGTCCCGCAGCCAAGCCCCGGTCCCACTCACACCCCCTGGTCCCCGATGCAGCAACTGCTCCGTCAGCGCGTGTGCCTGAGGCAGAGCGTGGTCGGGCTCCCCAAGTCGGGGGGGCTCGCTCGGGTTTCACCCGAGTCACAAGACACAGTAACTAGCACGGGGCCAAGCACAAACCCCAGCACAGAAAGGAAATGTCTCTGTGTGCCAGAAGCCAGACTGGTCCCCACGCGCTTCGGACGCGCCTCAGAGTTTCTCTCGCCTGTTGGTCACATCGCACACCTGGTGTGAAGCCCCTCAGAGACCCCAGCCTACCCCGATCAGTCTCTCGTACCCGTACGAGTCACCGCTGTGATTAATTTGATGGGAGCCCGTTCTGTGAGCCCCCAGGGACACGGCCCGTATCTGCGCTGCTCCTAGGGAATGGAGTGGGTGCCCAGCACAGGCTCTTCCCGTGGGGATCCGAGCCCAGTCAGCTGCCCTGAACCCCCAGGCTGAACATAAAAGCCTACGGGAAGGCGAGAGACCATTTCTCCTTCCATCTTCTGGGGGGAAAGAAAGCATCCCTGAGGCTCTGCGCAGGCTTTCTCGGACAGCTCTGGCAGAAATATTCCTGGTGGTGCCTGTACACTATCATCACGCTCAGCCGCCGCGGCTGGGAACGCGCGGACACCCTCCACCACCAGGCGCTGGGTCTCTGCCCCCCCGCCCTGCCAGCCGGATTCCTCGCGTGCCTAAGGACGCTTTAAAAAAGTAAAGTTATTTCAGGCAAGATTTCTCCTCTTCTCGGAGCCTCTCTCGGCCAGTTCGCTCTGGCATCCACCTCCCTCGGCCTCGGGGGCGCCCCCCGGGGCTCTCGCCCCGCTGCTGGGGGGGGGGGACGGCGGGTGACACCAGCTGGGGACAGCGCCCGGGTACCCCGTGCGCACGAAGACCTGGCTGCTCTTAATCTCACAAGATGCTGCTTCTACCTCAGGTCTCCCTTTGCCCTGCGCTAATTAGCCCAGCTCGGCGGAAGCACAAGCTAACGAAGCGGGAAGGTAAGGGGAGAGCGGCGCAGCCCCCGGTGGGGGGGGTGGGGGGTCCCCAAAACACGCGGCAGACACACACACACACACACACACCCCCCCCCAGGCAAGACCGACCGCGGTTCCGCAGGGGACTAAGGCCCCACGCGGGTGACGGGGCGCAGCCCACGGGACGCGGCGGCACTTACAGCATCGCGGCGGGCGGCTGCTTGGCGCTGTGGGCCATGGGCGCGGGGGGGGGGGGGCTCAGCGGCGCCGCTCGGGTCAGCACCCCTGGGGGACAGAGCCAGAGCTGGCACCCGCGCCCGGCAGGGGGGCCCCCCGGAGGGCAGCCCCGCGGCCCCCCCAGACCCCCTCGGAGGGGCCCTCCCCGTGGGGACATCGCACCCCCCCCCCCGCCCCCCCCAAAAACGGCGTCTCCTCCCCAGCCAGTCCCCCCTTTGCCTTCTCCACTCCCACGGGAGCCCACCCCGCCCCTCCCCCATAGAGCCCCACTCCCCCCACTGAACCCCCCCCCCCCCCATCCCATCGCTGCCCCCCAACAGGCTCACCCCCGTACCTACCCCCCCCAACAGGCTCACCCCCGTACCTACCCCCCCCAACAGGCTCACCCCCGTACCCACCCCCCCCAACAGGCTCACCCCCGTACCTACCCCCCCACACCCCCCCGCGATCCTCAGCCGCCCCATCACCGCCCCCCGCCCCCCGGGATCCCCCCCCCGACCCCCCAACTTTCCTGGCGCCGCCGGCGCCCCTCCAACGCTCTTCCTCACCTAGCCACGCCCCCTCTATTATTATGCAAACGAGAAGCCCACCTCGGCGCTTCCGATTGGCCGCTCGCGCCGCGCCGCGGAGCGCGCAGCCTAACGCGGATTGGCTGGGAGGGCTGACGTCAGAGGTAAGCGGCGGGGAGGGGGCGGGGCGAGGAGGCGAAGGGGAAGGGCCAGCCGGAGCGACGCGTGCGCGAACGTTGACTTCGGCGCGCGCGGCAGGCTGCCCGCCAATCGGCAGCCGGCGTGGGGACGGGGAAGTGGCGTGGGGAGGGCGGCGCCTTAAAGGGGCCGTGACGTGCGCGGGGTGGGGGCCCGGCGCCCCCCGGTGTGTCCCCGCCGCGTCCCCGCCGCTCGCGGCGCCCCCCCCGTCCCCGTGGCCTCACTGCCCTCCCAGTGCGCACCGCAGGGCTCGTCCAGCAGCTCCAGTTACGCCTCCCCGTCGCCCCCCGTGGCCCCAGCGCCCACCCCCGGGGTCTCAATGGCCCTGGGCCCTCCCGGTGGTCGCAGTACTGCCCGTGCTGAGCGCACGGACCCCCGTGCCCACCCAGGAGGAAGCTCTGTCGCTCCAGCGCCTCCACGTGGCTCCCACCGACTGCAGCGCGCGCCCAGCTGGGGGTTCCCGTAATGCCAGCAGTCACCTCAGAGGCCCCGGGACCCCAGGACACCCCTCAAGCGGGGATCCCCGTGACCACAGTACTGCTCCTGCCACTCGCTGTAACCCAGTGCCGGCTCAGGAGGTGGTCCCGGTCACTCCAGCAGCCCCACGCCGCTACCGACAACCCCCCGTTATCCACCCAAGAGGTGGTTACCCCACAGCCCAGTGACCCCAGTACTCCCCTCTGCTGTTCCCAGGGACCCCAGAACTGCCCATAACGGCCCTAATCACCCCATTACATACACAAGGAGAGGTCCCAGCCATCCTAGTACCCCCACGCTGCTCCCGGTAACCCTAGTATGCACCCACGTGGGGGACCCCCAAGATGCCAAGAGGGATCCCAGCATCCCAGTGACCCCAGTGCCCCCTCGAAGGGGGGTCGCATTGACCCCACCAGGCATCCCCATGTCCCAGGGACCCCAGTGCCCCCTCAAAGGGGGGTCGCATTGACCCCACCAGGCATCCCCATGTCCCAGGGACCCCAGGGACCCCTCAAAGGGGGGTCGCATTGACCCCACCAGGCATCCCCATGTCCCAGGGACCCCAGGGACCCCTCAAGGGGGGGTCGCATTGACCCCACCAGGCATCCCCATGTCCCAGGGACCCCAGTGCCCCCTCAAAGGGGGGTCGCATTGACCCCACCAGGCATCCCCATGTCCCAGGGACCCCAGGGACCCCTCAAAGGGGGGTTGCATTGACCCCACCAGGCATCCCCATGTCCCAGGGACCCCAGTGCCCCCTCAAAGGGGGGTCGCATTGACCCCACCAGGCATCCCCATGTCCCAGGGACCCCAGTGCCCCCTCAAAGGGGGGTCGCATTGACCCCACCAGGCATCCCCATGTCCCAGGGACCCCAGGGACCCCTCAAAGGGGGGGTCGCATTGACCCCAGCATTCACCCCCGCGTCCCAGTGACCCCAATGCCCCCTCAAAGGGGGGTCGCATTGACCCCACCAGGCATCCCCATGTCCCAGGGACCCCAGTGCCCCCTCAAAGGGGGGGTCGCATTGACCCCAGCATTCACCCCCGCGTCCCAGTGACCCCAATGCCCCCTCAAAGGGGGGGTCGCCCTGACCCCACCGCTCACCCCCCGCGTCCCAGTGACCCCAGTACCCCTCCCCCCCACACACTGTTTCCAGTGCCCACCACCAAGACCCCCCAGCGACCCCCCCGTGCTCTGACCTCCGCACCCCCCGGGGCTCGGGCCCCCCCCCCCCGGGCTCCGCTCGGAGCATCCCCCCGCGGCGCGGGAGGCGGAGGCCCGGGGGGGGGGGCGGGCAGAGCCGGCCGAGGCGGGGGGGGGGGGGGGGGGTCGAGCACCGGGATGGCGGGGCCGGGCAGCGGCCCCGCCCCGCCCCGCCCCGCCCCGGCCCCGTCCCGTTCCAGTCCCGTCCCGGCCCCGGCCCGGCGGCATGGCGGAGCTGCCGCTGCGGGCGCGGTTGAGCTTCGCGGCCGGGCATTTCCTGAACGACCTGTGCGCTTCGCTGTGGTTCACGTACCTGCTGCTCTACCTGCACGCCGTGCTGGGCTACGGGCACCGCCTGGCCGGTGGCCTGCTGCTGGCCGGGCAGGCGGCCGACGGGCTCTGCACCCCGCTCCTGGGCTACGAGGCCGACCGCTCCGCCGGCTGCGGCCGCTACGGGCGGAGGAAATCCTGGCACCTCGCCGGTGGGTGCTGGGGTGCCCGGGGGGGGGTCAGGGCTGGGGTGCTCTGGGTTTGGGGGGGGGGGGGTGTTGTCAGCGCTGGGGGTGCCTTTCTGGGATGCTCTGAGTGGAGAGGGATGGCCCCGGGGGAGCGTTTCTGGGGTGCAGGGTGAGTCCTGGGGATGGGGCCAAGGGTGCTTTTCTGGGGAGTCCTGAAGTGGAGAGGGGTGCCTTTCTGGGGTGCTCTGAGTGAGGAGGGGGTGTGTGTCAGACCCGGGGGTGCCTTTCTGGGGTGCTCTGAGTGAGGAGGGGGTGTCAGACCCGGGGGTGCCTTTCTGGGGTGTTCTGAGTGAGGGGGGGTGTGTGTCAGACCCGGGGGTGCCTTTCTGGGGTGCTCTGAGTGGAGAGGGATGGCCCCCGGGGAGCGTTTCTGGGGTGCAGGGTGAGTCCTGGGGATGGAGCCAACGGTGCTTTTCTGGGGAGTCCTGAAGTGGAGAGGGGTGCCTTTCTGGGGTGCTCTGAGTGAGGAGGAGGTGTGTGTCAGACCCGGGGGTGCCTTTCTGGGGTGCTCTGAGTGAGGAGGGGGTGTCAGACCCGGGGGTGCCTTTCTGGGGTGCTCCGAGTGAGGAGGGGGGTGTCAGACCCGGGGGTGCCTTTCTGGGGTGCTCCGAGTGAGGAGGGGGGTGTCAGACCCGGGGGTGCCTTTCTGGGGTGCACTGAGTGAGGAGGGGGGGGTGTGTCAGACCCGGGGGTGCCTTTCTGGGGTGCTCCGAGTGAGGGGGAGTGTGTGTCAGACCCGGGGGTGCCTTTCTGGGGTGCACTGAGTGAGGAGGGGGGGGTGTGTCAGACCCGGGGGTGCCTTTCTGGGGTGCTCCGAGTGAGGGGGAGTGTGTGTCAGACCCGGGGGTGCCTTTCTGGGGTGCTCTGAGTGAGGAGGGGGGTGTCAGACCCGGGGGTGCCATTCTGGGATGCTCTGAGTAGAGAGGGATGGCCCCGGGGGAGCATTTCTGGGGTGCAGGGTGAGTCCTGGGGATGGGGCCAAGGGTGCTTTTCTGGGGAGTCCTGAAGTGGAGAGGGGTGCCTTTCTGGGGTGCTCTGACTGAGGAGGGGGGTGTCAGACCCGGGGGTGCCTTTCTGGGGTGCTCTGAGTGAGGAGGGGGGTGTCAGACCCGGGGGTGCCTTTCTGGGGTGCTCTGAGTGAGGAGGGGGGTGTCAGACCCGGGGGTGCCTTTCTGGGGTGCTCTGAGTGAGGGGGTGGTGTCAGACCCGGGGGTGCCATTCTGGGGTGACCTGCGTGAGGGAACCCAGAGTGCCTATCCAGGGTGCCCTGGGTGGAGATGGTAGCCCCAGGGGAGCCTTTCTGGAGTGCCCTGGGAGGGGGGACGGGACCAACGGTGCCTTTCTGGGATGCCCTGAGTGGAGAGGGGTGCCTTTCTGAAGTGCTTTGAGTGAGGGGGGTCAGCCCTGGGGGTGCCTTTCTGGGGTGGGGGGTCAGCTTTGGGAATGCCCTGGATGGGGGTGGAACCGGGGTGCCCTGCATGGAGGGAAGCCTCCCTGAAGATGGGTGGCCCTGAGGGAGCCTTTCTGGGGTGGGGGTCAGCCCCGGGGAAGCCTTCCTGGAGCCCCCCAACCTGGAGGGGGGAACAGCCCCCGTGGCAGTGAGCTGAAGACTGGGTCCCCTCTCAGATGAAGAGGGGCAGCCCCAGGGGTGAGAAGAATTGGGCGCCCTAGGGTGGAAGGGAGCAGCACCGTCCATGGGAGCGGGGGCCACCCTGGGGGGGGGGTTCCTGGGTGCCCTTTATGGAGGGTGAACCAGCCCTCGGCAGTATCGGGGCTGAGGTGACAGTGCCCTGGGTGGGGGGAGACGCGCCCAGCGTGCCCTGCGAGGAGGGGGTTGGACCGGGAGGTGTCTTTCTGGGGTGTCCCATATGGAGCGGCAGCCTCCCCCATGGCAGCGAGGTGGGGACTGGGGTGCCCCACGTGTAGGGGGCAGTGGGGGGCTCCAGGACCTCCCAGGCATGGGTGGCTGAACCTGGATGGGGAAGGGGCACCACAGTGTCCCCGTCCTGCCTGGGCACTGTCCCCATCCTGGTGGCCTGTGCCACGGCAGCGGGTGCTGCCTGGGCGCTCACAGCCCAGGGCTCCCCGCTGTCCCTCGGGCCATACCCGCATGGTGGCGAGGGGGGGCTGCAGCTTGTCCCCCACTGCGTGGGGTGAGTGCTCTGTGCTTAGCCAGTCAATGCTACGGTGAAAATGAGTCCAACAGTAAAATCTGGGCTTTCCCAGGGGCTTGGGGGTTTACTGGGGACTTGCCCGTAGCCAGGCAGCTCTCAGTTGTCCCCGTGGGTGACTCCGGGGTGCGAGGTCCTTGACCGTGGCCGTCTCTGGGCACCCCACGTGCTGCGTCTGCAGGCAGCGCTTCCCCCCTGCAGCAGGGGAAGGCAGCGGGCGCCGGGTGAGTAAGGGCCCCGTGGGGATGCAGAGGAGGCACCAGCTGGGTGTGAGTTATTAACAGGCACTCTTCCCACATCGTGCCCCGAGGTCAGAAATTACAGTGAAGTCCAGGGGCTGGTGGGGACTCCTGTGTCGGGGTCCCTCTCCGAGGGGATAGTGCGACCTGGAGAAAAGCCCGTGGTGCAGCAAGCAGCACGGGAGCCCGGCCCATCCCTGGTGAGCTGGCGGTGGGGAATGGGGCAGTTAGCATGAGGAAACATCCATTGACAGGTGGAGATAAAGACCCTCGATGGTTCCTCTGGGTAACGGCACAGTAACAGCCAAGTGCTGGCTCGCCCAGAGTGGACCCGCACGGAGGGAGGACGGTTGTAGTGTGGGTGCTCTTATCTTGATCCCAAATTTATCTTGGCCAACCACTTCGCGCAACGGAACGATAGTCTGATAAGGTGGCTGGTCTCCCCGGAGTTTTGCTCGGCGAGGTCGGGGGGGGGGGGGGGGGCAGCTTCACCCCTCACCGTGGCGTCAGCTAGATCTGCACCCTAGATTTAGGGAAGTGGCCGGGGCTGTGCTTCCCCCCCGCTCCCCGGGCAGGACTGCTGCAGCTGGGTGCTGCCTAGCGTGCACCGAAGGGGAAGTCCTGAATCCCGTCTTGCACAGGGGCTGCAGCTGCCCCAGCCGGCCCCACTCCCCGCTGCGGGGAGCACAGCACCCTGCCTGCTTCAGCAGCGCGGGTGGAGGCTGCGTTTCCCTGGCCAGGGCATGAGTTATTCCTAGGAGGTGGGGGCTACCCCACCGCCTACCCCGGCTGACCGTGGTGCGACTGAGCGGGGCCGGCAAACCCGCTGAAACCGGCCGTGCCGGTACCGCTCGCGTCTCGCCTGGTCACGCTGTGGCAAGAGGCTTCGTGTGGGACCGAGGCGGCTCGTCTGGTGGCAACCCATGCTCAGATCAGAGGAAACCGCAGCCTCGGCGTGGGGGGAGTGGAGATACCACGAGTTGCTATCGGTGGCATCTCCCCACCACGGCGCTGGGCTGTCAGTGCCGGCGGTCCCGTGTGGCTCACGCCGGCATGCCTGCTCGCCGGCTTTTTTTGAGGGGCAGCTTCCTGCCACAATGGGCTGGAAAGGATGAGCGGCTCTTTTGCTGCCTGACTGCGCCCGTCTGGCAGCGCTGTCCCAAATTCCCTGCCCGAGGCGCCTGTGCTGTGCAGCCTGGCGTTCCCGTGACCTGTGATCCTGCCCCTGAGAGCCTGGACCTTTGCTGCCTGCTTTGGGGATGCCGTGGCGGTGGGCAGGGTGGTCTCGAGGCGACCCCAAAGCCCCACTTGGGAGAGCGGGGGGATCCCCAGGACCCCCCCTGGCTCGTAGTGAAGCCGTGCTCACTTGAGCACACCCGGGGATGTGGCAGTGCTGGGATGCGGCTCGCAGCCCCGCGCCCGAGGAGCTGGGCTGCGCGGGGGCGGCTGGTGGGGGTGGCCCCGGTGATGGGCACATCTTGTTCCCTGGGGGCCGTGAGGAGGAGGGAGTGACCGGAGTCTCCCTCGTGGGTGATGGTGGCGATGGCTTGTGGAGGCAACAGCAGCCTGGGGCCCGCAGCTCCTGCCCCAGCGCTTCCCCTGGGGATGCAGAGCCTGACCCTGTGGGGCCCCAGGACTGGGGGGGGGGGCAGAGCCTCCCCGATTCTCCGGACGGGGCTCGGTTGAGGCCGACAGCCCTGTAACAGGGAACAAAGGAGGTCTGCTCTGGTTTGAACCTTCCTGGGCTCTTACAGTGGCTTGTCTGGGGCAGAGACACCGCCGTGTGCTCGAGTCCCCTGTCCTTCAGGGAGCCCCTGGAGCACCAGAGCTGGCTGTGAGGGTGCAGGCAGCACCCAGCACCCTGCCGGGGTCCTTGCTCAGGGTGGGTCTGAGCTGGGCTGGGATTGTCGCTGCCTGCCCTCGGCACGAGGACAGCTGCTTTGCCCTGGCCCTGTGGCAGCTGGGGTTGCTGTGCCACGTGGAAGCGATGAGGAGGAGGAGGAATTGTCGTTTGCGGGTGAGAGGAGCAGACATTTCTGGTGAGGAGGATCCTGGAGAGGGGACCCTGGGGACCTGGCAAAGCAGCTGCAGGTTCCCCTCAGCTGTAGGAACGGGTTCCTGTGGCTCACTGGCAGCAGCCAGTGAAGCTGGGGGACACGCAGGACGGGGCACGCGGCTGACTCCCCGTCGGCATCGGGAGCAGTGGAGCATCTCGGCAGATTTGCTCCATAACCTTGTGAAAGGGGAGGGCGAAGCCAGCCTGTCCCTGCCTGCTCCACGCAGGCGTCCCCACGCCGTCACGCTGCGGCAAAGGGAGGAGCCTGGCTCTGCTGTCCCTGACTCAGCTGGGACCTTCCCACGGCTCAGAGCCTGGCTCGGGGGGGGCAGATCTGCTCCTGTCCCCCGGCATTGTACCGGGAGTATCCCTGGCCATCGCTCTGCCGGTGACTTCTGCAGGCATGGAGGGAGCGTGGCTCCCTCTGCTAGCCTCACGGCAGAAGAGACAAAGGGGCAGACGAGCTGGCCTTGTGCCCGCGGGACAGCCCAGAGCCCCCCCGGCCCTTGGGGTGCCTTATCAGCCTCGGGCAGGTGGCAGGGCACCACGAGTCCTTGGGGCTGGTTATCTGCGCCCTGGCGAGGGGGAGAGAAGCCTCTGGTGGCTGCGTGTCATGAGGGCGTGAGGGTCTGTCCTTGGGCGTTCTGAGGGGGACAGAGTGGGTGTGAGATGGTGCTGCACTTTGTGGGGAGAACTTGACTAAGGAAAGGCCTGCTGGCAAGTGTCTGTCTGTCTGCCTCGCTGCTGGGTGCAAGGGGGAAGGACGTCGCTCCGTGCAGGACAGGGCGGGGGGGGGGGGTGCTCCATGTGTCTCATCTGGCTGGGGGAAGGAGCCCACCTCCCTTCCCAGCCCTGCGGGGTACGACCTGTCCTAGCAGAGGGCCGGCTGTGTCTGTCTGTCTGTGTCTGAGCTGCCTGGGGCCACTGGGCTCCGCTCTCTTCCCAGGTACCACCTGCGTCCTCGTGTCCTTCCCCTTCATCTTCAACCCCTGCCTGGGTTGCAAGGAGAACACGCCGCAGTGGGCAGCCTTCATCTACTACCTCCCCTTCATCGTCATCTTCCAGTTCGGCTGGGCAGCCACACAGATCTCCCACTTGTCTCTCATCCCTGAGTTGGTGACCAGTGACCATGAGAAGGTGGAGCTCACAGCTTTCAGGTGAGCACGGCCAGACCCGGGTGTCCCCTGAACCTGGGGGAGCCGCCCCGCCGGCACCGGGTCCCATCGCTTGTGTGACGAGAGGTCCCCTGGGTGCCACGGGCCTGGCACGGCACGCTTGAGCCCTCGGTACGGCAGGACGGGGACTGGGCCGCGTGGGTGTCCCGCGGGATGTGTCCAAGTGACACTGCTCTGAGTTGGCAGCCCAAACCTTTGGTGCCAGGAGGGAATGTCTTGGCGCCGGGGATGTTGGTGACACAGCCCATGGGACACTTCCCTGAGCTGGGGGCACTTCTCCTTTGGGACTGGAGGGTGATGCTCACTGGGGAGGAGTAGACCCCTCCCTGGATGCCCCCGGTCCGGTCCGGGCGCTGCGTGGGCTGTCCCGTAGGTAGGGATGTCCAGGGCTGGGCTGGGCAGCGCCTGCAGCTCTGTGCGCAGAGCCCAGCTCAGTGCTGCTGATCTCAGGCTGTGGGAAAGAGTGTTTATCAGATGGAGCAGGGCTCGGTTATCTGCCTCGGTGGAGGGAAGTTCCCCTTCTGGCAGGCGAGCGGGGACTGCAGCGCAGCGGGGCAGGGAGGATGTGGGGCAGTGCTGGGGTAACCCTGGGGCCAAGGGGTCTGGCAGCTGGGGGCATCCTCGGGGCAGAGGTGAGCTGGGACTGGAGGGTGTTCAGGCTGACCCAGAGGGATCTTGGTTTCTTCCCAGCCGTGCCCCGAGGCTTAGGGTGGGCAGGCTGAGAGGTGCACCAGTAAGGCTAACGCCTGTCCAGATGCTGTGTGCTCTTGGAGGGGCCACCTCAGCAGTGACACTGGGGTGCGAAGCTGGCTGCAGCATGCCTGGCCTGGGGGGCAGCCTTGTGTCGGGGCGTCCCCGCTGTGCCTGGAGCTGTGCTCGTCCCTCTGCATCGCCGTAAGGTGCTATTTCCCCTTAAGGTATGCCTTCACCGTCATGGCCAATATCACTGTGTATGGCCTGGCCTGGATCCTGCTGAACTTCCAGGTGGACCAGCCTGACCGCACAGAGCACCTGGGCATCCAGGATGTCCCTATATTTCGGGTAAGTGTCAGGGCTCAATCCCCGTGGTCATTTCTTCCCTGGGTGGGACACAGCTCAGTTGAGGGGGGTACCGGAGGGAGTGAAATAGCAGTGCCCAGAAACCTCACCCACTGCGCTGGGCAGGGGTCACACTGAGCTCTCCCTGGGTTTTTGGGAAGCCCTCTTTATCCACCAGACTGCTGGGGGGTGGACGACGAGCAGGCAAATGGCCCCCCCCTGCTAAGCTTACACCCTCTACCTCCTGCAGAACCTGTCCCTCATTGTGGTGGGGCTGGGGGTCGTGTTCTCCTTCATCTTCCACCTGGGCACCAAAGAGAAGCCATACGCGCCGAGCTCGTTGCCCCAGCTGGAGGAGAGCACGCCCCTGCTGCAGAAGGAGCCCGCGAGCCCCCCGCAGCCACTGCTGATGTGGAAAGACTGGCTGCTGGAGCCTGCCTTCTACCAGGTATGGCTGCGGGCAGCGCTGGCGCTGCCGGCCCTGGGCTGCTGCCCTGCCTGGGTGCTGAGGGCATCCTCTGGCAGTGGGACGTGCCCCTGGTGCGGGTGAGGAAGGAGAGATGGGCTGTGCTGGGCACCTCTCTACCCTGTCAGGGGGGCCGTCCCCTTCCCGGTGGGCTTCTGTGCCGTGGCAGGGTTGGGCGTGGAAGGTACCAGCCTTCCCCACCTCCAGTCTGCACGGGTGGAGCGGTGCTGCCCTGTCTCTGTCCCTTCACAGGTCGCAGTGTTGTACATGTCTACCCGGCTCATCGTTAACCTGTCCCAGACCTACATCACCATGTACCTCACCAACTCGCTGCTGCTGCCCAAGGTGGGTGCAGAGGTCCCTGCCCACGTGTCACGGTTGTGTGGGCAGGGGTCCTGTGCTGATGGCCTGGAGCTCATCTTCTCCTTGTCCCCATTTATTGCAGAAATACATTGCTACCATCCCCCTGGCAATGTACATCAGTGGCTTCCTTTCCTCCTTCCTGATGAAGCCTGTGAATAAGTGGATAGGTCGAAATGTGAGTCCTGGGGGCCTGGTGAGGTTTGAGTTAGCCCCAAGGAGAAGTCCAGGGGCCAGATCCTGCCTGCACAAGCAAGCAGAGCACTTGGCACACCTGAGCCTGGCTGGAGAGCAGGGACCCCTCAGGCATCCTCTGCAAATGCCCCCCCGTTGCAGTGTGGGTCCCACTGGAACACGGCGGGTTGTGGGCAGTGAGGGGGTGCGGGGCTACCCTGCCCATCCCTGAGCCTGGGAAAAGTGATGTTGGGCCAGAGTCAGCCTGTCCCGTGCAGCCCTGACCAGGCTGGGAGAGCCCCGTGGTGCCCACGAGAGGCAGAGGCAGAGTGTGGCTGAGCCACCCTGGGCAGGCGGGTCTGCAGTGCCGGCGGGAAGGGGCTGCCCCTCCAGCGCATTCCCCTCCACACTGCAGCAAGCCCTGTTCCCCAGTAAGCCCCCACCCCTCCCGCCAGTTGGGTGTCCCTGTGCCCTGGGGCCCCCCTGTGCTGCGGGCTCAGCTCTCGGGCTGTGGCCAATGCTGTAAAACAGCCTGGACCACTGCGAAGCCCTTGCTGTCTGGGGGAGATCCTTGTTTAAAACCATCCGGGAGAGAGCCAGGGCTGTCCCCAGCGGGTCCCAGGCAGCGGCTGGCCCCCCTTCCCTCCCCACTCGCCCCTGCCTTGCTGGGTGTCAGCCGAGCTGGGGTCTGAGCTCTCCCTTCTCCCTCTGCCCGTCCCCACGCTGGCCTGGAGCAGCTGACCTACTTCGTGGGCATCCTGGTGATCTTGGCCTTTGCCTCCTGGGTGATCCTGGCCAGGCAGATGGGAGCGGAGATCTACGGGGCGGCTGTGCTGCTTGGGGCTGGCACTGCCATTATCCTGGTCACCTCCCTCTCCATGACAGCAGACCTCATCGGCACCAACACGGTACGTCTGCTCCTCCCGGCCAGGGTGGGCTGGGGTATCCCAGCGGGGCTCAGAGCCCGTGGGCTGCGGTGGTCACTGGTGTGGGATCAGGGTGGACGGAGACCCCTGCGAGGGGGCTCTCCTGGGGGGAGTGTGGGCAGCCCTGTCCCTCGTGCCGGGGCTCCACTGTAATGTGGGCTCTGCCCATGAGAGGGCACAAGGCTCTCGCTGCCGGCGCTCGCCAGGCTGCACGGCGAGGCTGGCCTCAGCGCAGCAGCCCACGAGGTTCCCTCTCCCCTCCCAGCACAGCGGCGCGTTCGTCTATGGTGCCATGAGCTTCACGGACAAGATGGCCAACGGCCTGGCTGTGATGGCGATCCAGAACCTGCACCCGTGCCCGTAAGCATCCCTGAGGGGTGGGAACCCTCTCCGTGGCAGCTCCCGCCACATCACCTGGGAGCAAGGCAGCGAATATCCCTGGTTTGAGGCGAGAGACACGAGCGGAAGCCGGCTCTGATTTGTCTTAAATCCTTCCTCAGCTTCTCGTCTTTCCCTAGATGAGGGCTGCATCTCTGGGATGCACGAAGGGGCTGGGGGGTCTCAGCGTCCGCGGTGCTGCCCTCTCTCCTTGCCCCAGACCTTTCCTTCTTGTCCCGGTGTGAACCAGTCCTGACACCAAGGGCATGGGACCCGCTGTGAGCAGCCCCGGGGTGCGCGGGCAGCACTGGGCTATAGGCTCTGCTCCGGGCCCCCAAGCCGCGTCCCTGCCCTCTCCCTGCAGGACGGAGCTCTGCTGCCCTGCTTGCGTCAGTTTCTACCACTGGGTGATGGTGTTGGTCACCGGAGGCATCGCCATCGCTGCCATCGCCTCGCTGTGCTGCATCATGGTCTGGCCCATCCGTATCCGCTACCGTGAGTGGGGCTGGGGGGGGGCCACCGGGGTGGGGCTGGGGGGCCACCGGGAGCCCCCCGTCCTGTGCCAGCCTGGGCTGAGGTGAAAGTGTCTTTCCAGATGGCTGCGGGGAGGCGGCGGGAGCCCCGTCCCGGCGGGAGGTGGCACGGCAGGGCTGGCTGTGGGGATGCTCGCGGCGCTGCCCTCGGGGGGGACCCTCATGGTAGGCGCGCGGGGCAGGGCCGCCGTCCTGCTGCTGCTGCTCCTGCACCCTGCTTGCCGCGCCCTCCTGGAGGGCAGGATTTGGCCCCCGGGGCCACCGAGGGGTGGGCGCGGGGAGCCGCTCTGCCTGCTGGGGACGCGGGGTGCCCCTTGCCCCCCGCTCAGCCGCTGCCCCTCTGCCGGGCGCTGTGTCGTGCTGCGGGGTTGGGGGGGGGAGAGGGCAGACCCCTCCCCGCGCCGCCCTGGGGCCGTGCCAGCTACGGGAGCCTTGGGCCGGCGGCTGGGGAGCCCGGCGCTGGCCCCTAACCTGCCCCTTGCCCCCCACCCCTGCAGATGCTGTCTGCCTGCGGGGGCCGAGCGGAGCCGGGACCCCCCGCGGCGGGACGGAGCGAAGGAGCCGGAGCGGCACCGTCAACTGAGCCGGGGGGGGCCCCCCCGCGCCCCTCGGCCACCGCCGTGCCCGCGCTGCTGAGCCGGGCCGGGAGGGACCCCCGGTGCCGGGGCGGCGGGGGGGTCGGCCCCCCCCCGGCCCTGCCTCCCCGTCGCCTTGCACCGGACCGGTGCCCCCCCCCGCGCCCTGCGCTTGCACCGGTGTGAACACTACAGGGCCCTGGGCCGGGCCCCGGCGCGGGGGGGACGGGCGCCCGGCCCTCGGTTTTAACTTGCTTTTGTAAGGTCAGTATGTACAAACGGCACTTTTTAAAGGAGGAGAAAAAGGAAAAACAAAAACAAAACAAAACGATGCAACAAAGCACCTCTAACCATAGATCAACGCCCCTGGTGTCTTCCCTGGATCCCTCCCCTCTCGGGCAGGACCCGCCGTGCCGGAGGGAGGCAGGAGCAGGGTCGGGGGTTCAGGGCGTGCACAGGGGATTTGGGGGCTTTGACCCCACAGTGCTCCCCCCTTTCTTCACTGCGCCCCGGAGCGGGGGGGGGGGGGGGGGGGGGGGGAGCAGCGGAACCGGAGGGACAGGCGGCTACAAGATGGCCGCCCTCAACAACGATGGCGGGTGCGCCCGCAAGCAAAATGGCTGCCGCGCAGCCGCGCTGGAGCCTAATGATTGGTTCCGGGGAGGGTGCCCCGCCTCCCGGGGCGGAGACAGCCAATGGGAGGGCTCCTCTTGCCGTCGCGGGGCGGGGCCGGGGCGCCGCCTCCCGGTACCGGCGGCGCTGGGCGCGCCTTCCCCGCCGCCGCTGGGGCGGAACCGGGAGCGCGGGAGGGGGCGGGGCGGGGCGGGGCGGGGCTCACAGCGGTGCAGCCCCCGCCCCGCGGGCCGGGGGGATGCGGCACCCGCCGCGCTGCCGGACACCGGGGGGGGGGGGGGGGGGGAAGGGGGACCCGCCCGGCCGGCAGCCGGGGGTGGGGGGGGGTGGGGGGTGTGAGTCACACCACGGGTGACTGCGGCGTGGCCGTGGGTCGCCCCGCGTCACCCGGGGACGGCTGGGGGGGGGGGGGGGCCCTGCCCTACTCGCCCCGGGGGTTGCGGGCGTGTGGGCTTGCCCACGCGTGTGCGTGACGCGCGCGGGTGGGCTGCGGTGGGGGCGGGAGGACGGGGGGCTGTGGCGGAGCCCCTCGGGTGAGTGATTTTTGGGGTGGGGGGGTGTGGGTGTGACGGGGAGGGGCGCGGACAAGGGGTGACACCCGGTGCGTGCCCGGAGCGCGGGGGGGCCCGGAGCACCCCACGCCGCGCAGGGGGTTTATGGCTGTTCCCGAAGCCAGCGGGGGCTGCGGGGAAAGCTTGATCGGTCCCGGTGCAGGGAGCGGGGGCTGAGCCGGGGGGGGGGGGGGCCCACACCCCACCGGGGGTGCCTCGGCGTCCCCCCTGCCAGCCCACCGCACCCTCGGCCCTGCTCAGCCCCCCCAGCCTGGTCTCGCCCCCTCCCCACTTTTCTCAGCACCCACGCCCGGGGGCTCTCGGGGGGGCCGCATTCCGTCCCACAGCACAGACACCCCCCCCCCCCCTGCCCCGGGGAGGGGGCTGGTGGCCAAACTCGCCCTGGGGGGGGGACGGGGCAGAGGTTGCAGGGCCGGAGGTGGGAGATGGGCACCGGGTGGGCGATGCTGTGGGGCGCCCGTAGAACTGCGGGGCGTGCTGCTGTCAGCTCTGCCGGGGAGGGGGGTGCATTGGCAGCTTGTTTTGGGGGGCAGCTGAACACACACACCCCCCCCCCCGCACACACCCACCCCCAAGGGTGCCTACAGAGGACGTTTCACCCACCGGGTGCTTGTTCGGGTGCTCCACGGCCCCAGCTCAGGGCGGCACCGGCAGGAGACCCCGGGCAGGCAGCTCTGCCCGCCACAGCCACACCGGGGGGGGGCTTGACCCCCTCCCTGGTCGGGGTCCTGCACCGCTGCTCCAGAGGGTGCAAAGGCCCGTGGCCAGGGACACCCCCCACACACACACCCCCCCCCGGTGGGCAGGCCGGCAGCAGCGGGGTGAGGATTTTTAGGACCCCTTTCCACCCCCCAGGGCTCCCCGGGCTGGTGCCAGCGACACCCTGGCAGCGCTTGGGACCCCCGGGGGACACCCCGAGCCGAAGCCCCCCGGCCCCGTGGCTGTGATGCCCGTTCACCCCTTTGCAGCCCCCCCAGGTGCCGCGGGCTCCCCCCCCCCCCCCAGCCAGCCCCAGGCTGGTGTTTGCCCCGACACCTCCCTGCAAACCTGCTGCGGCCGGTCCCGGCCCCGCCTGCCAGCCCTTCCTCGCCCAGGGGAGGAGGAGGAGGAGGAGGAGGAGGCAGCTGCAGACGGGGACGGCACTGGAAGGGAGCGTGAGTGGGACACGAGTGGGACACGAGGAGGCGCAGGCCAGACGGGGCAGGAGGGCTCGGCTGTGCCCACCACCGGGGCACGGCGTGGGGTGGGCAGGGGCCTCCCCGGCGAGGGGGCTCTGCTGCCCGCGTGTGGGTCCGGCGGCGGAACCGCGTTCCCGTCCCCACCGGGGTCAGCCCAGCACCCTCGCTCCGAGCACCGGGGGGGGGACACACACACACACACCCCGGGCTGTCACCCCCCGGCCCCCGCCTGCCAGCGGGGAGTGGGGCCAGCCCGGCAGCCCTGGTACCCGCCGTCCCTCCTGGGCGCAGGTTGGTGGGACGGGGTCTGGGGGGGGGGGGGGGGGGGGGGGGGGGGGGCTCCTGGCGCGGGGATTGGGGCCCGTGGGACGGGGAGGCTGCGAAGACGCGGGTGCAGCTTTTGCTGGAGCCGGCTGGTGGGGTGGGAATTGTGCCGCTCCCCCCAGGGCTGCAGGGCAGCCCGCAGGGATGAACCGTGGCCCCGCTGCTGCCCGCGGGCTGCTGGGCTCTCCCCGGGGCCGGGCAGGGCTGAGCTGCTGGGGAAACTGAGTCACGGGGGGGCAGGCAGGGGTCTCTCCGAGCCATGATGCCTTCAGCCCGCTGCCTCTCCCGGCGGAGGTGCCGTGCCGGGGGGGGGGGGGTGTTGTGCACCCCGCAGAGCCCCGAGAGCCGATGGGGGAGCACTGGGGGAGCTGCTGAGCAGCCAGACGAGGGGAGCCCCACGGCAGTGGCAGCTGGGGGGGTTCACAGCCGCCTCGGGGCGGGAGGAGTGCTCGTGGGACCGGGAGGTCCCAGCAGGGACCGAGCCCTGTCCCCATGTCCCCCCCAGGGGAGGGACTGGCTGGTAACACCACCGTGGGAGCTGCTGTGCTGCAGGGCCCGGCAGCGTGGGGACCATCCCCCCCTAACCTGCCCCCCTCTCCCCCAGCTGCATGTCTGACGCCTTCATGCCGGGGAAGCTGAGGAGGAGCAGGAGGGGGGTGCTGGAGAAGCGGTGGCAGAGCCTGGAGGAGAGGGGCAGCGCGGGCACCCGGCTGGGTCACCCCGTGCTCGCCAGGTGGGTGCTGCACCTCACCGGGGACGTGTCCCCGCACCCCAGCCCTCACCTCCCACCAGCCTGGCCCAGCCGGGCGCCCCGGGTGCTCTCACCTGGGTGCCACGGCGTGACGCCCACGTGTGCGCACAGCCGGGGGGCAAGGGGGGGGTGCTCACCGCCGCCTCTCGCCAGATCCAAAACCTGCGACCCTTCCTTCTGCGAGGAGACAGACCCAGCTGCGGCGGCCACGGGCACGCAGGGCCACCCACCCCCGTCGGTGAGTCGTGGGGCGCCGAGGCCCCGGAGCGGGGACCCCAGCCCCAGCGCTGCGGTCCCGGCGGGATGCTCGCTGCGGGGCCGGCGCCGAGGGAGGGCCCGTCCTGGTTTCGCGGCAGAGGTGGTGACGGAGCAGGAGGCTGCGAGGTGCCCGTGGTGCCAGGGCTCTGCCCCCGAGCACCGCGCCGTGCCGGCCCCACATCCCGGCCTCCCCCGCAGCTGAGCAAGCGCGTCGCCGGTTACCGCAAAGCCTTCGGGGAGCTCGCCGAGCGGGAAGCGCTGCTGGCCTGCTTCTCCTGCGCTTGGCAGAGAGAGGTGCCTTACCACGGCCGCCTCTACATCTCCTCCCGCCACATCTGCTTCCACTCCAGCCTCCTGCTCAAGGACATCAAGGTGGGCTGGGGGGTGGGTGCGGGGCCAGTGGCTCTGGCGGGGGGGGCACGGGCAGCAGCCAGGCACGCGGTGACACTGTCTGGCCCCCCCCTGGCACAGGCAGTGGTCCCCATCGTCTCCATCTTGGCCCTCAAGAAGACCAACACAGCGCTCCTGGTGCCCAACGCGCTCAGCATCCGCACGGCCGAGGGGGAGAAGGTGAGAGCGGGGACGGGGACGATGCGGGGTGGCCTGGTCCCTGCAGCCGGTGGGCTCTGGGCCATGACCGAGGGAGCAGCTCTGCCACAAACGCTTTTCCTGGTCCCCGGCAGTTCCTCTTCGTGTCGCTTCGCCGGCGGGAGGCCACGTACCAGCTCCTGAAGTCAGTCTGCAAACACCTGCAGGTTCGTGCAGCACCGGACCAGGGGCCGGGCATGGGGAAGCTCTGGCCCACCCATTGCAGGGCCACGGGAGTGGCTGGTACCCCCCACCCCCCTGCTTCATCTCTCCTTGTCCAGGACAACAGCTGGAGCCCTCCGGCCTCTCTGAGCAATGAGGAAATCCTTAGGAAGCCTCTGGTAAGGCCGGGAGTTGGTCAGCAGGAGGGTTTTGGCAGAGGAAACAAGGCCCCGTCCCCTTGGGAAGGCTTTCAGGGGGAAACGTGGGGTCGAAAAGCCCCAGCCCATGGCAGCACAGATGCCAGGACCCTCAGGGCTCCCTCGTCGGGGCTGGCAAAAGTCCCATCGGGTCCCACCCATGTCCCCATGGCCACGGGGCAGGTGCTTCGGGGACATGCACCGTGACCAGGGCTTGTCCTCTTTCAGACCTCAAGCCAGTCGGACCTGGAGCAGAGCACCCCGGACCCCGACAGCCTCCAGGAGCTGCCGGGTGAGTGGCCGTCCCGCAGCCCACGCCCCCCCCCTCGCACACTCACGACCCTGCTTGTGCAACTGTGTGTGTCTTCAGCCGTGTTTGTGCCCCACTGACAGCCCGGGGCTCTGCCCCCCCGTCCCCAGCCACGCATGGCCCAGGAGGGACCGCACAGCCCGTGGGCACCTAAACAGCATCTCCCACAGCACCGGGGAGCACAGGGTCAGCTTCCTGTGGCCCAGGGTGCCCCACTGGGTCCCCAGGAGCCCCCCAGTCCCCTCCCTGGTCCTGGGGCACTTATTGAACATCTCCTGCTGCAGATGGGCCAAGCCTGACACCAAGGTACGTGGAGGAGGAGGAGGAGGAGGATGAAGAGGCAGCGGTGCCGGCTCTGAGCAGCGGTGAGCGGGTGCCCTTGGCAAAGCCACGCGGGCTCGGGTGGGTCGGGGGGCCCCGGGGAGGGGGATGCTGCTGGGGCTTGACCCCAGGGCTGTCCCCCAGCACCCGGCAGAGCTGACGGTGGTGACCAGGCTGAGGCTCTTGGCAGCCCTGGCACTGACACGGCCTCGTCCTGGCAGGGGGACCCCACGCCGCGCTATGGGCCCAGACCACCACGCAGTTGAGCCCCCTCGACACCATCATCCTCATCTACCTGCTGCTGTGAGTCCCTGGGACCCGCTCACGCGTCTCAGAGCTTTGGGACACCCTCCCCTGTCCCCAGCTCCACCGCACCCCAGTACAGGCAGGCTCGCCGGTGTGGCACTGGCAACCCTGGGTTCCCCCCCGCCCCACCGCCGCCTTGGGCGCCCGCACTGGCCCAGCCGCCCGGAGCCCAGGGCGAGGGGATGGGAGCCTGGCCGCAGCGCTGCTCCTGCCCCGCTGTGCCCCCCGTGCCTGACGCTGGCCTGTCCCCCAGGATGGTGGCCCTGCTGCTGTCCTCGGGGTACATCGGTCTGCGCATCGTGGAGCTGGAGCAGCAGCTGGCGTCCGTGGGGGCTTGGCCAGACCTCAACCTGCCGCACCAGTGAGTGGGGGGGGGGGGGGGTGCACCCCACCGCCCCCAGCGCTGCGGGGAACCCCTCAGCCCGCCTCTCCCCCCCCCAGGTACAAGAAGACATGAGGACAGCAGGGACCCCGCCCCAGCCGGGGGGACGGGCTGTGGGGCTGCTCGGAGCCCTTCCCCTGCCTCTTGGGGAACTGCTGGGGACTCCATCACCGAGTGTCTTCCAGCCCCCCTAAACTGCCTGGGGGGCCCACACAGGCTGTGGGACTTCATCTTGCTCCCCTCACACCCCCCCACTCTGAGCCACAGCGGGAGGGACGCTGACAGCTCCCAGGGGACAAAGAGAAGCACCGAGGGGCTGGCTGGGGCCAGGCAGAGCAGGGACAGACTATTTTATGAATAAAGATGTGACCCCCCCCCGCTTTGGGGACACTCTGGACTGGGGCAGCCCCACGCTGCCCCTTCCCTGAGGACGTGTGGCTGCTTCATTCCTTGGGACAAGTGGAAGAGGAGGCTGTGAGCTCCTCCCCAGGCAGGATCTGGGGGGGGGGCTGGGGTGGTCAGCACACAGCAGCGCAGGATGAGCACCAACCAGCCCCCCCGCTCAGCACCCACCCCACCCCCGGCTCCACAGGAACGGGCCGGGCCAGCAGGACCAGTGGGTGGAGGAGGGTCCGGGTGCTGATGCCTCCACTGGGGTGGGCAGCAGGAAGGATGGGGACGGACCCCGAGCTGCCCCCCAGCATCCAGGGGCTGGGGCTGCAGGTGACAACTGGGAAGCAGAGGGGAAGGGGGGGGGGAGAATGGGCCCAGCTGGGGGATCCAGGGCCCTGCAGCCAGACCCACCCCCCCTTACCACACTCCTGCCCAGTGACAGGTCTCTCCTGCAGTGGGTGCAGGGTCCCTCCAGGCCACCGCCTGCAGGTGCTGGTGTAAACTGGGGAGGGGGCACAGCAGGACCTGCACCCGGGACCAGGGTCCTCCCGGCCTAAAAAGCCCTTGAACTCAACCCCATCCTGATCCCCTTGAGGGGCCCGGGGGGCTTACCCCCCCCAAACATGGGGAAACTGAGGCACCGACAGCACCTCGCCTCACTCTTTTCTCCAGCCAGGGCCCTGTGCCATCCCCCCCCCAGCCCAGCCCCCCCCAGGCAGAGGCAGGGGATCCTGCCCCCCCAGTCAGCACCAGCCCACCGCTGGAGGTGAGGGCCCCCCCCCCCGTTCTATACTGGTCACTGGGGATGGGAAGGAGCCATCGGGGCTTCCTGCTCCCCCCCAGCAGCACCTCAGGGGACACGTTTCGGGGGGGGGGGGCACAGGGCCAAACACCACTTGTGGGGTGTCAAAGGCAGTGGGATCAGCTGGAGCCGGCGGGACCAAGCCAGCGAGGTCAGGACAGCCCTGTCCCCCCTGTCCCCAGGGCTCCGGGTGCCAGGGGGGGTTGCAGGGGGTTCTCCTCCCCCCTCCTCCACTGCAAGTGTGCTCTGCAGGACCCACGGCCCGTGTGCGTGTGCCCTGCCCCGAGCAAACCGCCACAACCAGAGCACCCAGCAACTGCCCCCCCCGCTGCGAGGGCGGGGCTCTGCCCGGGCAGGGGCACCTTTGATCCCTGCCTGCCCCGCAGAGGGGAGCAGGGGCAGGGCGGGGAGGGCCGGGGCTGCACCGCCCTGCTTTTCCAGCAGCAGGAAAGCAAAGGCGAGCGGGCAGGCGGGGGCAATAAAGCGCACGCAAGAGCTGCGCGGAGAAACGGCCGAGCCGGGGCAGGTGGTGCGGGGGCCCCGCGCAGCGGCTCCGGGACTTGCTGCACCCCTCCCCTCCCCGTGGAAAAATCGAAGTGGAACCACCAAGAGCCGTAAATTCACAACTTGTTTAATGCCAGTTAGACTGCTTTACATGGAAAAGTTACAACGCTCTCTGTATATTTTTTTTTTTTTTTTTTTCTTTCCACCCAACGATGCCTTATATATATATATATATATATAACAATGCCACAAGGTCGCAGACAGTCACACAAACTCGGGGAGGACCCTTCGCCCACCCCACCCGCACGGCTGGGCGCTCGCGGGTCACATACCGACACCTCAAGCCTGCCTTAGCTGCGCTTTTCCCCGTCGGTCAGGCCGCAGCGCGCTCCAGCCGGCGCAGGCGCAGGCGCGCACCCCCCCGCACACGCTGCCGCAGCCCGGGCCCTGCCGAGAGCACTTCTGGGAACGGCACTCCTGCCTTGGCACCTGCGAGCGGGGCGGGGGGAAGGAGTCTGTTAAACCATGCTTTAACAGCTCCGGCGATTGGAACCGCTCGTTCTCGCCACGCTCGTTAGCCAATGCGCTCAGCGGCCGACCAGCCACGGCGTGGAAATCCCTGGCCCTCCCTGCCAAGGGCGAGGAGGAACCGCAATGAGCCAACCCGCTCCCAAGGCGGCTCCAAAGTGAGAAGGGCGAGAGCTGCGGTTTGTGAAAGTCCCTCGCGAGGGAGGAGCACGATTTGGGGGTCTAAGCAAGGAGGGGGCTGTCCCCACGCGGGGCACGCCGGGGTGCAGACGGACCCTGGGGGAGCGGGGAGCTCGGAGCGGCAGGCGCAGCGCAGCCCACCGCCCCGGGCCCCTGCAGCAACCCCTGCAACGGAGTCGTCGTGTTGAAACCGTGTTTCAGAAATGACGTTTTGGGAGTCAGGCAGAGCCGTGAGACAGCGATGCAGCAGCCAGTCTGGGCCCTGGAGACGCCGTGCTGCCAGCCCGCTAACGAGCGGCGAGCCCCCGGCACCATGCCTCCAGGCCCCCCCGCCACACGCAGAGGTAGAGCCAAGAGCCCGAGCCAGGCCCCGGTGTAACGGCACTCGTGGTCAAGGCTGTCGTGAACAGGACGGCACCTCGCTGCCCTTCTCCCGACCAGCCCTCCCTGCACCCCAGACGCTCGCCCTAAGGACACCGGTGGCACCGGGGGAAGACAATCCTATCCCACCACCCCTACCGTCTGGTTTCAGGGAAAGAAGGAGGGGGAAAAAAAAAAAAAAGAAAAGAAAAAAGGAGAGAGAAAAGTAATTGCCTATGCACTCTACAAAGAACAGGTCAAGGTCTATATACACAGCCAGGAAAATCCAAATGAGAATGGGAAAGGGCACACACATCCCAGTGCGCTGGAGAGGGCCCGAGGCAGGCAGGAGCCGGGTGCACGGCAGGGAGAGCATTGGCACGTGTACAAAGTAAGACAGGAACAGGCTGCTGCAAGCACCACAGCTTCTCTTTAAATTAAAAGCAACACATACACACAAGTGCTTTGCGTCACATCCCATAGCACTCATCACACAGGCTCCAAACACACAAGCAGGCACTCTCTTCCCATACAATTTAAAAAAAAACCCCGAACAACAACAACAAAAAAATCAAGCACCAAAAACCAACCAACCAAAAAAAAAACAACAAAACAAAACATCCCAACAACAGGTCCCTGACTTTGACTTGGAGATAAAAAACAAAGCAACACTTCTTCCTTGCTTTAGAAAAAGAACCCCCCCCTCTCACCCAGACGCGGTGTTTCCCCCCTTCCAGCCAGAAGAGGCCATGCTCTCTCCAAAAACAGATCCACAGGAGTTGTTTTGTTTCTCAAACACATCTCAACTGCTTTTGTCCTCAGGAAGACTCCAGAGCAACCAGCCTGCCACAAATGGCACTGTGGGAAGCTCCACATGCATGGTGGTTGTTGGTTGATTTTTTTCTTTCTTTTTTTTTTTTTTTTTTTTTTTTAAGCCATTGTTTTTCCTCTCTGTTAACTAAAAGGATCAGCCCAGAACATGCAATAGCAATTTCAGAACTTTCTGAATGTGCTCCCTCTGAGGTGGAGCCTCTTCAAGTCTCCTCCAAAGTTTAGAGCCCAAAAATGTATTTGTTTGAGGGCAGCTGTCAACCTTGCCAAAAATCAAGCTGTCTTATGGGAATGATTGTATCAAGTACTATAGTACCAAAAAAAGAAAAAATGGGGAAAAAATAAAGAAGAAAAAAGAAAAAGGGGGGGGAGGGGGGGAAGAAAAATAAGCAGTTCTCCAGTTTCTTCCTGTACTGGGGATACCAGGCTATAACCAATGCCCTTAGATAACCAGAGAGGCTAACGCCCAGCCAGAAGTCCAGCCCCTTGCCCCAGTGGTGTTGATCTTGGCTGGCTGGCTCCCACCTGAGCCATCCGTCCGTCCCAGGACAGAGGGACCCAGAGCAGCACATTAAACCCCTTCCCACAGAGGCAAGGATACTCTCATCTCTCCCGGGAGGGGACGACACAGCAGCTGGGAGGGCCTGGGCCTGGTCTCAACTGGCCGTGTCACACGTTCGCTCCAGTATACAACACGAGGCTTGAAGGATGCTGGTTTAAGATTTCTCTTGTACCCGTTTCCCTTGATGGAGGATGAATCCGTAAACCTTTGGCAGTTCCCTCCCCTCCCCAACCCCACCCCAGATGCTGCCCAGCGTGGGTCACAAGCACGTATTTAATCAGCACCCGTTGGGTCCATCCTCCAGCCCCACTGGCACTCCCTCCCTTCTGGCTGAGCGTTTGGGGTTCCATGCACACCAAGGTAGTGGTTTTATCCTGGTATGTCAGGCTGTAGTCTCCTGGGTTGCAGTATATGGGGTTTATCGTATCCTGGTGAAAAGGTTGAGAACGGATACAGACTCCTGACAAGAAAAGACAAAGCAGGTGCTAAATATTCCACAGTTTTGCTACAGCGTTACTCCATGTTGTTTTGTTTTGTTTTTATTAAAACAACTGCTAATCTGCTGAGGTATCTCTAGCTCAGGGATTGACCCGACCTCACCATTCAAAGTCCAATACCATAAATATCCCCGTGGTTTTTTCCCAACTGATAACAAGGAGCATGGCAGGCAAGCTTGCCATTCCCACAGCTTTGCAGGAAGCTGTACCCCAGAGCTGTCAGAAACCTGGGGGGGGACACACCCGGCAGTGAGCCACGCCAGCTCCCCCCAGCTCATTCGTCAAGATCTCTGCTGCCCTCCTCTGCCTCTGCCAGACACCCAGAAAAGCTCTCAGAGTGACAGAAGTTGTCAGCGGCAGCATCCACGATCCCCCCTCCATCCAAGCCACCATTTTGAGCAGTTTCCCGAGGAGCTAGGGGAATGATCAACTCTGGGGACAGCATCAGTTCACGGCAGCACGTGAGCGGGGAAGATGAGGGACTTTGGGGGAGCTCCCTGAAACGCTGCTGTGGTCAGCAGCCCTGCAGCAGCCAGGAGGAAGATGTTCTGTCACACTACCTTGGGCACCCTTTTATTTCCCCCGATGACTACAGATCTCTTTATATCTCGGCGAAGGTTAACCCTTCGCTGCACCCAGCCCTCGATCTGCAGGAGATGGTGAAGAGGTTAGAGGCAAGGCAGGGAACAGTGCAAGCCTGGACTGAGTTCACCCGCAAAGGCCGAGCCTCCTGCAGGACGCAGCTGCAGCCATCCACACCCCACATCCTTACCTTTGTCGAGCGAGTTTTACTGAAGACGTTCCAGAAGCGCAAGGTTTCATCTCCAGCTCCTGTAACTATGGCCTCCCCATCTGGGGACATCGCCTAAGGCCAAGAGAGAGAGCAACCTTTAGCAGCTGTTACATTTTTGAGGTTGAAAACAAATCTTCACTGGAATGCATGAGAGAGATTTAACTCTCCTTCCTACTTGGCTGGTGGTGAGAAACCAGACAACCACCTCTGCTTTCATGTGCCCTGTTCAGCCTCGGTAGGTGCCAACTCAAGCACTTGCATCTTTCTTAGGCAGCTATGGAACACATGGGGGGAATTATCATAAAAGGAATTCTTGCATTAAGAAATCCAAGCCATTAGTAATTGAGGCTATTCCTCCCCAGATTATCAGTATGTGTTAAGGCAGGAAGTGTGACATGACTGGCATTTGCCAGCTCTGTCAGTTACTTACGTTGGAATCTACCTCGCAAAGCAGTATCAGCATATTTCTTAATCTGATACGAATCCACCGAAAGCCCCACGTAATAGTAAAGCAGGTACAAGATCAATGTGGATTAACCACACCAAGCATTTCAATGACAAATTAGGAGGACTGGAAGCATCAAATTCCTCCCCTCCTGGCAGTCACCAGTGAAAAAGCGTGCGAGTCTTAAGGGAACAAGAAGAGATGCTTGCGCTTCCTCAGAAGAGTTTTGGCAGGCTTTGCTATTCATTAATAAAGCCTCAGATTTCCATAGCAGCAAATCAAAGTATCCCTTGCAGGCAGGGAAACCAGATACCGAGCGTTTTTCGTTGCTTGCAGGGCAGCATCTGTATCTCCACCTAAACTACAGGCAGCTTACGGTGCCACTGGCACTGCAGCTCTGGGTCCTGTCTCCGTACCCGCGCAGGCAGACAGGCAGCTCCGTGAGTTTTCAGAGGCGCGGCCGTCACTTACCAGGTATAAGACTCGGTACGAGTGCCCCGTTAGCTTTGCTACTTGAGTTAACGAGGGGTATTTCCAGACAAGGATCTGGTTCTGCGAGTATCCGTGGGTGCTCACCTGAAAGGGGAGAGGGAAATATGCACGGTGCTTCCTAGCACAAGCCAGCTCGGCAGCAGGACTGCGCAGGGAGGAACTTACTAGCTCGTTGGCGTGCTTCGACCAGGCCAGGTTGCACACTTGCGACCCGGTGTCGATGCACTGCAGCGGCTGCCCCGTGAGCGTGTTCCAGAAGCGTATGCAGCGGTCAGCTGTGCCGCCACCGGAGGCGAGGAGCCCGTGCTGGTGCGGAGACCAGGCGATTGCCTTTACTGCGGCAAGATGCTCTGTGTATTGTTGGACGGGACTCAGGCTAGAGTGATTCCAGACAAGGAGCTGGTGGAGAGGAGAGAGCTGATCAGACCGGCTCGGCAGTCACACGTGCACAACACCCACGGGCCACGGGGTCGCGCGGGGACTGATGAGGGTAGGTGGGCAACAAGATGATTTCCCGCAGCTCCGCCCAAGCAGACGCGTCTCCACTCTGCACGTGCGGCCCTGAAGCCGGTGCCACCCCGCAGCTGAGGGGCCATCCTGCCAACAGCCCTTAAGTTTAGCTTACGGAGCCAGAGACACAGAGGCGCCGAGCGGGAACTCAAACCCTGCTTTTGTCTTTATGGCTGCGTTATTCCAGAGCACATTCAGAAACACGCTCAAGTTCCTCAGAAGTTATTCTGAGCAGGAAGAACTCGGTACAGCCAGGCTGTCACAGGCACTGGGCGAACTCACTACCTAGCAACCCGCTCCAGAGGGCTCTAAGCACTGCTTCTCCGTAACAGATGCTTCTCCCATATGGTGCTCAGTGAACTACAAGCCGGAATTATAGGTATTAGAACTTCTATAGCTCGAAACTCAGTTTCCTTCTGCATACATAAACAGTATTGCAACAAACTTGACTACATGCTACCCTAAACAAAAGTCAGGAAGTTCAGCTTGGCAGTAGCTTTGGTGAACTCAAGCCCCTGAGTCAAGCTATAGATTTAATTAGCCAAATACAGAAGCAAAATCAAATTTGCCTTTTTAATTTTATTACAGAGGAGACGGAGTAGTAGCTTAGCATGATTTATGTTTGGACACAGTCCAACAACTGAAACAAAAGCCCCTTTCAGAGAGGCGGAATATTGTTAAAGAAGGGAGGTCTGACATTTCTTGAAGACCTAGAGACATCGAGCCTCACGTGACTCCTTGGAAGGACTGTACCTTATTATCATTTCCTCCAGAGGCCAGGAGCTGGTGGTCTGTAGACCATTTGAGCCCACAGACCTCCTGCCTGTGGCCCTGGAGCCGCCGCTCGGACTGCAGGGGTGGGGTGCGGATGTCCCGCTGCAGGATCATCCTGTCTCGACTCCCAGAAGACAGCTGGTCCGCGTTCCACGCCAAGGCACCTGTAACGCAGGCAGAGCTTGAGAGTACATTGTGGGAGTCCCAGGGGAGCGGGCAGGCAGAACACAGCCACCACAGTTGCCAAGGTTCACAAAAAAAAATATCAGTGCTGATGGACCTCCCCTATATCCTCTGCCTGAAGTCCTAGAATAGCATACAAAAAGATTAACCTGCATAAACTTACTGAAGGTACCACCGACCCATTTCACAGTGCAGTAAAGCACAGAAATGAAACTCGCACGACACCTGGTCTTCCCAAATCTCACCCCAGTGTTCAGATTCACAACGGCAGTGAGCAAAAAAAAAAAAAAAAAAAAAAAAAAAATAGTCCCTACAGAATAAGGGAACTGGAAATCTCAGTGTAAAGCAGCCTGCCTGCAGGGCTGAATCCGGAAGCCAGTGGCAGTGAAAAAAGATGTTGTAACCAAACCTAAAGTGCCTCAGACATGGAGGAAACACCTGCTGCAACACTCTAACACCACCACACCCAAGATCAGAACACCACAATTACTATATGATCATGTTTTGAAGACTGATACTTTGAGTTACGAATATAAATTCTGATACTTTGAGTTCTGCTATTTCAAGTAGATCCCTCACAAGAAAAAAGTTCAATCATGAAGAAACACGTGAAACCTCTGCCTCCCACCTCCTTACCAACTCTGGCTGTGTGCCCCTCTAGCATAGAGAGCTTTTTTCCTGCAGCTGCATCCCAGATTTGTACAAAGCCCTTGTGAGTGCCAACGGCTACCAAGTTCCCCTAGACAAACAGAAAACCACCATCAGTAAAGCCAGTAAGTAAAGACAGACTTAAAACAAAAGCTAGAAGCTGAGGAAAAGACTCGAGATAAATTCCACGAGATGTAAGATGGAAGAACTCTAGATGCTTTCCATCTTTTTCCTACCAAAAGGGCCAAGCAGGCTGGCTGAAATATATTTACCATAACATTTTATTGTCAAGAACAGGAGAAGCAAACTGGCTTTCTCCCTCCCACACCTCTTAGCAAATGCCTCAAGAACCTCAAGATACAAGAGGTTTTTCCTCTCTATCCCCTCTCATTTAGTAGAGAAATAATGCAGACAGGAAAACACATTTGATTTGTGATGCATACAGGGAGTTTGGGGAAATACGGGATTATAACCCAAGAAGTTAAAGCCTGGGAGGAGGAGCTATACAGCTACAGTAAGTGTCTAAGCTACAAGCATTTCAGCTGTCACTGTTGACAATGTTATACTGACCCGTTCTGACCAGCCCACAGATGTTACAGAATCTCCTTCCACAGAGAGATCACACAGTCGAGTTACCTTGAAAGTAGGACAGAATGGAGTAAGAAACACTTGTCATACTGCACTGTTAGTTGTCTCACAAACTAGTACCTAGTTTGGGACAGAGCACTACAAGTGCTGAATCCCTCACACAGCATGTGCCACAGCTCTGAAAGATGCTACGGCTGGAAAAGACCAACAGTAACAGGTACCTCACTCTCCAGACACTGATGCTCATTTACCTGGCTAGTACAAGCACTCCATAGGTAAACACAAGTCCCAAGGCCAACGCTGAGGACATTAAGAGAAGACCAGTCCACCAAGTTCAGGTAGAAGTCATCCTGCAGCTCTGGGGCATCCAGCACTTTGAAAGGAATCTTTGAGATTTTCCGAGTTGGTTTTCGAGGTGATCTTAGCAGCTTCTGACTGTTTACAAAGACAGATATAAAACCAACTACAGGATCTTACACATCACAGCAGATGGTAGGCACAGATGTAGCCAGTCATTAAAGCACACCTGCATTTCTATAGAAATGCACAAAGAGGTTGCAAAATTCTTTCCAGCAGGTAAGACTGGAAGGAATTATGTTCCACTTCTATAAAGGAGCTAGGGAGCAAAAAGGTAAACTGACTACTGAAAGTTGGCAAAGACATATTAAGTATCTAGGTAGGTTGGACACCTGCAGAAAAATCTTAGAACTTGACTGTCCCTGCTGTTTATCTCCCCAGATTTCCCAAACCAATTCACATAATTTTGGGTGCCTTAGAAAGAAGCCCTGCAGAGCCTCACTGAATCTTCTGTCCCAGCCCTTCCCATTTCCCAGTGTATGGAGAATCAGTATTACCTTTTGTTGCTGACAGGAGACAGGGAATACGGTGAGACCTCATTGCCATCATCTGGACTGGAGCGTTTTGTGCTGAGAGAATACTGCATAAAGAAAACACATCTAATAAGAAGCCCAGCACGCACAAGACCAAGGGGATCACTCGCAACAAGCACTGCTGCCCAATGTCTAGCTAACTCCAACACCCACAGGCAGATTTTCCAGACTTTTCAGCTGCTCCCTTTCCCAGGTGCTCCCGAACCATACAAAAAAACCCTCATCTCCACTGAAGTCCAACAGCTTGATTTGGTCATTTACCACACCATCCAAAAAAGCTTGCTTCCAACTCAGCTTCCCTGCCAGTACAGAAATAGGAAGTATGTAGCTTGCTGCAGATACTGTAAAGATGTTCTCTTTACAGGCCACCAAATTCTGTTATCAACCGTTAATCGAGCTACAACACTAACTCACTTGCAGCAGCAGCTTGGCAGAACTGTGTGCTTTGCTCCTGTGACGCACACGCACAACCTCCATTTGCTTTAATGCAAAGTAACTGACTTACAGTGAAGAGAGACTTCTTCTCTGGGGTGGACGGCTGCAGCCTCCTGTCCTCTGTCTGCGGGTCTTGCACCTTCTCGATCCCTGCTCCTAAGAGTTCGTTCTTCAGCAAGGCAGAGTAAGCAAGGCCATCTGGGAACCCAAACGAGCGCTTAGGCAGGGAACTCTGAAGCAGCAAAGAGCTCTGCAGGGAGTGGCAGAATCACATCTGCCTGACTTGTACATTCACAGGGCCTCTTAAGAAGCCTGGGGCCCCAGTTTGGAATCAAGATCAGCCGCAAGCTTCCCCTCCTTACTCTCCATCAGCAAAGTGCTTCCATGGCACCATAAATCAAGGTTTACAGCTAGACTCTTGTTTCCCAGACACTCGTCAGAAGCCTACCGAGGTGACCTGGTATTCAACTCTCACGATGTGAACATTTCCTAAAACACCAGCATGAGTTTTTGCATAAGCACGAAAGCGCCAGTGTTCCCTTGATTCCCAAACTCAGAAACAGTTTGAAATAAAAGCCACAGGCGTGGCGCAAGTCATAGAAAGGTGGTCTCACCTTTGCCGTTGTCTGATGTAGCATCCTTTGCTTTTCTGTTTTGACTTGGTGATTTTTCATTTTCCTGAAAAGGATAAACATGCTATCAACACACAGAAACCTCATGATATATGGTAAAATAACAAAGAAAGATGTCTCCTGGACCACAGGAGCAGCCTGTTTGAAGGCATACATTCAGATACACACTTTGGGGGTAGCAGAAGACCATGGTGCAGAAGATAAGCAGAGCAATTACGCCAGCCAAAACAAAATGCACCATCTCCTCAGTTCCAAGACTGAGCTGTAGGAGAGGGAAGTAAAACTTACATTTATTCTGTGGAAGTTGATGCTCCAGTTGGCCCCAGCTCTTGAGGGAATGAATCTATCACCATGCTTACTAGGAGAAGACATTGGAGAGTTGGAAGGCGTCAGGGTTCTTCTCATCTCTGCTACCTGAATTAAAGAATAAAAGACGCACACAAGAACAAGTGTTGATCACCGCAGGGGTCTGAAGAGCATCAGTGAGGTCTTGTCAAAGCTGAGTATGCCCAAGTAGAAGAGCCAAGCATTAGTTTCTCCCCTTAACAGAACTAGTAAGCATGTCAGAGTCCAACTGTCACGGGAACTTGTCATAAGAAGCAATTAAACAGCCTCTTTCTCACCGCTCCTTCTCGAGCTGACATTGTCAAGGCAAACACGTGGAAGGCTGGAGTGGGTTAGACTGCCTGCAGGGCGAGCAGCAGATTCCTCAACTGCTGTCACGTTCTTTTTCATAGAGTAATTTATGTTGGAAAGGACCCCAGCTCAAAACAGGGCTAACTTCAAAGTTACGCTGAAGGTCACAGCCTCGTCCAGTTGACTTTTCAGCATCTCCAAGGACCAGGACCCCACAAGCTCCTTGTTGAGGTGTTTGGACACCCCCCCATGAACGTTTTCTCCTAATACCTAGCTGCAATTCCACCTGTTGCAGCTTTCATCCATTGCCTCTAATCCTTCCACTGTGTACCTCTGAAGACAGTCTGAATCCGTTTTCTCCAAAACCACCCACCACGTAGTTAAAAGCAACAATTTCATCCCTGCTGAGCCTCATCTTCTCCAGGCTGAGCAACACAGCTCTCAGCGTCTTCCTGCTCCACCCCCGTGACGACCTTGGTGGCCTCCACCAGACTTGCTCTATCTTGTCAAGCCCTACAGTTGGTTTGTTTGTTTGTTAGCCCCCAACTTTTTTATGTTCCATGTGGACTTACTGAGAATATTTAGTAACGAGGCATTACTGAACTACCTAAAAATACCTTAACTCCTTTTTGCAACTCGAACTGAGTTTATACATTCAGCAGCTTTGTTGAAGTCAACTTATTTGGTTATTTCTAGAACAGGTCAGGAACTCACACCTGCTCACAGCCCAACAAAAAACTAAGGCTTGCTTCAAAAAGGTCCCGTATCTTTCAAAAGCTCAGGTAAAAACAGTAACAGGCGAGACAGACAACAACTTAGACTAAGACCATTTAGCATAGCCCATTTGTACTTACACAAGGCATTGTGTTTTCATTCTGTATGTTGATTTGGCGTAAGAGACGTCTCTCATAATCCTGGTCCATGGTGGAAAGCAGAGGCGCTGGGGAGTTCACCAGGCTCAGGAATTTGTGTTCATGAAGTCCAATCAGTAATTAGTCTGCTGCAACAGACAGGGGAAGAAAAACACTAGAATATGACACCCCTTCGTATAGAAGAAGTTTCCCCAGAATCTCCTAAGCCTGTTCTTTAAACTTGAGATCACTTTTCCTATCCAGAGCACTGGTATCAAACTTGTGTGACACAGCACAGGGCTGCTCATGAAAGCATTTTTCTGTATTATTGCCCTTGGTTGCCGATTCACACAAGCAGACAACCAGCATTTTGTGTCTGATGGGACCTCAGCAGGCAACCACCACAACTAGAGCAGAGACTGCAATACGGAAAACCTGCCTGTTCACATGAACAGCAGCAGCACAGCTTAGCAAGCTTTCAGTACTCAGGCATGGAAAAAGCAGACACCTACAGCCTATCCCACCAAAGCCAGACCCCTACCTCAGGCCAGAGGCATGACAGCAGCACACAGCACTATGCTGAAGCTCACAGGGATTCTCTTTGGGCCGTGCTGGAAGTATTGCAGACGTGGTGCCACGCACTGCAGGAGCACAGGCAGCTATGGACTAGGTAGCCCCCTGCGTTACCATTCAGTGTCTGATGCCCACGGTGTCCCAGATATTCATCCTGGCTAGCATAAAGCTCGCTCACTTATGGCTACACAGTCTATAAGCAACGTTAAGCATTTTTCAAGTGTATGTTTTAGGATAGGGCTGCTTCACAGCCTAGATTCAGCTAAATTACAACATGCATCAATACAAAAAAAAAATTAGCTAGCATTCTGCGAGATAGTAGTCACAGCCCTTCTCCAAGCTCTGAAGGGCACAGACCAGCACAGCTAGTGCCCAATCTCCCCAACTCACACGCACCTCATGCTTTGTCCTCAGATCACGTTGACACAAAAATGCCAACACCAGGAGAGACGTGTCAATTTGGTCTTTCAACCCAAGATAAACATCTCCAAAGTGAAAGGCGGAATCGAACACACAACCCCCACCCCGCCACAGTACACAGGCATCTGGAAGCTCTGCAGAATGTAAAGGGATTTTAATTCGCTGTTATCGTATAAACATTCACAGCATCTGGCCAGAGTCCCGGCTACACAAATGGAGTTGCCTCAAGATACAAACTTTTAGCAAAATCCAGGAGGCAACTGCACACAAACAGCTGTGCTGGGAGAAGGCTGCCCAGGAAGGAACAAGCTACACTGCCACGCTCCGGGCCTGCCCTGAACTGCCTTCAGCTTCCTCCCCCAGCAGGTAGGGCTTGCTGTGAACAGGTTTACCTCCAAGAACAGAAAACCTACCCAGGGTTTACCATTAAAAACTGCAGGCAAGTTACCAAGCTGAGAGGGGTACAGCAGCACACGCTGTAAGCCAGCAAAATACGATTAAGCGTTACAGTATTCTATGAAATTATCTTGAGATTGAGATAAAGCACACAAACTCTGGACTGCAGTCCTCTATTAGCTAGCAGAGGTACTTTCCTTTTATCTAAGCTGTTTGTTAGTCCTGGAGCGCAGACTTCTTACAAATGCTGAAATGCAGAGGCCTTTTATTCCTTGCCATTAAGCATGCCAACACTTTTACAGGAGCATCCTTGAAATAGCTAGTGCCAAGCTGTTCCTGAATACACCTGCTTACCTCTGCCACCTCCTCCCCCAAACTTTTTTCTTTTTTAATTTAATACATTTCTCCCATATGTTCTTTCAGAGGCAAAACTGGAGAACGCTACCAAATTTAACAGTAATCAGCCTCTACCAAATGAAGAGTCAGAGATCGTATTACTGTGAGTGAAAAGTTAGAAAAGTCCGTGATGTTATTAATGAAGGAGGTAAAAAACCAAAAGTTTGTGCATCCCATGTCAAACACTCTCCCTCTTTTTGTAATTTACTTACCCTTATCCTTACCTACCCATGATCTTCCAAATCTACCTTTGAGGTTGAGAGGACCTCTCAAATCAAGCATTTCAAAGTGCCTCCCCCTCTCCCTTTTTTAAAAAACATCACGAATAAGAGGAGATCAGCTTGCAGAACCCATACGAGGAATGTGAGATCAGCTAGGCAACACCACACATTTGAAGCATCCTCCCAAAATGGCTCAACACAGTATTTGTGAGATCTAGATCGAGTTACACAGCAATGTGACATTTTTAGTTCTGTATATGAAACATTTGCTTTTAGAGCTTTTCGTTTGAGATTCCATCTGTACAAATTTTGACTACAACTTCTAATCAGAAATACATCATACAGAGAGTGAACAACAGGAGACACTGCACAGGCAGAACATTGCAGTAAATATTCAGCACCTGAATAATGACATGTTTTTACCTCAGAACCTGTGCCATTAAATACAGGCCCAAAGAGAGGGTGGCATCTCTGGTTTGGGTAGGCTCTTGCTAACTCAATTTGTCTGGGGGAAGTGGGTGGGTTTTCCATTTCCCCTGCAGAAAGTAATAAAGGCTTTGCCTTAAGGACTGGGAGTACGTGGACTGTAAGTTGTCTTTTAGTTGAAAAAAATAAAAGATCTGGAGGAGCTCCACGTGTGACAATCTTTCTGGATACTATTTTGTTACTAATGATGTAGTTTATGCTTGGAGAAGAAAGCTGGCATTTGGTGGAATTTTTTTGTCTCCTAAGGCAGAATTTATATTTTGATTTACTCTATTTTCTTCATGTGCCTTATGGCTTATCTTTGAATTGGCTGGATTTTATCACAGTTCACATTACTTTCAGAACAGTACTTCTAAGCACAATTATGGTGCTGAACAAGTGTGTTTTGTTCTTTTTATTGACCCAGCCTTAATGTATTCAAATACTTAAATGTTTTTTCTTGGTATGGATCTGTTTTTAATAAGCCAGCATGCAGAATACCAGGGTCGGTAGGGAAATTAATGCAGTTACTTTGCAAAATTGTTCCTCTGTCATTTGAGAGGCAGCCTATACCTATCCGGATTTTTCAGCAAGCACTGAAGTTGGGGTAACAAATGTAGGCTGTGTTGGCATTGTCAATTCAAAACACAGCCTACCTGAGCAGAGAAAGAGCTGGACAATCCCTGACTTTTTTTTTTTTGTTCCAGAAATCATTTGTGCCCTTCTTAAAACTGGAAGGTAATTGGGTGGGTAAGTGTTAAACGTGACAGGTGCTGATGAAAGTGAGAGACTCTGAGAATACCAAAGCTAGGAGAGTTTTTAAATGTAAAAACTAAATATATTTCCAAATTTAGACAGGGCCAAAGGGGGTAAATGATGTAGTGCTAATTCAAATACAATTAATGTTATGTTGATGCTTTATTTTTGAAGCATTTGAAGCCTGAAAAATTTAGTTAGCAAGAACCTACTCAAAACCAGAGATGCCACCCTCTCTTTGGGCCTGTATTTAATGGCACAGGTTTTGAGGTAAAAACATGTCATTATTCAGGTGCTGAATATTTACAAGCTCTCAGGAAGAACCCCTTCATTTACCAAGAGGGAAGAGGATGGTGTAAACAAGTACTTATTCCTCTAAATCATGAGCAGCAGGATTTGAAATCAAATGCAGATGTCCTGCTTCCCCAAAGCCAAAGTTTTCATTTTCCAATGATTTATCTAAAGCCCATTACTAGGCAACACACTTGTAAATCAACAAGTTAAAAGATCTCAGCTGGCAACAGAAATGGCAGTCCATCTAGCCACACCAGCTAAGGAGCTGTGCACCTCCTTTGTGCCAATTCCAGCCCTTGCCTGACTGTGCAGTGCACACATTTGGCTCACTGAGATAACAGAAAACTAACTCTGCCCCAAAGGGCTGATGTTTTCTGCTGGTTTAGTAAGCAGCACCTCCACCTCAACCTCGAGTACTGCAAGACTATTTCTAGTTATGGATTCTCCTATTTCCCAGACTTTTGAACAAGCTGTAAGGGAAGGGAAAGAAGGAAAAAAAAAAAAAAAAAAAGCTAAACCATAGCATTTTTTCTATGCAGTAGTCAAACCTATTACAAATGCATCCAGAACACTAAAGCCAGCTTCACAGTGCTAAAGCAGACCTTGATAAGGAACGAGATACTCTGCACTTGGCAACCCTGAAGTAGAGCTCATCCACATTCAACCCAGAGTTTACATGGTTATGCTAAATAACCAATCCTTTCAAGTAACTAGCTTTTTGTACTACTGCTGTTTTTGAAAGCATGCTAGAGCCTTGTGTGAGTTTTACCTTTTTAAAGCTACAAGTATGCAATTTCTTATCCAGCGATTTACTAAGGTATTAGCGTAAAAACATTTATAAAATTAACCATTTACAGAAGTAAATGAAATAGAATGGAAGCTGGTAAAGATTTATTCCAAAACAAAATAAAAACTCTGTTGCCTTGCACTCAAAGATGACTGTTCACAGATAGGTGTTGCCCAGGGACCACCCTAACAGCAATGACAAAATGACTTCAGTGTTATGGTGACAGACAAGACCTCCATCCTTAAGTCTCACTCTTGAAGGCTGCAGAGAGATGCAATACTCCACCCATACACTAAGATTCATGCTGTATTACTGCAAGAACCATCACAATGAATCAGTGTACTTAAGAGTAGTCACATATATGTTATGCTCTGCACTGAAGGTCTTGCAAAAATTCAGAAATGTTATTTCTGCCTTTCCACAGCATTCTGCAAACAAGCACCTCCTCAAAGCCCTTTGTACACTCATTACCATCGGCTCTAGAAGGCCCCTATTAAAAAAATTCCAACTTTTAGGTGACCAGCAATATACACAAACTGAATTCAAGTTTGATTTAAAAGGTGAAGTGGCTCAAAGCCACAGCCAAGACGTTGTTTTCATCTCCTGTTTGCACTCAGCCTCCCAGTTCGTAACGAGTCTAGAAGCTCAAGATGCTGCAGTTCCATACTGAGCTTCGGAGACAAGTGGTACCCACAGCTACCTGTGCCTCCTTTCACCTCCAGCATCAGGAAATACAACCCCTTCCTCACAGGCAAGGGCCCAACCTCTAATTCAGATTGGAGGTGTCAAATGTTTGACTTTCTGCAACGGACTGCACCTCCACCTGCGCTCACAGACAAGCTACAAGACTTCCCACAGCCCTCCCAGTCAGCCTCTGAAGATAATTGAAGGCCGTGTGTCTACCTTTCCAAAGCAATGTACAGTCCTACCAAGATGACAGAGGAACTCTGACCAGCAAACCACAGGGCAACAGTGCTAATTTAGGACACTCGGGTCACTGAGTGCTGCAGGAAGCCTGCGTGAGCCAAGGATGAAGTATTCACGACAAAGAGCTCTGATGTGGCATGGACTTTCATGCCCCACCAGAAACTCAGGGTTGTAACACCTTCAGGAAATAGCAAAATCTCCGTCTTTGGAAGAGCCTTTACTAAAAATAAACACCTCCCACTACTAATAAATCTTCTCATTACACCAGGACAAAAAAGAAGTTTTTCACCACAATTTTCACACACAAAATAGTCACTCTTAGATGTAAGCCCTCATCTGAGGGGAACACTCCATGAGGTCTACCAAGAGCACTGCTATTGCTGCTTCTTTTACATGGATGATGCTCAGATACTACCATCAGCACAGATGTTTTTCCTAAATCCTCTTCTCTCCACAGCTGAAAGAAAAGACAGGAAGCTGACAGAGTCAATCCTGCTGCACTGTACTCAAAAGACAAGTACATTTTCAGCGGTTCAACTCAAGACTCAAATACAAGTGTGATGGTCAGTTAGAGAGAGCAGACTGTCAGAATCAGCAGCCCCCTCCACTGTCGTACCCACGGAGCAGCCAGGCCCCTGGCTGAGGGGTTTCCAAGTTTGCTTCAGCCAGCTTTTAATAAGTTAAGAGAATTGTAGGTTTGTTAGATTACCTTCACAGATGACGTTTTCATTCAATACACATCTCACTGCAGTGTACAGTAGTCTGTTAGGAGCACAGGGTTTATCTAAGCAGACATGACAATCATGTACTCAGCAGGGGATTTCTCAGAAAATCATCACCATTAAAACCCTTTTTATTGCCTGCAGGTAGTGATTATTTCATCTTTTCACCATGCTGCTCCATAAATAAGAGGGCCACGCCTGCTCCCAGGGAATCCAGAATAAAGTTCAAAGTCTTCAGCAGTGCAGGAAGCCATACACTGGGAAATACACCGAGCCTTAAAACATAGTGTATGCTCAGTGAGGGGTCACCTCTGTGTCACCTCTTACCTGTGGGTCAAAAGGCAATCTCTGCATCTAATTAACAAAGTCTCAAAAGAGGTTCATCTATTATGAAAGAAAAACAAATAAGAGGCAGCAGACAAAACACTTTCCAGTTTGAGATGCAAGAATTAGCAAAGGTACCTGGGTTAAACAGCATCTGAACCCCTCTTCCCTCCTGGCTGTTACAAAAGCTTGATGAAAGCTCTGAAGGCTTTCTTGAGAAATACCAAGTGCTGAACAAGTTCTGCTACTCCCATTTGCTCCGCTGCTCCTGTGGATGGAATGAAACTGGTTCCTGCTGGCTGTGCCTTTGTGCTGGGCTAGAGTGGGTGCAAAACACTGTCCCTTTCTGAAGGTGCTAGAGGAGAATACATATGCTAGGGAAGGAGTGGGGTACAATTTCCTCCAGTTACTACTTGACAGAGAGGGGATACGCATCAACCTCTCCACATTCTGCTTTGAGATTTTACCTCAGTCCATGATGTAACCTGTGCCAAACTGATACGCCTGGACGCTGCTACCCTTCTTGACTCAAGAGGCAGAGGGAGCAACCAAAAACTCGCGCAGCTTTCGCCGTATTACCTCACCACCACATCTCCCCTCAGACATGAGGGCTGAGCTACTGGCAGCTGCTGGCCTCTGCAGAGGCAGCTGGCCAAGGAAGCCGAGGGACCTTTGCAGCAACAGCACTTTTGTTTCCATTGTCACCTGATGGAAGTTTTCCCCACATAAACAAACATTTTGGAAAAGTCACTGGACAGACAGGAAAAATGAAGGTTCTGCTTTTGGCTGCTCATCAACCAGCATATAATGATATTAATTTGGTGATTACTTAGAAGATATTTACTCATTTATTTATTCTGCGTACCACGAAGTGTTTAGTAAGAAGGAAGCGGGGATGGGTGAAGTACTTGGACCTTAGGGATATGAGGTCTTTAAAGGGTGGAGTTTTTCCATGTTAAGCATTCTAAACTGAAAAAGGACTGACAGGAATAGAGGGAAGCACAAGAGAAAGGCTACTGTATGCATTTTGTAACATTTTATCTTACAACTCAAAACAGAAGACAAACATCTAAGAGCACCAGCTCTAGATAAAAGGTCTACTTTATCAGAAGTCAGTGCACTGAAAGCCAAGACTAAAAATTCACCAGCAGTCTTGTCCATGGAGTTTTACCATAAAGACCAGGCAATTCAAAAGTCTGCTCCATCATAACATTTAAGCTACGGAAGGTGCTTAAATAGTGCTCCTGGTCAACCCACAAATGCAAGTCACAGAATCTAGAAAATGCAGCAGCTTCAGTCAACAGCCCCTGAAAATTCAGCTTCTGTATTAATAATAATAATAGGAAAATAAAAATCAGTCTTTAATATGAGATGTTGTTGCCAGCAGGGGAGTTGCTCTGTGAAGAGCCTTTGGGACAAAATACTAGGCTAGTATCATTAAATGCACTAACTCAGTAAGAATCAGCACTTCACAAGAAAATGAGCATAGCACCTTCAAAAGAGCTACAAACCAAGGAAGGAAAGTCATCCACACAATCGAGCCTACGACACCTTTGACAGACGATTCCAACATGACCTAACAGAGCTCACTGTGCTTTAACGACCCCTCCAGCAGAACGCCTCTCCTCTCACCATGCGTGGATGCTCAGCTTGAAACTTTAAGACCTCAAGCCTGTAACTTGTTGAACACGCATACTACGTCCACTGGCAAAATGTCAACAACACATTGAAAAAGCCCTAACGAAAGGCACAGTGCTATTTGGCTTCCTCAGACCCCCAAAAGCCACCGGATGGACAACGGCACGCCACCAGCTTGTGCTGTGCGTCAACAAGCGACTTCTCAAAAAAGTTTCTGCTTGGTAGTTCTCTTTAGCAGCAGAGTTCACACCACAGAAATCTCTGCTACTGTTCATGTTATCAATTTGATCAAGAAACCAAGAACTGGCGAAGTCGCAGCAGCTGAGCTAGCCTCTGGCTCTCGTCCCGCCTTTCCAAAGCAGGCCAGGGTCCACCGACCAAATTAAAGGGCCTACGGCAAGAGCTTTCAGCCGTTCTGGCTCGACCCAGGCCACACAACCCCCTCGGGGGTTAACGGTGCCCGTTACCAAGCGCGCCCGGTGCCCGAGAGCGGTGAGGCTCGCCGGCTCCTCGGGCAGGAGGCACAAGCCCGGCCGAGCCCCGCACGCAGCCCTGGGCGAGGGCCGTCCCCAGCACAGAGCCCAGCGCAGCGCCATGACTCCCAGTGACCTGCGGAGAGGTTAGCTCCCATCCCGTCAGGTCTGACAAAACACCGTGAAAATAATAAAAAAAAGGAGGAAGGGCAGCCCCGAGAAGCGCAGCCATTCCGGGGGCAGCGCTCCCTGACCAGCCCCGGCTCCGGCGTAAAGGCCGGGAGGCCGCTGCCCACCGCCCCCCCCCCCCCCGGGGCCTGAACTCGGCCCAGGACCCCCCGGCAGCGCCTGCGGAGGGAGAGCACCGCCGGGCCGGGCTCCGGGCCGGGCCCGCCCCACTCGGCCCCCAGCCCCACGGCAAGGGGCCGGCTGCGGCCCGCCCCACGCCGCCGTGACACCGGCCCGGGCCTGCGGCCCCGGTGCCCAGCCCGCCCGCCCGCCCTACCTGCCCTCCCGCCCGGCCCGGCCCGGCCCGGCCCGGCCCCGCTCCGCCTCCTCCTGTCACTCTCCGCCGGCCCCAGCGCTCCGCAATATGGCGGCCGCCCCCGCGGCACCGCCCCCGCCCGCCGGCACCGCCCCCGCGCGCGGCACGACGGGAAGCGCGCCCCGCCCCTCCCGTTCGAATCAATACAGGAAGCGGCGGCGCGCGGCGCCGTGGCAACGGCCGTGGCTCCGCCCCCCCCCCCCCCGGGGGCGACGGGCGCAGCCTGACGTCACCTCCCCGCACGCTGACGTCATGGCGGTGAGGGGCTCCCCGAGGTGGGGGGGAGCGAGCCGCTTTCCCGCCTTCCCGCCGCCCGCGGCGCTGGCGGGAGCCCGAGCCGGTACCGGCACCGGCACCGGCCCAGGAGCGGGCCCGAGCGCCGAACCCCTCCCGCCTCAGCCGGTACCGGCCCCGGCGGGGCTCGGTGCGGTTGGCCGGGGCCGGAGGGGGCGGGAGGTTCCACCGGCCGCGGTGCTGTGGGGACCCCCCCGGCGGCGCCCCGCCGACAGCCTGCCCTGCACCGCCCGCCCGGCGCGGCTCCCCCGGTACCGGCGCAGCTCGGTCCCCCGTCACCGACTGCCCCCCTGGAGGTGCCCTGAGCGGTGCTTGCAGCCCGCGCGAAGCAGCTGGTGGCTGACCCGAGGGGCCTCTTGAGAGCCCTGGGGCCGGGACGTGGGGCGCCCCAGCAGCCTCCCGGGGGGGGACCCCAAATTCCCTGTCGTCACCCGGGACCGCGGGTTGTGGGATGTCCCCCCCCCCGGGGCACGTCGAAAACCCGGGGCACAGCCGGGGACTGGCACTGCTTGTCTGCTGTTTCCTTTTTTCGTGGCTTTTTTTTTTTTTAATTTATTTGTTTGATTTGTTTTATTTGGGTTTTTTTTGTTGTTGGGTTTTATTTATTTTTTTTCGTGTTTTTTTTTTGGGGGGGGTGGGTTGTTTTTTGTTTTTTTTTTTTTGTTTTTTTTTCGTGGGGGTTATATTGTTTCTTGTTTTTTTTTTTTTTTTCCGGGTGCAAGTTCTTCCCCAAAGCAGAGCCCGGCGCGGCCTTCCCGAGCCCCTCCCCGCCCGTTAAACGCGTGCGTGTCGCCGAGGCCGGGCGGCGTGCCGGGCTCCCTCCCGCAACCGCCGAGCCCCGAGGGCCCCGCGCCCGGTGCCGGGGGGGGGGGGGGGGGCCCCGCCAGGGCGGCCCCGGCCGTTCCGCGGGGGGAGGTGCCGGTGCCGCCCCGCCCCGGTGCCGGTGCCGCCCCGCCCCGGTGCCGCCGTGACCCCGCGGCCGATCGCTTCCAGGGCGGCCCCGGCTCCCGATTTGAAAATGCAGGAGCGGCTGCTGGTGCTGCTGTGCGCGCTGGCGCGGCGGCGGGCGGGCGGGCGGCGGGCCATGGCCGGGACCGGGGCCGCGACCGGGAGCGGGGCCGGGGCCGGGGCCTGGGACGGGCCGCAGCGGCGCGCCTGGCTCCGGCACTACTACAGCCAGCGGCAAAAACGGCTCATGACGGTGAGCGGGGGGGGGGGGGGGGACGGGGGACGCGGGGGGGGCGCGATCGGTGAGTGACGGGATGGAGGCGGGGAGGTAAAGGAGGGGACTTGGGGACACGACCTAAAGGGGGTCGGGGGACACGAGGGACACGGGGGGGGGGGTCGGGGGACACGGGGGGGGGGGTCGGGGGACACGGGGGGGGGTCGGGGGACACGAGGGACACGGGGAGGGGGGGTCGGGGGACACGAGGGACACGGGGGGGTGTCGGGGGACACGAGGGACACGGGGGGGGGTCGGGGGACACGAGGGACACGGGGAGGGGGGTCGGGGGACACGAGGGACACGGGGGGGGGGTCGGGGGACACAAGGGACACGGGGGGGGGTCGGGGGACACGAGGGACACGGGAGGACACGCAGGTCACGGGGACACAAAGGATGGAGGGCGTGTGGGATGTGGAAGGATGTGGGACACGGAGGGCATGGCGGGTACACAGGTCATGGGGATGGGAAACAGGGATGCGTGGGACACAGAGTACAGGGATGGGAAGGATGGGGGGACACAGAGGTCACGGGGGGGGTGCAGGTCGCAGGGACACAAAGGGTGGGGGACAGGAGCCACAGGGACAGGAAGGATGTGGGACACAAAAGACATGTGGCAGACACAGAGGTCACAAAGGATGGGGGATACGTGGGACACGAAGGACAGGAGACTTGAAGGACACGAGATGTGAACCCGGACACAAAGGACGGGGGGTGCTGAGGACATGGGGACGTGGAGGAGGGGGGGACATCAAAAGTGAGGGAGACAAAGGATGGGGGATGTGAAGGGCCTGGGGACACGTAGCAGCAAGGACAAGCTGTTGGGGGTGAAACGGAGAACCTTCTTCCCTGGGCAGTTGCCAGGGAAGGTGAAAAAATGATTCTTTTTAGCTCAAAGATGTTTTTTAGAATTTAATAACAGAAAAACAATTCTTGTGGAGGGGCTGGGAGCGTGGGTGCTCACTCCCCCTTCCAAATCATGACCAAGCCCGCAGTTCACTCGGTTGCAGGAAAGCAAATAATGCTTGTTAAAAAAAAAAAAAAAAATCACAGAGAAGTGGCCGACCCGAAAGGGGAGTTTTCCAGAAGGTTCCTTGCCTGCGGCACCTGGGCATCTTGTCCAGGGTCACAACTATAGCCTGAGTGGGATTTCCCAGGAACAGGAAAATCTGACCTGGTGGTAGTGCCAGTTGGGGCCACCAGGTGTGTGGTACTGGGCGGCCTCCCTGCCTCGAGCAGGTCACTTGAGCAAGGTCTTCAGAGGGGGGGGTCCCAGCTAAGCGTGGGGTGGGTACCAGGGAAGCACCGTCTCACACCCCCCCTTGTCTCCCCACCATGCTGCAGCTCCTGATCGCTCGCCGGAGGAGAACCAGCTGCTACTTCTACCCCCGCGCCTGGCCCAGCGTCAGGAGCGCGGACTGGTGGGAGCGGGTGGTCCTGAAGGAGTTTGGCCCGCAGGACTGGCTGGAGAAGTTTCGGATGTCCAAGGAGACCTTCTTCTATGTCTGCAACCAGCTGCGGCCTGGTCTGGCTCCACACAGTGCCCACTTCCACCCCACCCTGCCCCTGGAGAAGAGGGTGGCCGTGGCCCTGTGGCACTTGGCCACCAACGTGGAGTACCAGACTCTCAGCCCGCTCTTCGGTGTGGGGCCCTCCACGGTGCAGACGTGTGTCCGGGAGGTGAGCTATGCCGTTGTCTTGCTGCTGAAGCCCCTCTACCTCCGGCTGCCCAACGAGAAGGAGCTGGAGAACATGGCGCGCATCTTCTGCACCCGCTGGGGCTTCCCACATTGCATTGGCGCCCTGGACAGCCTTCACATCCCCATCCACCCGCCCCTGCGCCTCAGCGCTGACTACTACAACGGCCAGGGCTGGCACTCCATCCTGACGCAGGCCACCGTGGACGGGCTGGGCCAGTTCTGGGATGTCTCCACCGCCTTTCCCGGCAGCATGGAGAACAGCGCGGTCCTGGAGAGCTCCAGCCTGTGGGTGCTGGCCAAGGAGGGCCGGCTGTGCCCCAACCCTCCCAAGCATTTCATGGGGAAGGCGCAGAAGTATGTGCTGCTGGGCGATGCCACCTACCCCTTGCAAGACTGGATCCTCAAGCCCTACCAGGAGGATGAGAACCTCACCCAGCGGCAGCTGCAGTTCAACTACCGCCTGAAACGGGCGCACAGCGTGATCGAGAACGCCTTCCTGCGCCTGAAGGCGCGCTGGCAGATCCTCCTGAAGTGCGACGACTGCAGCCTGGAGCTGCTGCCCACCCTCATCCTGGCCTGCTGTATCCTGCATAATGTCTGCGAAGCCCACGACAACCCCTTCAACGAGGAGTGGCTGGAGGGCACCGAGCCGACCGAGCTGCCGAAGCCCTGCCAGCCTGCCCCCGCCGCCATGGAGGACGGCCGGGCTGAGCAAGTGCGCGAGCTGATGTGCCAGTACTTCGAGAGCTGCGGGGAGGGCTGACGGGGCCGGAGGGGAGAAGCAGCCCCACGCACCCTTGCTTTGCAGACTGCCCGTGGACTGCGGCAAATGCTGGCCCAGCAGCGCGGGGCTGTTCGGCAAAGGACTGCACCCTCTGCCGAAGGCTGCCGGCAGAGCGAGGGGGGCCGCACTGGCCGTTCCCGGGGGCGGGGAGGGGGGCGGCTGCGTCGTGCTCATGCTGGTTTTGCCACAGCGGTTTCAGGCAGTGGAATGTATTTTGTGCCCTTGGTCTCTTCCAGGATTTGAGCGGTCTGGTGGTGTGTTGTGTTCTGCATGAGTAAAGCGGGGATCGGGGCTGGGTGAGGGAGAGGGCTGCCTCCGTCTCCCTTCCCTGGGAGCATGCCTCTATCCTGAGGCCTGTCCGTCAGGCCGAAACTAGCAGGAGGCTTGAAATAAGACAGCAAAACCCCCTTGAAGGTATGAAACTTGCTGCGTAAACATACTCGGGAAGGGAAGGAAGAGGCAGAGCAGCGGCTTGCCGGGGGGCTGGCCCCAACCCGGAATGAAGCTGCATCTGCAAACTCCGGCTCTGGGGCCGCTCGGGCAGCGGAGCTGCCGCAGCCCCGCGTCCCTCCCCGCTTCTCTCCGGAGCGGTTTGCGGTGAGGGCCCGTGGCGAGGTCCCTCGCTGTCCCACCGGCCAGCGCTCCGCCAGCTCCTCCGATCCCTGCTGCCAGCCCAGCCGCAGTGTGAGCAGACACACACACAGTTTCCCCATCACCACCCCCCCCCCGCCTCCCCGTATCGTCTGAGAAATCGAGCGCCTGGGGTTTATCCCCGCACTGCGGGGGCTGCCCCAGCGCAAAGGCACCTCCACCAGCGCTGGGGGGGTGGGGGGGGAGCGGCACCGACACGTCCCTTCGTGCCACCCTGCCCCGCGGGGCTTGGGGGTCCCCGCGGGAGCACGGGGGGCGGCCGGCGGGGCCCCCGCGGGGATGCACATGGCGGGAGGGCGGGGGGGGGGGAGCCATGACCCTGCGCTTCGCCGCCATTGCGCATGCGCCACCTCCTCCTCCTCCCCACCTTTCCCCGGCCGCTCCCACTCGGCGGGAGCAGCGCGGGGGGGAAGCAGCACTTCCCCCCCTCATACACACATGCACAGGCTCGTGGCGAGCCCGCCCTCCCATACCCGGGCGTGCGCGGTGGGAGGTGCCCGCGGGGGTCACGTGGCGGGGCAGCATGGCGCCGCGCGGTGAGTGCGGGGCCGGCGCGGATCGGGCCCTTCCCTTCCTCTCCCGGTTCTCGGTCTAACGGGATCGGGCCCGGGGCCCGTCCCCCCCCTCCCCCCCCCACGCGGCCGCTGCCCTCCCTGCCCTGGCGAGAAGGGCCGGGCGGTGGGGGGGGAGCTGCGCCTGGCGCCCCTCTGACCCCTTTCCCTGTACGCAGGAGCGTGACCGGCGGGAGCCCCGCCAGCGGCCCGTGTGCGGCCGCGGCCTGCCCTCCCCGCCTCTGCCGCGGCCATGGTGACCGAGGAGGAGGTGGAGGCCATCGGCCGGACGCTGGTGGATCCAGCCCGGCCCCTGCCCGCCCGATTCCGGGCCCTCTTCACCCTGCGCAACCTGGGGGGCCGTGCGGCCGTGGACTGGATCAGCCGCGCCTTTGGGGACGGCTCCGCGCTGCTGAAGCATGAGCTGGCCTACTGCCTGGGCCAGATGCAGGACGAAGCGGCCATCCCTGTGCTCGTCCGGGTGCTGGAGGACACCGGCCAGGAGCCCATGGTCAGGCACGAGGCGGGTACGTTGGTGGCCGTGGGTGCAGGGGAAGGGTCCAGCCTGTAAGTGGGACTCGCGGGTGCTTCCCCCCGTAATGAACAGCTCACAGTGGCCTGATCCAGCTTGGGTGTCGTGGCTTGGAAAGCCCTGAGGTGTGTAACCACCTCACCACATCCTCTGGCTGGACTGGTCGGCCAAGCTTTCCCCTTCCTGCTGGCTCCTGCCATGGTTATTTGCCTGGCTGTCTCATTTAGGATCGGTCCGAGTCAGGCCAGTGTCCCCACCTCAGAGTGAGGCGAGGTTTTTCTGGAGGACCCAGCAGGGTCCTGCTCCGGTAGACACCTTGATAACATCCTGACATGCCCTTCCTTCAGGTGAAGCCCTGGGTGCTATCGGGAATCCCAGTGTGCTGGATATCCTGAAACGCTACTCGGAGGATCCCGTGGTTGAGGTGAGGCTCTCGGGGGGGGGTGTGTGTGTGTCATTTCCCCCGGGGTGCAGTGCTACTGGTCCAGGAGGGGGAAGCAGGTCTCTCCTGGGCAGCCCCAGGCTGTGAGCAGGGACACTGTGAGCAGCATCCTGCTGTGTGGCGGTGCCCAGCTGCTGTCAGGAGGCTCTGGGCACCCTGTACGGGGCTGTCCCACAGCTGGGGCTCTGTCCCCATCCCTGCAGGTGGCAGAGACGTGTCAGCTGGCCGTGAGGAGGCTGGAGTGGCTGCAGGAGAATAAACAGGAGCTGGGTGACAGCCCCTACCTCTCCGTGGATCCTGCTCCCCCCGCCGAGGAGACGGACGTTGCCAAACTCCGCGAAACCCTCCTGGATGAGTCCCGCACGCTGTTCGACCGCTACAGGGCCATGTTTGCCCTCCGAAACTTGGGGGGCCAGGCTGCCGTGCTGGCGCTGGCGGATGGTAAGGGCCCAGAGTGAGCCTGCCTGCAGTCTCCTCTTGCTGTAAATCTGTACAGATGAATCTGGGACTGGTCCTTCCCGAATCCAGGGCTGCCAGAGCTGCAGGGCTTCTCTTAGGCTCTTCACGCATTTGTTTCTAGAGCTGCTGTCCCCCTGCTTGCTTGCAAAAGCCACATCACAAAGCATTCTGTGCTCTCTGGTATTTCACAGCCCCCCTTGTCGTCTTCCAGGCCCACTTGCTCTGTGGATCTGGGTGGGAGAGGGCAGTCTATAATGTTGGCTTGGGACCTGGTGTCTCCTGGTGGGACCTGGCCCCAGGGCTCTGCTCTCCCATCCTGGAAAGTCAGAGGCTGCCAGCCTTGTCCTGGGGTTTGGGAATAGCTCTGGAGAGGGGAGTGAATGTCTCCTGAGTGGGGAAGGGGCAAGCCACAGCCCAGGAGCTGTTGGGACCCACTCCCCAGCCCAAGGGAAGTGGGTGATGCTCTCCTGCCGTCTGGGATGAGCTGAGGGCATGTCTGCACCGTGAGACAGGGCGTGCAGGGATCTGTGAGCTCCTGCTGCAGCTGTTCAGTCCTGCGGCGTGGGAGGACTCGAGGCTGTGGCGGTGCTGCCAGGCTGCCTCAGGCACGTTGCGCTGGTGGGGCAGGGCCCGTGGGCAGCACAGCCTCTCTGGGCTGGGGGAGGGTGCTGCCCTCACGGGAGGGTGTCCCTGTGCTTTTGGGGCACGCTTGTGGGCGGGCGGTGCTGGGGCTGCCCTGGCTGTGCGGGCTCAGGGAGCTGGGTGGGACAGCCCTCCCCGTCAAGTGTTTTATCCCCTTCCCCAAAAACCCCCCACGGGTCTGGGGTGGCGACTGGCAGCTCTAACCCCCCGGCCAGCCTGCCCTGTGGAGTCCCTCAGCTTTTGGGTGGGGGGGCCCTGACCAAGCACCCCAGTGCGCCTGGGGGGCAGCGGCGGCTCACTCTCGCCTCCTCCCCCCAGGACTGCGCTCCGGCGGCGCGCTCTTCCGCCACGAGATCGGGTACGTGCTGGGCCAGATGCAGGATGAGGCCTGCGTCCCGCAGCTGACGGCTGCGCTGCACAGCCGCGCCGAGAGCCCCATGGTGCGCCACGAGTGCGCCGAGGCCCTGGGCTCCATCGCCCGACCCTCCTGCCTGGAGACCCTGCGCGCTTTCGCCCACGACGAGGAGCGGGTGGTGCGGGAGAGCTGCGAGGTGGCGCTGGACATGTACGAGTACGAGAACAGCACCCAGTTCCAGTACGCTGATGGGCTCTGCAAGCTGCAGGCCTCCGCCTGAGCCCCCCGGCTGGGGGCACACGGGGGGGGGGGGGTGCGCCGCCTCCCCCCCGTCCCCGCTGCGCTTCCGTGGCTGCCTCTGTCGACATGGATCTGTGCCTTGCCGCAGCGGAGGTGGAGGCGGAACTGGGTTTGCTCTGGCACAATTACAGCCACCTTCTCCCTCCAAATCCAGGCTGAGCTGCTACTTGCCCCCCTGCCCCACCGCCCCCCCATTTCCTGGATCAGCCCCTTTTTCCCTGCCAGGATCAGCACTGTCTGCCCGCAGCCTGGCTCGGGGGCTTGCATCGGGTGGGCTCAGCTCTGCGTGTCGGAGCCTGTTGGCAGCTGTGCGGGGCCTGGGGCTGCTCTGGGCTTGTGCTGCAGTGGCGGCTCGGTGTGAAACAGCTCCCCTCTCCCTGCCTGAGCTTTGCTAGGGGGCCAGGGCTGGCTTTGGGCGCTCACCCTCGTAGGTTGTAGCGGCGCAATGCCTTGAAATCACCCTCGGTACCGGTGCCAAGTCGGGTCCCTCCTTGCCTCTGCGGTGGAGGAGCTGCTGTGGGTTTGGCCTCTCCTGTCGGGGCAGGCCAGGGCTTTGCTTGCGGCAGCCTTTGCCCTGGGATGGGGGTTGTTTCATGGCAAAGTTTGGAAGCTTTGGCTGCGCTTTTTCTTTCTGCAGGGAACGGCGCTGCCATTAGGGCTTACAGGGTGAGGCAGGGCCTGCCCAGACTTTCCCCCGCGTTTAACCAGACTTGGGAGGGCTGAGGCTGGTGTCTGCTGCCGTCGCCCAGCACCCGAACCCCCCTGGGCATCCCAGTGCGGGCACAGGGGCTGGCAGGGAATAAAGCTGATAAGGAGAGCTCCTGTGTGAGCTGTGATTTAGCCCTTGCCCGGTTGCAGGATGCGCCCAGCACCCCAGGGTCAGGCCCCCCAGGGGGGAGCCCCTGGCCTGCCGTCATAGAGTCGTAGAATCACTTAGGTTGGCAAAGACCTTTAAGATCAAGTCCGATTGTAATGGGAGCAGAGAGCACCGGGTGGGGGGGGGTCCCTGGCAGCAGGGGCTAAACCCCTGCCTCCCCCCAACCCTGGCAGGCCTGGGGCGGAGGGCAGGCATTGCCCATGGGGTGCCCCAGCAGCCCCCCCAGCGCTGCCCAGCGGAGGGGCTGGTGGGGTCCTGCTGCACCGCAGGGACCAGCATCCTGCTGATGGGGCTTTTCCCCTTGGCCCAAGCCTCCCTGCGAGTTGCTCCTGGCCTCGACCCTTGTAGTCCCTGAAGCCGCTGCTGCGGCCGCCTCGGCATCCACAGGGCTCTGGAGCCTGGGGCCGACGCGGGGAGCCCTGGCGCGGTTCAGGGCCCCACAGAAGGGGGTTTTACTGGAGATGTGATTGGTTTCGGTCACTCGTACGCGCTTACTGGAAGTCAGACTCGCGTGCTGTGGATGGGGTCGCTTGCGTGTGGTGTGGAGGATGAGGGCTACCGAACCTCTGTTCCCTAGCACCGGAGACAAAAACCTGGTGTTTTCACACTGTTTCAGAGTCAGCAGCCAGTATGGGGCTTCTGGCCCGGCTTCCCTCACCCTCCGCAGCCCCGGGGTGATGGGCAGGACCCAGCCAGCCCCACCGAGCTTTGGGGTGTCTCTGCACTCCTCTCCATTCCCTGGGGGGAAGGGGCAGGGCGGTGGGACGTGCCATTTCCCTGCCGTGCCCTTAGGACCGAGGGCAGCTGCCAGCTCCGCACTGGGACCTCACTGGTGTGTGGGTTTCGGCACGCTGCCGGTGCGGTTCCCCGGCGTTTGCCGGGGTGTTTGTCCCTGCTCCTCGTCCCGGCTGCTCCAGCCCTCGCTCTCTGCCGTTCTCTGGCATTTTCACAGGTGACTCAGACCACGCAGGGTTGTTTGCAAGTCTCTCTGCGCCAGCATTTGCCTCTGCTCCCCAAAAGCATTTTAATCCCAGATTGGAACAAAACTGGCATTTTTGTGGCCAGGATCTGGCCAGGGGTGACCTGGGTGGAGGAGAGCCTGAGTGTTGATCCCTGACTTGGCACTGAACCCCCACAGGCGCCTTCATCCCTCCCTGGCCAATCCACCCTGGGAAGGGTTTTGGTGTGTTTTGGTTTTTTGTTTTTTGTTTTTTGGTTTTTTTTCTGTTTTGGTTTGTTTGTTTGTTTGTTTGGTTTGGTTTGGGGTTTTTTTTGTTGTTGTTTTTTTTTTTTTTTCCCAAGGCTGCTGCTGGTCTGGGCCAAACCCTCCACCCTCCTAGTGCGGAGCGCATCGCTTTCGGGTGGTGCCTGCACCCCTCCGCAGGCTGCTCCTCACCGCAGGAGCGACACTGGGCACCAGGGTGCCGCACGCAGCCGCCGACACGGAGCTCTGGGAAGGTGCCAGCCCCTCGCCGGGGGCTGCTTCACTGCGACTGGGCTCTGCTCAGCAAAGGGGGGCCCCGTGGGAGCCCCCCCCCCCCCAGCCTGGGCCCACAGCACCTATCCCCTCTGCGCATCACCTCAGAGGGCGCCGTGTCCTCTGGGGCAGGGCGCTGCTGCTGGGATTTCGCACCATCTGCTCGGGGATCCGGGGCCTGCTGAGGGATTTAACCAAGCTTGGGCAGGGGGGGGAGGCCTTGGGGCGCCCTTCCCCATCCTTGCCTTTGGGGCTTCTCCAGCTGCCGATGATCCCCCACTCCCAAGGGGACAGAGCTACCCGGGGTGCTGCCAGAGGGGCAGGTTCTGGGGGCCGTGAGCCACACTGGAGCCCACTGATTGCCCCCCAGGCTGTGCCCCCCAGGCTGTGCCCCCCAGGCTGTGCCCCAGATTAGCGGGTGTTAAGCTCCTTCCTGCGGATGCTCCGTCCTTCGGCAGCAGCGGGCGAGCGGCTCCCCACCGCACGGAGGGTGAGCGGCACTGCCACCGGGCATGGGGGCCCCGCTGTCCCCGTGAGCCGCCGGCACCAAGGACCCTCACAGCCCCCGATGCCACTTCTCCCCTGCGGCCCCCTCTTCGGCAGAGGCTTCGGTGGCTCGGGGCTGGGGTGCGGGGGGAGCCGGCGATGGCCCTGGCAGGGGGCACCCCGCTCCCCGGCGCTGGGGAGGCATGGGGGTCACGGCACTTGCTGCAGTATCCCCCCGAGGACGACGGGGTGCTGTACGTGGACTACAAGCCCCCCGCCCTGGACAGCATCCGCCTGCCCCGCTACGTCCTTTACCTGCTGATGGCATCCACCCTGGTGCTGATGGTGGCGTACGCCATCGTGGGGCACCTCATCAAGGACCTGGTGCACGATTTCGCTGGTGAGTGCTGCCCAGAGTGGGGTTGAGTTTTGGGGCTCCTTACGGGGCTGGGGGGGGAAGCAAGGGGCGTCCCCCCAAACCCGGAGCCTTTGCTGTGGCGGGGATGTGCTGCTGATGGCTGCATCTCTGCCCCCACAGACTGGGCGTTCGGGCCCAAGCTGGAAGAGGAGAAGGCGGTGGTGGCCGAGGGGACCGTGCCGGAGGTGGAGTGGCTGGAGGAGGACGGGGTGCTGGCAGAGGGGACGCCGGAGGGCGAAGGTGCCAGCGCCCTGCCTGGCATGGACATCCCACTGGGGCTGCTCACCTCTGCCCCGCGCAGCTCCATCTCCTTCGCTGACACCCGCAAGAAGAGGTTTTTCTAGGGCCAGGGGACCCCCCCTCCCCGCCACCATGGGACCCCACAGCCGTGCCCGGCCGTTGGGTCGCAGCACGACCCCTGGCCCCTCCCTCGGGTGCAGGGGTGATGCTGCACGGTGCTTGCGCGCGGCTTCGCCGTCCTCGGCACGGCCCCACGAGCTTCTCGCGGGGCTGCTGTTGCTGCCCCCCAATAAAGCAGCCTGCCCCAGCCCCGCTCGCTCGCCCCTTAGCCACAGGCCTGGACACAGGGGGGTGGCAGGGCTGGGACCCCCCGAGCTTGGCCTGGGGGCAGCAGCATCCCTCCGTGGAGCTGGGCTGGCCCGGGCACGGGCGTGTGGGGTGGGACAGACGTGCGGATGCACAGGTGGGTGTGTAAAGGCGGGTGCCCAGGGGTGTAAACCCCTGGCACGGGGCGGGGGGAGGGTGTGGGCACAGACACGCGTGGGCGCAGGGGGCACGGCCGCGGGCGCGCACACACACGCACATGGAAACACAGCTGCACGTGCCGACGGGGAGGTCCACGTCAGCGCAAACACGCCCAGATGCGTGGGGAGGGACAGACGGACGGACAGCTGTACGCTGAGGCTGGGTTTGCCCCCGCCGGCCCCCTTGGTGCCTCGACGCTGCCAGGTTGTGCCCCCTCCCAATGGGGCAGAGCTCAAAGGCACCCACAGGTGCCCCCAAAGCCAGTCTTGGGGGGGGCAAAACACCCATGAGCACCACTTGGGCTCTGAGTGGGGGCACTGGGGACGGGCGCTGCGCCGTATGGGCTCCCATCCCCTGCCTTAAACCCAGGGACACCCCCCCCCCCAATCCCTCCGGTGAGGACCCTGTCCCCGTGTCCCCAGGGTCCTTCTTTAGCCCTTGGGGAATCGCCACAGGCAGGGTGGCCCTGCCGCAGCCTGAGGTGCATCCCTGGGGTGCTGCTGGCCACCCCGTGCCTCAGTTTCCCCTGTGCCCCAGTGGGTGGGGGCCGTGAGGTGGACTGGAGCCGCTTGCCATGCCAAGGCCTCCCTGATCAAACCGTTAATATTTAGCTCTTCACCCCCGCACGCCCTGGGCACGCGGTGGGGTCCCACCGGCACCAGCCATTGCAGCTGGGGCCCTGAGCTGGGGCGAGAGCCGCGGGGGTTCCCAGGACATGGCAGGGTGGGGACCATATCTGTGGGGATGGGACAGCAGGCACGGTGGGCACTCCTCCGCACATCTGCCCATCTGTCTGTCCCTCTACCCACACACCCACCCATCTGTCCGTCCTTCCATCCACCCACCCATCCGTCCATCCACCCACCCACCCACTCACCTGTTTTTCCATCCAAACACCGTGTCCCTCCCTCACCCCCTCCACCCACCCACCCATCCCTCCCCTCATCCACTCACCCACCCTGGGGGTGGACGCCAGCCCTGGGCACGGGGCTGCTGCTGTGGGCCCCGAGGCGCTGGGTGCTGCAGGGTGCTGGGGGATAGGTGCCACCTCCCGACAGGAGCCACGTTGCCATGGCGCTTGGTGGCACTTGTCCTCCTGAGCCCAATAAAAGCTGCCCGTTGGCCCCGGGTGCAGAGAGCAGCGCCTGCAGTCGGCCCCAGAGTGGTGTGGGAGAGGAGCCCACCTTGGGGTGCCGGATCCTGCTGTGCCCCAGCCCTCTGCCAGCTTCTGCCCGAAAATGCCGAGGGCCTCACAGCCCCTCTCACTCCTGGTCCTGCTCGTCCTTGCTGCCACCGCCCGGGGACAGGCTGGTAGGTGCCCCCATGGCCCCCCTGTATCCCTGCGCCCCCGGGGTGCCCAGGGTGGGGGTGGAACCTTCTGGGAGACCTTCCCCGTACGACCAGTCTGTCCCGGTGCCCCGGCAACAACCATTTTGGGGGCAGAACAGAAAGATTTGGGGGTACCTGCCCGCTGTCGCCAGTGCTCCTCACTGTGCCAGACACCCCCGCGCTCTCCCAGGGGCAGGTCGGCGGTGGCAGGGGGGGGCTTCCTCGGCACCCAAGGGATGGTGGGGACAGGGTGGTGATGAGCTCCTGCCGATGTCTCCTGGTGTCCCCAGTGTCCCACAGTGCTGGGCTCAGCACGCTCAGGACCCTCGTGCCACAGGCTGCGGGGTCCTGTCCCCTGTGAGATGGGGTCCCCCTGAAGCCGTCCCCATCCCCGTTTCCATCCCCATTCCCCCCGCCGTGCAGGCATTGGCTCCAAGCAGCTGCAGCCCTGGCTCATCGGCCTCACGGCTGTCGTCATCTTCCTCTTCATCGTCTTTGTGCTCCTGCTCATCAACCGGCTCTGGCAGATCAGGATGCGCAGGTGGGCCGGTGCGGTGGGGATGCATCCTGCACCCCCGCCTTGGTGCAGGGGATCCAGCCCGGGGGGGGCTGCAGGCTCCGGCCGTGCCGGGGGCTGGGAGCAAGGTGCTGCAGGGTGGGGTAGGGGCCCCCCCCCAGGCACCGCTCAGCCCCTCTCCCCCCTCGCAGGAAGCAGAGTGACATCCAGGAGACCCAGGGGACTGGCAGGTACCGCAGCCCAGATACTGCCGGGCTGGCACTGTTCCCCCCCCCCCCCCCTCCCCGGGGACAGCCACATGCCGGCAGTGCCACGCACGGCCTGGTGTGACCTTGGTGTGGCCGAAGGTGACGGTGACACCCCAGGGGCGCGGGCTGGGGTGCCCTGCTGCGGGCGGTCGCGCCCCGCTTGACGCCTCCCTCCCGGCAGGCTGGAGCGCGCTGGCTGCGCCACCCCGGCGGCCGCAGAGGACAGCGACGAGGAGCGGAGCACGGCCACGTCCTTCTGAGGCGGTGCCCCCCCTCCCCGGACCCCGCGGGGCCCGGCCCCGGGGACCCCCCCTTGGGGCACCACGCCCTCGACCCCGTCCGCGGGGCGGATGTCCGCGCCGGGTTTTGCGGGGCGGGAGGTGCCGCCGCGGCCCCGGGTTGCCGCCAAGACCCGGCGTGGATCGGCCGCCCGCTGGAGTGGATCGGCGGGCGGCGACACGAGCTGGACCCGCCCCCCTCCCCGCCCCCCCCCCCCCCAGCTGTGGGCCGTCGGGGGGGTCCCACCCGTGGGGGGGGGGGGCGGGGAGCTGTACCCCACTAAAGGTCCCCAACCTGCTCCAGCATCGAGCGTCTGGTGTCACCGTGCCGGGGATGGGGCTGTCCCGTGGCCCCCGCGGGGCTCCGTGCCCCCAGGATGGGGCCCGCGGCGCTGCCCCGCTCCCCGCGAGGGTGCTGGGCGCGGGGGCACCCCTGGGTGCCGCGGGGGCACCCCTGGGTGCCGCGGGGGCGACGGCGGGTTCCTGACATGCGACAAGCTGCCAGGCCTCGGCGACTTTGGCACGACCGAGGGCCGGTGCCCCCCCCCCCCAAACACCCCCGGACCTGCCCCACGTCCCGGCCGCTGATGTCACACAGGTGAGGACGATGATGTCATGTGCATCAGGCGGCTACGTCACGCAGCCAAGGTCTTGCTCCAGCGCCACGTCCCCACGTGAGCCCATGGCTGCACCCACCCGTGTCCGTGTCCCCCCCCCCCCCCCCCCCCCCCGTGCCTGCGCCGGCCCCGCCCCCCCGCCCCCCTGGGTGCCCCCCAGGGTGCCGCTGCTCCCGGCTCAGCCGCCCTCCTCATCTGGGCCCAGAGCACCCATGGGTGGGGGTCCCCCCTCGGAGGTGATGGCACCCACTGCCCAGCACAGCTCTGCTCCAGTGCCCCCCCCCAGCTGGGACACCCCTTTCCTCCCCAGGCACGGCGCCATGCCTCAGTTTCCCCCGGGGGCAGCGAAGGAAGGGCGGAGGCGGGCTGGAGTTGAAGCATAGCTTGTTTAATTTTTATACATTTTTTTTTTTTGTCTTTTTTTTTTTTCCTTTTCTCTTTTTTATCTCTTTTTTTGTGTGTCAGTTTTTTGTTTTTTTCTTCTTTTTTGTCTCTTTTTCTCTTTTTTGCATAGGGGAGGGGGGGGGGAAACAACCAAAAAAAAAAAAAAAACCAAAATAAAAAAAAAAAGAAACAAAACAAAAAAAAAGAAAACCAAAAAAAACCCCAAAATCCATAGTCACGGTCAGTAACTGGTATGTAGGCAGGAGCGGCGGCTATTGGTAATGGCTGCGTACAATGGTATAATCAAATATCGTGAAGCACCAGGGGGGCGAGCGGGGGGCTCGGGGGGGTCATGCAGGGGCAGGGGGGGGGGTTTGGGGGGGCCCAGCCGGAGGAGGGGGGGGGCCCGGCCCCGGCTCGCGGCCCTGGTGCGTTCGGCGGGTGTGTAACGGCTGTGGCAAGCGAGAAGCGAGAATCCGGCTAACTAGTAAAATATAACTGCGAAGGAGGGGGCACCCCCCCAGCCCCCCGCGGGGCGGGGCGGGGCGGGGCGGGGCGGGGGGACCCCCCGAAAAGGCGGGTGAGGGCAGCCGGCGGCGCGGAGGCACTGCGGCGGGATTTTTGGTATGGGTGTGAGTCGTGGTCCTGCCGGCTGCCGCCTCGACGCCTTTTTGGGGCGGTTTCTCTCCTTTTTGCCGCTCTTTTTCCCAGGGGGCGGGGTTCCCCCCTTTCCCCCCCCCCTCCCCTCACGTCCCGTCCCCCCCCCCCCCCCGCAAGCTCCGTCTCCACCTCCGCTCCTGCCTGCGGGCGCTGCGCGGGGCACCCACAGGTGCTGCCGCCCCAGCCGGCGGCGGGAGCCCGGGGGGACAGAAAGCAGCAATTCCAAACTCATAGTACAAAAAAAAAACAAAAAAAAAAACAAAACAAAAAAAAAAAAAACAAAAAAAACCAACAAACAAAACAACAACAAACAAGACATATATATATATATAGGGGTTTATATATATATATATATTCCTTTGCGCTTTAAAGTACCTTAACTGTGTGTCGGCCCGCAGGGACCCGTGCCCACCTCCGGCCCCTGCAGCCCCATATATATATATGTGGAGAGAGAGATATATATATATGTACAGGTTAATTTTTTTTTTATTTATAGGTCACAAGGACTATTTTTAATTAATTTTTTTAAGCTGACGAGCCCGACTAAAAACCCTCTAGGAGAGACTGTAGTGCATGATAACCCCGCGGGAGCCCCGGGCGTGGTGATTGTCGAGCGGACACCCCCCCCCCCCCCCCCCAAAAGGGCCCCATCCTGTCGGGGGGGCCCCCCCCGGAGCATTCCCACTGGTGGGGTCCTACCCCACTTTGCGCCCACCCCAACTGTGGCCACTGAGCCCAGAGGCCACGGGGGGATTGGAAAAAAAAAAAAAAAAAAACAAAAAAACAAAAGCCACAAACCAAAAAAGGGAGAACAATTAAAAAAATAAAAAAAGAATAAAAATTAGTGGTCGTCCCCCCTGTCCCCGCGCGGCCGGTGCCCCCCAGGAAGGGGTCTGGGGGGGGGTTTGCATATTCCCTTTGGGCAGAGCCAGGGGGGACGCGGCCCCAGGGTGGTGGGTGTTGGGGGGAGCAGTGCAAAGACACGGAGGGCGGCGGGGGCTCCCCGGACCCCCAGGGGAAACCCGCGGCCCAACCCCCCCCCGCTGCTGCCCTCGGGGCTGGGGGGGGGGGAGAGGGGGGCGTCGAGTTGATTATTTTTTGCCTTTTTTTTAACATGTTTTAAGGTGCTTTTCTTGCCGAGGGCGGGTTTTGGGGGGGCTGCGGCCACAGCCCGGCCAGACGTGCTGCCGGCCCCGGGGGTGAAGGCAGCAAAAGTGGGGGGGCAGGGGGTACCCCAGCCAGTGCCCTCATGGGGCCAGGGGGCTCCAGGGGCTTCCTCGGGGGGGGGGCCCAGGCCTGAGGGGCGCCAGCGCCCCTCACCTCCCCCCAGACCCCAAACTCGCCAGGGGGGCTGGATTGGGGGGGGCTGCCCCGGGTGCCCCCCCTCCTCCTGCCCTCCACTGGCTGTCACTCTGGTCACCACTGAGAAATGCTTTTTTAAATTTTTTTTTTTTTTTTTTTTTTTTGCTTTGAGTTGATCCTTTTCTAGCCTTAAAACCCTTTTTTTTTAAATTATTTTAATTTTTTTTTTTTCCATTTTCTCTCTTTTTTTTTTTTTTTTAGCTCTATTTTTTAAATTTTCCCCCAACTGGACACTAACCTCCCGCTCCCCGCATTGCATTGTCCTTGCAGAAATCAATACTGCACCTTGCATAACGAAGAGTCTCCCAAGGATGTTCCCCTGCCCTGTGGGACCCCCAACAAACCGCACTGGTGGGCGAGACCCCCGTGGGACATGACACCCCCCCCCGCCCCATCCCCCACTAATACTTTTGGACACAGAAAAAAAAAAAAAAAAAAGAAAAAACTTTAAAAAAATGTTGACGACGACGTTTCTTCATTACAAAGCAGCAGTGACGCGCGGTGCCACCCGCCCATCGGTGTCACGACCTGCGTCAGTCCTCAGCCTCAGGAGGACCGGGGAGGGGGGGGGGGGGGGGGGGGGGCGTCTCTCTCCGGCCGGCGGGACGTTTGGGTTTTAAGGCAAACTCTGGATTTTTTGGGGGGGTGTCAGAACCCCACTTGGCAGTTGGCACAGCAGGGAACAGGCAAAGTGACGGTGAGAGGGGAGCTCCTGCCGGGACTTTGCCGGTTCCCTGATGCACCAGCCGGACCCCCGGAGAAGAAGCCGATGAGGATGGAGGGGGGGGGGGGGGGGGGCTTTGACCCCTCCCAGACACCAGCCCTGCGGGGGGGGGGGCACAGCTACATTCACACGGTTCCATTCCTGTCACGAGAGCAGCTGGGCTCAGCTCTCCCGGCCCTGCGTCCCATTGAAAACCAATTAAAAAGGGGGTGGGGGGGTGGGGGGGTGTCCGTCCCGCAAGGAGGGGCGGGTGGGGTGCTGTGGCCCCTCGTAAAGGCTCGGCCATGGGGGTCTCCATCCCTGGTCCCCCCCCACGGGGACCCCGACCGCATCCTCATCCATCCTGCTGCACCCGGACGCCTGGGGGGGGACTCTGACCCGAGGGGGGGGGTCCCTGCCACCTCCCGCCTCGCTGCCTTTGGTTGCTGTAAGCAGGAAAACAAAATTTTAAAACCCTAAAAGGGAAGGAGAAAAAAAAAAAAAAAAAAGAAAAAAAAAAAAAAAAAGAAAGAAAAAAGGAGAGGGAAAGCGAAGGGGTGGCCGGACCCCCCCACCGGACCCCACTGGCCGGACCCCCCCTCGCCGGTGCAGCCGAGCGGCTATTGCATATTCCGGTGTGTTGGCGCAGAGGATGCATCAGTATTACCAACTGGAAGACGTTTCCGAGGGGGAAAATTGGTTAAAAAATAATAATAATAGAGAGAAAAGGGATTTTTTCCGGCCGAGAAGAAGCCATGCAGGAGGCGGGGGGGGGGCAGCCGCCCCGGCCCCCCCGGCCCCCCGGGAGCCCCGGGCATGCAGCGACTCCCTCGCACTGATATCGGGTCCGGTAATACTTAGTCTTCGAAGGCAAGGCACATCATGTGGTATAAAATTTCGTGCAAATTAGGAAAACATGGATTTTTTTTTTTTCTGGTGTTTTTTTTTTTTTTACGGCTTTTTTTTTCTTTTATACAGAATTTTTTTTTTTTTTTCCTCTTTTTTTTTTCTCTTTTGCTGAAGGGGGAAGGTAGAGCCGGTTAATACAGTCTGCCATGCACAGCATCAGCCATCCGCGGCTGGGTTGAGCCAGGTCACCAGATCCTGTTAAAGCACCATGCAGTTTATTTGTCTTTTTTTTTGTCTTTTTTCTTTTTTTTTTTTTTTTTTCCATGTGTTTCTTTTCTCAGATCTTTAAAAAAAAACAGGTTTCCCTCTCCGCCAAGCGCTTTTTTTGTTGTGTGTTTTTTTTTTTCCTTTTTTTTTTTTTTTTTTTTTTTTGTGGGTTTTCTCCTTTTCTTGTCCTTTTTGATTATTTTTTTTGTCTCCCGGGATTTCCTGCGTCAGCCCTTTCCCCGGTGCCGCGCTGCGGGCGGGCAGGATCCGGCCTCGCCGTGCCGTCCCGGGGGGGTGGGAAGCGTGGCGGAGCGGGGGGGGGGCCGCTGGGGGGGGGGGGGATGCGAGGCCGGTGGTCCACGGGCCAGCTCGGGGTGCCAGGGGAGGGGGCCAGGCGGGTGGCAGCGGTGACCTCGGTGACAGCCCCTGCTGCCGGACATCCCACGGTGGCTTCTCTCCGTCATCCCCCGTGGGGTGTCCCCTGGGCCGTGGGCTGCCCGGGGTCCCTCTGGGGACACGCCTGGGGCCAGGCTCTTCTGTGGCCGCCACCATCTCGCTGGCGACGCCGGGTGCCTTCGTCATCTTCCTCCTCCTCCTCCTCCTCCTCCTCCTCCTCCTCCTCTCCTCGGCCGCCGCGTAGGTCCCTCTGCTCTAAGGCACTGCCACGTCCCCGCGTCCCCTTCCCGGCCACGCTGCCATCGCGCGGGACAGGGACGGCCGGGGGCTCCCCCGGGGGTCCCAGGACCCCTCCCCGCTGCAGTTGAGGCACTTGACGCGGGGCCAGGGGCTCCGTGGGGCTGGCTCTGCCCTCGCCCTCACTCGGGCTCCTTTTCTCCATCCTTTTGTATTTTTTTAAAAAAAAAAAAAAAAAAAAAAAAAACAACCAAAACCCCAAACCAGCCGTCCCGGCAAGCCAGTGCCGAGGGCTCTGTCTCCTCCTCTTCCTCCTCCTCCTCCTCCTCCTCTTCCTCCTCCTCTTCCTCCTCCTCCTTTTTTGTGTTTTTTTTTTTTTTCTTCTTTTTCTTTTTTTTTTTTTTTTTTTTTTGACGATTCCCTCTTAAAAGTGCATTTCCTACAAAATGTGCAACACGAGCGCACCCTCTCCTCACCATCCACCTGGTACCTGTCCACAGGAATGCATAGCTCAGACACACGGACGCACGCCACACCACAGCCCCACGGACACCCCTCCCCCCCCCCCCCCCCCCGCCCCGCTCCCCGGCGCAGGGACACGCAGGGACACGCAGGGACACGCGTGGGGCTGGGGCCGGTGCGCACCGGGGGGGTCAGGAAGGCATCGCAGAGAGACGGCGACCGGTGCCCTGGCCCGACGGTGGCGGGGGGAGCGTCCCCACGCCGTGTCCCCGCAGCAATCGGGGTGCCACCGCCGCCACAACCGTCCCCTCCGTGGCCCCAAGCCCACCCCCCCCACCCCGTGCCACCCACTCGTGGCGAGCCGAGCGGGCCACCGTGCCACCGTGTCACCACATTCCCCCGCGTGGCGGCATCGCCCATCCCCAAGGCTCCTCTTCCACGACACGGAGCATCACACCGCCCCGACGGCGAGCGCGGCCGCAGCCCTCGGGAACCGGCGGCAGGAGGCGGCCCCCCCGCCCCCCCACCCCACCCCCCCACCCCACCCCCCCCGGCCCCGGGGCCCCCTGAGAGTCTGCGTGGGGCCGGGAGGGGCGGCGGGGGCGGGGGGGGGGGTGGGGTGGGTTGATCTTTTCTACTCACAGAGAGGCAAGAATGAGAGAGTCAAGAGCCGTTTGCATATCCGACCCTCCAGCGAGCAGCCGGCAGGGCTCTGGTGCCGCAGCCCCGCTGCTGCTTCGGGAGGCATCGCTGGCACGAGTTGTGTCAGGTCTCGGCGCGGCGCCAGCTGACGGGGCAAATAATAGTGTTTTTTTTTCTTTTTTTTTCTGTTTCTTTGTTTTCTGGCGCATCGCTGGGGTAGGGGGGAAGGTCGTCCTGGGATGGGTTGTTGTTTTGTTTGTATTTTTTTTTTTTTTTTTTTTCCTTTGTAAAAAAGTTTGACCCTTTTCCTTCTTCCTTTCCCTCGCTCTTTCCTTCAGGTGTGGGTTTTGCTTGTCGTCGTCGTCATCGTCATGAGTCCGCGCTCTCCGTCGTCACCGCAAGGCTGGGCCTGGTGCTTGGGGACGGGGATGTTCCTCTGGGGGTGCCTAAAGCAGAGGAGAAGGGAGGCGAAGGGGCGGCACGGCGGCGGTTATCCCAGGTACCAGGACTGCCGGGAGAGAAGAGAGAGGCTGGCGTTAGCGCTCTGTGCCATGGGGCTGCTCCGTGCCCCCCACCCCCCCCACCCCCCCGGCTGTCCCCACGCCGTCACTCTGCTCAGCTCGCCCTGCTGCCCCCCACAGGGCTGGCGTCCCCCCACTCCTGCACTGAGTTTGTCAGCCCTCTGCTCCTGGGCTGCCCTTTGTGGCCGGTCCCTCCGCGCCTCCGCAGCGAAGGCGACGCTCCCCCGGGAATGGTCCCGCTTGGGGACAGGTAGGGGGGTGGCAGGGCTGGGGACCCCGTGGGGTGGCCCGCTGCCACCCTCCTATTGTCTCCCCCCCCCCCCCAGCCCCAAGTTCAAGTTCATCCCTGATTACCTCATGTCTGGTTTCCGTTGGCAACGAGACAGCTCGAGGCTGCCATTTCCCTTAACCCTTCCCAGCCCTGCCACACATGACCTGAGAGCAGCAGGTCTCAGCTACCCCTCCCAGGGACATGAGACACCACTTCATCTCCCCCTGCCTCAGTTTCCCCGTGCGGAGCATCCCTGAGCCCTGGGGGGGCTCCCAGAGTGTGACCAGCCACCGGCGCACGGGGACAGGGACCCTGGGCTCCTGGGGCTACAAGCAGCCGTGACCCCTGAGGGGTTGGGGGGGCGCAGGGACCCCGGCACCCTGCTGCCCTGGGGCTCTGCTGGCACTGCCCCATGTCTCCTTTCCAGGGTGCCCACCCCACTGTGCTCTGCCCACGCGCAGGACATGGGAAACTGAGGCAGGGCGCGGGGCTACGGTCCAGAGCTGGGACCCCCCTGCCACCGCACAGCACCCCTGGGTGTCCCAGCTCACGGTCCCTCAGTGCTCACACCCTGGCACAGCACAGCACCCTTGGGTGCCCCACAGCACAGCTCATGGCCCCCCAGTGCTTGCACCCTGGCAAAGCAGAGCGCCTCTGGGTGCCCCACGGCACGGCTCAGTGCCCCGAGGACCTGCCCCCAGCAGCACCCCCGGGTGCCCCCGGCACGGTGCCATCCACACACCAACCCCGCTGCCCTGGCACCGGCGTCACCCGCCGGGCAGGGCTGCAGCCTCTGGCAGCTGCCCCTGCTGGGACCGCTGAGGCCGACCAACTCATATCACAAATGAGGCAAGGCGCTGGCACCCCTGCACCGGCCTTGCGGCATTGTCCACGGCGCTGGTGCCAGCTCACGAACTACTGGTTAAAAAGTACCCAGGACTAAAGAAAAGCCCCCTGGAAAGGCGCACGCTACGTCCCACGTGCCGGCGGGCGCAGTTGGGCAAGAGCAGGGTGCCCACGCCCACCTGGAGAGGGGGCGCACGGCCCCGGCGCCCCCCGTTTTGGGGATGCTGTGGGCACCCGGGCAGCCCGGCTGGGCCGTGGTGTCGGGCAGGGCACAGCCAGAGCTTGGTGAGAGGAGGGTGGGGTGCCAGGCGTGACCTTCCTCTGCCCTGGGGGACCCTTGGTGGCCCTCAAGCCACCGGCAGCGCCCGAGGCCCCGGCACAGGGAGGCGGGTGGTGACGTCCACGGTGGGGCTGCCACGGCGGTGACGCCACAGCGGCGACGTCAAGGCAGCGACGCCCGCAGCCGCAAGGCCAGGACAGCCATGCCGTGGTGGTGATACCCACGGCAGCGACTGCCCGTGGTGGCACCGCCTGCGGCAGCGATGCCACAGCGCCAGCGCCCGCCGTGGTGATGCTCCCGGTAGCAAATACCCACGGCGGCGATGCCCGCGGTGGCAACGCCCACGGCGGCGATGCCGTGGCGGCGACGCCCATCGTGGCATCAGCCACGGCAGCGGTACCACGGCAGTGATGCCGTGGTGTGGGGACCGCCCGTGCCGGCAGCACTGTGGCAGCGATACCCACGACGGCGAGACCCTCGACGGCCACGCCCGCGGTGGCGATGCCCACGGCGGTGCCACAGCGGTGGTGCCCTGGGCGAGGGCAGGAGGGTCCCCCCAGCAGCATCCCCGCTCTCACCTGTGCCTGATAGATACTCCCAGGATCCCTTGGTCCTAATCCCACGAAGGAACGGTTCGCAGGGGGCGTGCCTGGTGCAGAGTAGGCTGGGGAACAAACGAGAGCTCGTTAACGGGGCTGCTGGTGGCACCGCCATCGTCCCCCCCGGGGCCAAGCCCGGCCCGCTCCCTGGCACTGCCGGGACATGTGTCCCAGGCACCTGGAGCTGGCGGTCGGGCACCGTCCCTGGCCGTGCCCCGGCGGCAGGCGAGTGGAGACCAGAGATCCTGTGCTCGAGGTGGTGCCGGGAGGCTGGGGGGGGCGAGGCACCCCCGGGGTGCTGGCGCAGACGGGGGGGGGGGTGTGTGGGGTGTGGGGGGGTGCTCCCCTGCCGTGCTGGTGCTGCAGCTTCCTGAGCGGAGCTGCTGGGGGGGGGGGAGGGCGACAGGAGCCACCGGCTCCAACTCGGCCACGTCCCCCCACTGCCACCTCCACCCCGCAGCTGGGGGTCCAGCAGTGGGACCCCCAGCCCCACCGAGCTCCCCGGCTCAGCGCTGTCGGAGGCAGGGTGCTGCCAGCGGGTTGGAGCCAGCTGGCCCCTGCGCCAGTGTCCCCTGCGTGCATCCTTCCTGGGCCCGGGGGGGACGGGACTGGCACTGCCCAGTCTCTCTCCGTGGCCCCGTCACCGGCCAGGCCACGCCGTGCCGAGTTCTCCCGTCCAGACTGGCCGGGCTTTGATGTCTTCACGCCACACAACCTCGACAACCGCCGGCCGGCTGGCAGCACCCAGCAGTGGCCTGTCCCCCCCTGGGGACGGCGCCCCCGGGCAGGGCTCGACTCCGTGGGGCTGTGGCAGCCTCTCAGGGTACCGGGAGGTGTCCCAGGGGCACAGTGGGACCAGGACAACCCCCTCACAGGCTCCAGTGACGGCACGGCGTCCCACACTGCGGCACGCACCCCGATGCCACCCTGGGGGGGACACCAGCGTCCCCCCTCTGCGGCCCCGGGGCTCACCTCACCAAAAATCCTCCTGGACAAGGCGCTAAAGCCTCCCGAGGTGGAGCGGGGCGGGGGATGAGCTCGTCAGCCACTGCTGCTAACGAAGGTCCCCTGGCACCTCCCACCGAGGGCCCTGGGGGGGCCCACACGCAGTTCTTTGCACCCGCGTCGCTTCACGGCCCCTGACCAGACCGGGGTCCCCAGTGCCGGGGACCCCTGTGGCAGTGAGAGGACGGCAGCCCTGCGCAGCGCAGCCAGGCACGCTGCCCCCAGCCCCAGCACCACACCCACGCCGGCTGGTCCCCACGGCTCCGGCAGCACCACCGCTGGCTGGTGGGGAAACTGAGGCACGGAGAGGCGTCAGCCTCCCCTGCAAGCCCTGCCTGTGCCGGGGAGGGGGGTTTGGGCATTGGCTTGGGGGAGCCCTGCTGCGGCTCCACTCCCCTGGCCGTCTCAGCGGGACGCGGGGTTCAGGCCGGTCCCTGGGACCAGCGTGGGACCCCCCCCGGCTCGGGGGACACAACAGCCGCCTGCCCAAACCCTGCCCGCTCCGACCTGCCTGAGACCCAGCAAACTCATCGTGTGCCGGCTGCCGCCCTCTCCCCGGCTGCGGGGAGGCCACCTCTGCCAACACCCCCCCAGCAGCACCGAGATGGGGGGGGACCTTAGGGGAGGCTGCAAGAAGAGGGGGCCGGCCGGGCCGGGGAGAGGGGTGGGCGCCGCAGGGTGCTTACTGGGTGATGTCGGTGAGGTCGTCCCTCCCTCGGTAGTTGTCGTGGTGGATTTGGTGTCAGGAGAGACGGCCAAGCGGGGCATGCCGGGGGGAGGTGGCGGCGCCAGCATCTGCGTGGGCAGGTAGTGGCTGGGCACTTTCACTTGACCACTTCCATTTAACTGGGGACATAACACAGACAGAAAAACAAACAGCACAAGCCATTAGGAAGCACGCGCAGCACCGGCAAAGCCGGCCCGGTGAGCCCCCGGTGCTGCCCGGCACGGGCACGGAGCATCCCTCGCCACTGACACGAGTTTGTTGGGTCTCAGAGCAGCCCTGAACGGTCGGCGCCGGCAACAGGGAAATCACGGCGGTGCAGGGGGGGGTTTCGAGGCGGGCTGGGGGCAGGGGAGCGGCGCAGGCCGGAGCTGGGGCGCTGTGCCCCCCCTCTCCGTGGCGGCGGGAGGCCTTTGAAGCGCCCACCTGCGGGGAAGGGGCACCCGGCGCGGCGCCGGCCTTCAAAGGGTCCTGTACCAGCTCCCCGTGCGCAGCGCGGCGGGGGGGCGGCTCTGAATCCGGCCTCCACCAGCCCGGCACCGAGCCGCCGGGTGGGGGAAGAGCAGCCATGCCCCTCACCCTGGCATCAGGCCTCATCGGGGGGGGGGCAGCAGGCGGGTGCTGGGCAGAGCTCAGAGGGGCTCCCCGAGGCCCTCCGCATCCGGGGGGCAGAGTAGGGGCACAGGAGAACACGGGAGCAGGAACGCAGCCACCCCTGACCCCTGGCTTCAGGCACGAAGGGAGCCTGGGGGGGTGGGTGTGTGGGGTGCTGGGTGCATGGGGCACTGGGTGTGTAGGGTGAATGGGGGGCTGGGTGCATGGGGTGCTGGGTGTGTAGGGTGCATGGGGTGCTGGGTGTGTGGGGTAGGGGGTGCATGGGTGGCTGGGGCAGTGCACGGGGTGCTGGGTGTGTGGGGTAGGGGGTGCACGGGTGTCTGGGTGCACGGGTGCTGGGTGTGTGGGGTATGGGGTGCACGGGTGGCTGGGTGCATGGGGTGCACGGGTGGCTGGGTGCACGGGGTGCTGGGTGTGTAGGGTGAATGGGGGGCTGGGTGCATGGGGTGCTGGGTGTGTAGGGTGCATGGGGTGCTGGGTGTGTGGGGTAGGGGGTGCATGGGTGGCTGGGTGCACGGGTGCTGGGTGTGTGGGGTAGGAGGTGCACGGGTGTCTGGGTGCATGGGGTGCTGGTGTGTGGGGTAGGGGGTGCATGGGTGGCTGGGTGCATGGGGTGCACGGGTGTCTGGGTGCACAGGGTGCTGGGTGTGTGGGGTATGGGGTGCACGGGTGTCTGGGTGCATGGGGTGCTGGGTGTGTGGGGTATGGGGTGCATGGGTGGCTGGGTGCACGGGGTGCTGGGTGTGTGGGGTAGGGGTGCACGGGTGTCTGGGTGCATGGGGTGCTGGGTGTGTGGGGTAGGGGGTGCACGGGTGTCTGGGTGCATGGGGTGCACGGGTGGCTGGGTGCACGGGGTGCTGGGTGTGTGGGGTATGGGGTGCACGGGTGGCTGGGTGCATGGGGTGCACGGGTGGCTGGGTGCACGGGGTGCTGGGTGTGTGGGGTAGGGGGTGCACGGGTGGCTGGGTGCACGGGGTGCTGGGTGTGTGGGGTAGGGGGGTGCACGGGTGGCTGCGTGCAGGGGGTGCTGGGTGTACAGGATGCTGGGTGTGTGGGGGCGCACAGGGTGCTGGTGGGGTGCGGGGTGCTGGGGTGAGGGAAGGCACGCAGCAGCACGGTGTGGCCCTGCCACCCCCGGGGGGGGTGCTGCTGGGGGGGACACGGCGCGGTGGCGGGGCTGACGGGTCACCAGCTGGCTGCGCAGGCGGACGGGCTGTGCAGAGCCCATCGCTCCCCCAGGCACGGTGGCAGACGGTGGCTCGTTGGCGACGGTCACACAGCCCCTGCCGGACACCCCCCCTCCCACCAGGCACTCCCAGCCCCGGCTGACGGCTCAGCCCCGGCACCCATCACCCCGTCCCCCCTGCGAGGTGGCACCCCGTGCTGAGCCAGGCGACGGCACCTCCAGCGCCAGAGAAACGAGGTCCCAACACCAGCCAGGCCCAGCGGCGCTCCCGAACCAACGCAAGGCACCGGCCGGAGCCGCCCAGCCCCAACCGCGGCGGTAAGAACACCCTACCAGGCCGGGGGCTGGCCCTCAGGTGCCATCGTTGCACCCCGATTCCCCCCACACCCCCACACCCCCCCCCCCCCCCAAAATGCGGCGGCGGTGGCGGCGGCAGACGATCCAGGGGACGCCCCTCCGGCAGCGGCCCCCGGCGCCCAACGGCGAGGTCGGTGATGGGATGCAGGGACGGGGCCGGATCCTTACCGGTCCGGGCTGCTGGTTGGACGGGTCACAGGCCAGCGAGACGAGATCTTTCAGCGGGTCCTGCGGGTTGAGATGAGGCGGGTACCGAATGGCCGTGTGGGGGAAGTAGGTGGAGGCCGTCTGGGGGAGGATGGAGGTGGTGGGGAAATGCAGCGCAGACGACGGGTGCGGGCTTCGAGCGATACCTGTGGGGGAGAGCCGGGGGGGCGGGGGGGGACACCCACCAGTGTCACTGCATGGTAGCCGCTGCCCCAGCCCCGCCACCCGCTCGCCTGCCTCGCTCCGTGCCTCGGTTTCCCCGCCAAGGACACTCACCGCTGTGCACCGCGATGACGGGACGGTGGTGCTGCGTGAAGCTGCTCAGCCGGGGCGAGGAGTCCTGGGGTGACGGGCTGTTGAAGGGGGACTTGTCCATCTCTGTCTTCTTCACGGTGGGAGAGATGCCTGGGGAAAGCGGGGCGCAGCGTCACACCCCAGCACCCACTGCGGGACCCCAAAGTCCCGGGGCTGCTGCCAGCTCGGCCCAGGGTGGGGACTCTTGTCCCTGGGGTGAGGGGCACCCTAGGGACAGGCTGAGTGTGGGGAGGGTGCGTGGCTGTGAGCGTGGGTCCCCTAGCGCCCTGGGGCTGAGGGCCACATCCTGCCTGCACAAGGAGCTCCCGGGGAGGCAGAAAGGTGCTGGCTCAGGGGGTGACCCCTCCAGGGACCTGCAGCCCCGGCGTTCAGGATCCCCCTGCAGCACCAGACACCCAGGTACCCGAGGGCCACCCTGGGGTGCAGGGCCAAGCGGGGGGGGGTGACGGGCACATTAATCCCCCACCACCATGGCTTTAGCCCTGGCCGTTTGGCCCAGGTAAGGAGTTTAGCCCCTTCTCAGCTGGAGGTTAGGAGGATTTTCCCAGGACATCCCGTACGGGATTGCCATAACCCCCCCGCCACCACAGCTGAGCCCCTCTGCCCCATCCCTTCCCTGGGTCAGGCCACCAGTCAGGGACAGGGATGCCCTAGCACGGCTCCCTCCCGCCATGCCTGCCCACGCACCCACGGGCAATGCTTCGGGGAGGGGGCTGCGCCTCTCCCCGGGACCCTCCTGCCCTCCCACCTGCCCCTCCACGGGGCCTGAGGTGGGGCAGGGAGGGGCACGGGCCCTGGCACACATGGGGCACCGTTCAGGGGGCAGGACTTGCTCTCCTCAAGGCTCCTTCCGACAGGATCCGGTGCCTCCAGCCCCCCAGCTGGGCACCCCCGGGCTCTGGCAGGGCTGGGGGGCCGGGGCGGATTCGGCCCTGGGTTGGGGGTGTGGGGGGGGGCAGGATAAGAGCCAAGGGGGGGAGAAAGCGGAGCGGCTCCTTCGCCCGCAGCCTCGTGAAGGCGCCCCGGGGCGTGGGAGCCGCCGTGCCAGCCCCGCAGCATCGCTTTAATTAGCCCAGCCCCCTCTTTTCTTAATGAACAGCTAATTGGGGCTGTCTAGACAGGAAAGGGAAAAAAAAAAACGCAAAGCAAGAAAGAAAGCTGTCCGTAGTGCCAGCAGCTGCCGTGGGGCTGGGAGAGGCCAGCGTGGGGCTGGGGTGCTGGGCTGGCCCTATAGAGAGCACCTATAGAGACAGCCTGTGACTAAATGGGGGGGGGGGGGGTACCCTGTAGCAACACTGCAGCACCCACAAAGAGCCTGTGCCTAAATGGGGGTGGCTACAGCACCACCTGGACACCTATGGAGAACCTGTGCCTAAATCAGGGAGCCCCAGAGCAACACTGTGGCACCTACAGAGAGCCCGTGTTTAAAGAGGGCGTCCTGTCCAACCCCATGGCATCTACAGATCCTTGCCCCGAGCAGGGGACTCCTATAGAAACATCACGGCACCTATAAAGCCTGTGACTTAATGGCAGGCTCTGTACTAACCCCATAGCACCTACGGAGAGCCTGTGCCTTGGTGGGGGGCCCTACAGCACCACCACAGCCCCTACAGCCAGCTCACGCTTTGACCTGAGGGCCCTACAGCAACCCCAGGGCACGTACAGAACGCCTGGGCTTTCACAGGGCAGGTCTGACAGTGGTGCTGGTAGAGAAGGGGCGAGCTGGCGGGGCGGGGGGCCCTATAGCAGCAGGAGAGCACCTATAGGGAGGCCCCTATATGGAGGCACCTACCCCCTTCCATGTCTTCTGTCCAGTTGCGGCTGCTGCTGGTGGGGGAGTTGGAGGAGGTGTAGTACTCCCCCCCCGGGCTGGTGTCGATGTCGTCCTCCATGGACCCCGACTTGTGCCGTTTGCTCCTGGGGGGCAGAGAAGGGATCAGCACCAGCCCACAGCAGGATCCGGCCTGTCCCCCGCTTTCCCCATGGTGAGATGGCCAGCTGCCCACGGCCGGGCTCTGGCTGGCCCCAGCATCACCCCAGCATCACCCCGGCATCACCCCGGCATCATCCCCAGCATCACCCTGGCACAGCCCCAGCATCACCCCAGCATCACCAGCATCACCCAGCATCACCCTGGCACAGCCCCAGCATCACCCTGGCATCAGCCCCAGGCATCACCCCAGCATCACCCCAGGCATCACCCCAGGCATCACCCCAGCATCATCACCCCAGCATCACCCCGGCACAGCCCCAGCATCACCCCGGCATCACCCCGGCATCACCCCGGCATCACCTACCCGCTGGAGGAGGTGCTGGGCAGCGTCCTCCTCATGCCGGTGCTGGAGGGGTTCAGGTCGTAGGCCAGGTGGCCCTGCAGCTCCCCCAGGGAGAAGTTTGGCCCCGTGCCCGTCACCACCGGTGCTGCAGGGAGAGAGGGGGGTCAGGGGGGGCCCGGCATTGCCCCCGCCTGGCAGGGAGGGGACCCCCAGCACGCGGCCGGGGCGGCAGAGCTGTTGGGACGCTGCCGTTCCCCGGGCAGCTGGCGGTGGGGGTGGCACTCACTTCGGGACACCTGGATGAGCTCGGTGACGCTGAACACCCCCGAGGTGACAAAGCTTTCCTGGAAGTCTGTTGAATCTGCACGGGAGAGAGGAGGGAGTGCTGGGAGTGGAGGACAGGACCACCCATCCTGTCCCGCGCTGTCCCGTGGCAATGCTTGAGGGCGCCCCAACATCCCCACATCCCCCATAATGCCACCTGCCCCCCCCCCTCGGCCGGCTTCGCTCCACTCCCCTCCTCCAGCATGGGACCACCCCAACCGGTCCCCCTCTGCTGAGGGCACCCCAGGGCTGCTCCGTGCCTCAGTTTCCCTGCGGCAGGGTTAGGGGGGCTGCAAACCCACTGTGGAACCCCCGTGGCAGCTGCTGTCCCCGAGGGACACGGCCCCAGTGGGGCTCTGCTGGCCGTGGGATGAGGCTGAGGCCATGCCCAGCTCACTGCAGGTGCCAGGCAGCAGCTGACTGGGGCTGGAGCAGGGGGGGGGGGCACCGGGGCTGCTGGTGGGAGCTGCCGGCGCAGGGGGGCACAACCGCCTGTCGAGGGGGCTCCCTCCACCGCAGGGACCCTGGGGATGGGCTCTGGGGTCCCTCGAGCCCTTCCCTGAGCCCTGCCTGCCCTGCTCACCCAGCGTGATGGGTTTGCTGTCCTCCTGGTCTGAGCCGATGCCCGTCCGGGGGCTGCTGCTCTGCTCTGCATCTGCAAGAGGGAAGAAACACCCGGGTGAGCCACCACGCGCCGGTACAAGCCGGGGACGCCTGTCGGCTAACGGCCCGGCAGCCTCCCTCACCGCTCCGCCGGGCAGGGGGAAACTGAGGCACAGTCTGGCCAGAGGCTTCCCGCCGCGGGAGGGCCACAACTGAGCCAGCACATCCTGGGGAAGAGCCACCAAATGTCCCTCCCTGAGAGCCCCTGCCAGCGGCAGGGACGGGGACAGCCCCAACGCTGCCGCGCAGGAGGGGAACAACCCCCCCCCCCCCCCGTGGTGCCTGACCTGCCCCAAGGCAGGGTGACGGCCGCCTGGCCGCGCTCCCCCCCCAGCCGCTGCTGCGGCCCATCCCTGCCCCACCGCGCAGTGTCACCGCACCCAGGCATCGCCCTTGCCGCCCCACGGCGCCTCGTCCTGCCGCCCCCGAGCTCCCCCCGGGGGGGGGGCAGCAGGGCTGCGAGGCAGCGCCTGCTCTGACCCACCCCCCCCCCCCCCGAAGCCCCCACCGCCCCCGCTCCATCCGAGCTAAAAATAACCCGGCTCAGACGCTGAGCTCAGCAGCACCGGCCCTCCCCGGCACGGCACGGCACGGCCTGGCACAGCACGGCACGGCACGGCCTGGCACAGCACGGCACAGCACGGCACGGCACGGCACGGCACGGCACGGCACAGCATGGCACGGCACGGCACGGCACGGCATGGCACGGCACGGCACGGCACGGCACAGCACGGCACGGCACGGCATGGCACGGCACAGCACGGCACAGCACGGCACGGCACGGCACGGCACGGCATGGCACGGCACGGCATGGCACAGCACGGCACGGCACGGCACGGCACGGCATGGCACGGCATGGCACGGCACAGCACGGCACGGCACGGCACGGCACGGCCGGCGCATCCCCCGGCTCCCCACACCTCCCCGGCGCCCCACCCGCTCTCGGGAGCATCCCTCCTCTTGGCCGCACGCCCCTCGCCCAGCTGCTGCTCCCGAAGCCCTTGAAAAACTTTTTGCCGTGTGTTTTCCCCCCTCTCCTCGTCCTTCCTCCTGCCCCTCCATCCTCCTCCTCCTCCCACCCCGCGGCCTTCGGCGTCTCTCTTTCACAGCTTTGGCTGATGCTGGGAAAGGGCTGTGACAATCCAAACAACACCGTCAAAACAGAGCGGCCACCGCTGCCAGCCCGCCTGCTGCGGCTTTGGGGCTTTTTCCCTTTCTTTCCTTCTTTTCTCCCCCATTCCCCCCCCCCCCCCCGCCCCGTGTCCTCCCCCCCGGTCCCTCGCGCGCGCACGGCTCCCGGGGCGGTTATTTTTGGCCAGCCAGGCCGAGCCATGCGGGCAGTGGGGCTGCGCCGCCCCGACACCCCCCCACGCCACCCCCCGGGCCACTCGACGCCAACCGCAGCCATTTTGTCTCCCTCCCCACGCGCTGGCGTTCCTCCCCACGCTTTCCCCGCGCCGGCCTGGCCGCCCTTTCCCGCCGGCGGCCCCGTGGCATCCCTCCCCAGCGCCGCATCCCGCCGCCGCCCGCCCGGCTGCCCCCAGGCAGCCATTTTAGGGACCAGAAATTCCCCTGGCGATGGGCACCGGGGTTTATTCCCCGCTTTCTCTCCATTTCTCTCTTTTTTTTTTTTTTTTTTTTTTTTTTTTTTTCCCTATTTCCACCCCCCCCTTCATTTTGAAAGCTGCCGCGTGCCCAGCCGCGTGGGAGCGGGCGGTGGGCGCGAGCGGGGCACAAGCGAGGCGGGGAAGGGGGCGAGGGGCGGCAGGGACCCCCCCGGCGCGCCCGCGGGCACCCCGCGGCCGGACACGGCCCCTCCTCGCCTCTTAGAACAACAAATCTCGCGGTGGCTCTGGAAGCGGTTAGCGGTGGAGCCCGGCCAAGGCACACGGGGCGGTGTCTTGCGGTTGCAACCCCGAGCCCGGCCTGGCTCCCCACAGCCCCCACCGCCATTGCCTCGGGGGTCCCCGGCTCCCCCCCCCCCCCCAGCTCGCCCCCAGGGATGGCTCCCCGCTGCCCGCTCCCGGGGGGGCTCAGCTGACGGGAAGCCCCCCCAAGCCGTGCCCTCCCAGCCCTCAGCTGGACCCACAGGACCTCCCGGGGCTGCTCGCCCGGAGAGACCCCGCATGGCCCCCGCTCACCCCGAGACGCCCCACATGGGCCTTTCCCCCCCCCCCCCAAGATGCTCCGTGTGGACCCTTGCTCCCCCAGGATGCCTGGCACAGCCCTTTTCTCCCTCCCCCCCGAGCCCCCCCAGCCCGGCCCCTGTTCACCCCGCGGGGTCGTTCGCTCGCCCTGGGTGCACCGGGGTGCCCCGCCGCGTCCCTGCGCCCCCACAACCCCCGCCAGCACCATCCTGGCAAGGCCACCCCACCCGCCCCTGTCCCTGGGGGGCACCCCGGGGCGCCTCCCCCCAACCCAAGCACCCCGGTCCCAGCCATGGCACCCCAAGGGGCACCGGGGACCTTCCCGAGCTCTGGGGTTTGGCAGCTGGCAACCGTCCCCTCCCGGCCCCCTCGTGTCCCCGCTGACGGAGGCGTGCGGGTGTGGGGACGGGGGCCATGGGCTCCGTACCCCCCCAGCTGCGGGGGATTCTCGCGGCTGGGCCGGGCGAGCTCGCCAGCAGATTTCTGGCTGCCTCCTCCGGCGCGGCGGCGCGGCCGGGCCAAACTCTGCTCTCACCGCCATGTGACGGCTGCCGGCGGCCGGCCGGCGCGCACTAAAATGGCGAAGGGATCGCCCGGCTCCTGCCGCGGCCTCGCTGCCCCCCAAGGGACGTTTTGGGGCCGGGGGGGGGGGGAGACCAAATCTGGCACCCAACAAGGCAGCTCAGCTGCACCGGGAAGGTGAAAGAAGCCTGGGGGGCTCGCTGATGGGGGGGGGGGGGGCATCCAGCACCCTCTGCACCCCACGCCAGGATGGGGGACGGAGGAGAGGGGGGCTCTGCTGCCACATTGCGGGGGACCCCAGTGGGGAGAGGGTTCAGTGCCGGGGTCCCCCCTGGCACAGAGCGGGGAGAGGGTTCAGTGCCGGCGTCCCCCCTGGCACGGAGCGGGGAGAGGGTTCAGTGCCGGGGTCCCCCCTGGCACGGAGCGGGGAGAGGGTTCAGTGCCGGCGTCCCCCCTGGCACGGAGCGGGGAGAGGGTTCAGTGCCGGGGTCCCCCCTGGCACGGAGCGGGGAGAGCGCTCGGTGCCCAAACAGGTCGATGGAATCGCTTTTAAAAAGAGCAAAGTGTGTGCCCGGGGAGGTGTTGGGGGGGGGGGGGGGGGGGCGCTGCCTGGGCTCCCGGCCGCGCTGGCAGCCTGGAACGACGCCACCCATTGAATCCCGGATCCCCGGCCCCCCCGGCCCCGCCGGCTGGCGGGGTGCCCCTGGCCCCACGGCGACTCCCTGCCCGTGGCCTCGGCGCGTGGGAACGACCCCGGGGCAGCAGGGCTGGCCCTTGGAGGTGGGAGGCTGGGGGGGGGGGGTGGTGGTAGTGTGGGGGGGTGTCCCTGTAGGCTGGGTGCCCCTCGGGGCTGGCGCGGCTGCGGGAGAGCCCTGGCTCCGTGCCTGAGCACTGACGGTAACAGGGCACGGTGTTACCGGCAGCAGCGTGGGGCGCAGGCGCGGCGGCGGGAGGACGCTGGGGGCTGGTGGAGCCGCCGGCACCGGCGTGTGTGGCCCAGGCCCCCCGGTGAGGGCAGCAGCTTTCCTCCTCCTCCCCCAGCTCTGCTAGCGGCAGGGCAGGAGATGGGACAAGGCTCAGCGCTGCGGCCTGCAGGTTCCTGCCCCTGTGCCTCAGTTTCCCCCGGGGCCACCTCAGGGCTAAGTCCCCTGGGGAACTGTCCCCTGCCCTGCTCCCAGTGGTGGCACAGCCCCAGCACCCACCCAGCTCCCCTGGTGCCTCCGGCTGGCTCTCCCCCGCAGCGTGCATCACTAGGGCCCAGAGTGAACAGCCTGGTCGGCATGGGGGACACCTGGAGACCCGAGGGAGCCCCAGTGCTGTGGAGCAGCAGCCCCACTGCAAGGGCTTGGGGTGGGTGAGACCGTGAGGGGCGGAGGTGTGATTTGGGGGCTTCTCCTTGCCAAACCCTCAGCCCCCCCCACCCCACAGTGGCCCCACTGGTCCGAGCGGCATTGCCCGTCCCACTGCCGGGCGGGCTGGGGTGGCCCTTACATAAAACCCGGAACAGACCCGCTTGTGTAACCTCCTTTATGTAATACCCCCCCGAAGCACCGTGTGTGCCGGGTAAATCCCGGCTCAGCCAGGCTGGCGGGCACGCCGGGGGCACTGGACCCCCTGCCGTGCTCTTTACAGCGGCCCGCTCCCCCTTCAGCCCGCGCTGCCGCTCCCGGAGGGCTGCGGTGCCACCGGGGGTGAGATGAGTTTGCCGGGTCTCAGCCCGCTCTCCGCCAGCCCGCCAATGCCGTGGGGGGCAGCAGCTTCTCCTACCCCAGCCGAGCAAAAACCGCGGGGAGGTCCTGGCCGGAGGCATCCCCTGAGGCGGCGGGGGGGGGACGGACGCGCCCCGCTGCCACGTTCACCGGCTGCAGCCAGCTGGCCCGGGCCGGAGGCTGGGGAGGCGCGAGCACGTTGGCCGGCGCCTGCGAGCGAGCGCCGGCGCGCTGGGAGCGAGCGGGTTTGTCCTCGGCCGACCCCGGCCGGCGTGAAGAGATGGCGGCGGCCGGGGGGAACCCCCCCAGGCGGGCAGCACGGCCGCCCCCTCGCCCGGCCCTGCCAGGCCTGGGCCACATCCAGGGCTGCCGGCGCCCGCGGAGGCGAGCGGGGACAGATGGCAGCGAACAAAGGGATGGGCAAGAGTGGGATGGACAAAGGGATGGCTGAGCCCCCCCGCCCCCCCGGGACCTCCTCCCCGGCGGGGTGCTGGCACCCAGCCCCTGGGCCCTGGGCTGGGGGGGGCCGGGGGGCACCTGGGGTGCAGCTGCTGGGAGGGAATGGGAGAAAGGAGAGAAAGGAAGGGAGGAAGGGAGGGAGAAAGAAAGAAAAA